GCGGAGCGGGTGTCCGTGAACTCCGCGGTCCCGTCGCCCATCACCTCGACCCGGGGATGAACTTGAGCGAGTCTTCGTTCGGCGTGGTCTCGGTTTGGATGAACATCGTGCGAGCTGGCGAGATGAGCTGCTGCAAGGATAAATGCGAGAGACTGACGCACCGTTTTGTATCCGCTTCGCACCCAGACCCAAATGCCCGGACCTCCTTGGTGCCGCGGTCGCGAAGGTCGTACCATGCTGGATGGCCACGAATGACGGGGACGCAGAGAAATGTCTTGCGGAAGTTGCGCTTGCAGGGCGCGGTCAGCCGTTGGTGGACGTGCGCTTCGCAGAGCGTGCCAGCGCGCGTAACGAAGACGACGCGACGGACGATGAGGAGAGCATGATGGCAGAAACCAAGAAGAGGAATTCGCAAAGTCGAGTCCGCATGTCTTACTCAGGACGGGCGCTCTGACGTGACATCATTTCCAAGTGCGCGGCCAATCATCGCACGTCGTGCTGCTGGAGGTGCCAGCTTGTCCTCTCCTCCACCATGGCCACTGCGGTGAGCAGTGCGTCGCCTCTCGTCTTCTCTTTTGCTGGCTGGCTTCTCGTACGCCTCTGGTCTTGGTATGCCGCACCCAAGCCTCGTCCAGCCTTGCGTTCTGTCGCATTGTGGTCCTCGGAGACATAGGACGAAGTCCCCGTATGATGTACCACGCCGAAAGCTTTGCTACAAACGAGTTTCTTACATATATCGTTGGATATGGGGGTGAGTGGCAACCACAATCCACAAGACACTGACTAAGACCCCTGCCAGGCTCGACACCTATCCCTTCCTGCTCTCGTTGCCTCGCGTCAAAATACTCTATCTTGCGGAACCCCCTTCCCTGCTACGAAAGCTACCTTTCATTCTCGGAGGCCCTCTCAAAGTGCTACGCCAAGTGATCGACATCCTGTACATCCTGCTTGTGCGCATCCCTCCACCGGAGTATATTCTCGTACAGGTACGCACTCCTCCCTCAGGCGATCTTCCCCTCAATCTCACCGCGATCTCCGTACCCTCGAAAGTCAGAACCCACCTAGCATCCCCACTCTAGCTCTTGTATGGCTTGTTGCGCGGGTGCGCGGTAGCAAGGTCATCATCGACTGGCACAATCTCGGCTACAGCATCCTTGCGTTGAAGCTTGGGGATGAGCATCCACTGGTCAAGATCGCGAAGTGGTGAGTGAATGCTCTCGAGTCTTTCAACTGCGCATACAGCCACCTGACGTTGCTCCTAGGTTCGAGTCCTACTTCGGTCGGTCGGCATATGCTCACTTATTCGTGACAAACGCCATGCGCGAGTATCTCGTTAGGGAATGGGACTTGCAGTACGTCTCCCTTCCCGCCCTCGGCCCTTCCCCCCATTCATTATCTCTCCCCGTGCCCCCAGAGGCCACAAGGTCGTGCTCCACGACCGCCCTCCCACCCGCTTCCACCGCGCGACCTCCACCGAGACCCACGAGCTCTTCCAACGCCTGCTCCCGTCCCTCTCCGGCGCGTCCGCGCCCTCCCTTGCCACCTTCCTCCCAAAATCCGACCCCCCGTTCTCCACACCCTTCACCCACATATCCACCTACTGGGACCCCGTGGCCATGGACGTCGGCGCCTTCACCGACCATACGAAAGCGCCCCGGCCGCGCCCCGACCGCCCCGCGCTCGTCGTGAGCAGCACCTCCTGGACGCCCGACGAAGACTTCGGGATGCTCCTCGCCGCGCTCGCCGCCTACGAGCACCGCGCGCGCGAGCTAGAAACCGCCAGCGAGGACGAGCGCCTCCCGAAGGTCCTCGCGGCCGTCACCGGGAAGGGGCCCCTGCGCGCGCAGCACATGGCGGACATCGACCGGCTGCAGACTGGGGCGGATGGCGGTGAGGCGGGTCCGTGGCGGTTCGTGCGCTGCATCAGCCTCTGGCTCGAGGCGGACGACTACCCGCTGCTCCTCGGTGCGTTCCCATCCCACGATAACCTTCCTTCCTGTCTGCTGATGCGACGACATCGACAGGCTCGGCGGACCTCGGCGTCTCGCTGCACGCGAGCTCCTCCGCGCTCGACCTCCCGATGAAGGTCGTCGACATGTTCGGCTGCGGGCTGCCCGTGTGTGCGCTCGGCTTCGCGTGCCTCGGCGAGCTCGTCCGCGACGGCGTGAACGGGCTCGTCTTCGACGACGCCGCGCAGCTTGCGTCCCAGCTTGAGGTGCGTCTGCGTCTGCGCCCCCTTCTCCCCCTCCTTTCCCTTCTTTTCCCCGTTGACGGCGACGGCGACTGACGTGCTGCACTCTCGCACAGACGCTCCTCCGCGGGTTCCCGCACCCTCCGGCGCTCGAGGCTCTGCGCGACGCGTTCGGGGCGCGCGCGGGGCCGGGGGCGACGGGTGGGCGGGCGCACCGGTGGGAGTGGGGGACGTGGACGGAGAACTGGGACCAAACGATGCGGCCGCTGCTGCTGCACGACGTGTCGGCGAGCGACGGGGCGGACGAGAGGTGAGGAGTAAGGGCATGGACTGTGGGTCGCGTCTGTTGAATGTACGGTACCAATCAGTATTTCCCAAAATGTCTGAAAACCTCTGGAGAGGGTTGAGACGCTTTGAGACGTTCAGAATCTTTCTCGCCTTGGACGTCGTGTGAGATGTCGTGAGAGATCTCAGATGGACCAGAAAAATCTTCAGTTTAAGATAGGGAAGTTTCTTAGGACTGAATCCAGGACTCGCGCGCAGTTGACACAGCGAAGAGGGAGTGAGAAAAATAGCTGGATTTCTGTGATTACTACAAATGCATGTGTAGACTTTGATAGTAGAAGGGCTGCCTAGGGCAGACTACGTGTTGCCCGTGGCCAGAGGGTTAGAGAGTCGGAGAGACTCATGAGCACGCGTGCGCAACCTATCCGTGCGTGCCGGAACCATGCGCATATGCATGCATATGTATGGCTGTGGTTGTACTTAGGAGCCCTTACCCTCGCGTGCGTACCCAAATACGAGTGATGGCGGCAACACGTAGCACTACTCGTCCATCAGCGAGTACGTGCCCCCACCGCAGTTGGTCCCGCCCATGGAGGTGGAGCATTTAGGGCGTCGTGGGCGACTCGCGCGCGTCTTGCGGGGGTGACAACGAAAAGTGGTGCGAGCCCTTGGGCCCGGCATGCTCCATGTTCCGGATGAGCGCGGTGATGGCGCTATGGGAAGCCTCGTCGAGAACGCGATGCACCGGGTGTCGGCAGCTAGGATAGATGATGTTAGAACGCGGTGGAGAACGTGGTGGAGGATGTTAAAATGGCACTCACTCACTCACTCACTCACTATTAGCAGCGTCCTCGAAAGGCGTCCTGGGATGTGTATCGTCTCTGCTGACAAGTGGGTGGGTCGTCGGCGTGTGCGGCGTGGGACGGATCCCGCTGTATGAGCGGTCGGGGAGTTGGAAGCTGGAGACCGAATATTTATGGGATGCGGAGCGGTATATGCAGCATGTATGAGGTGCTCTCCTATGTATTCCCAGTGGAAACGCCTACAGTCGTCTCTCTCCCCACGTCCTGCCATCCAGTGTGTGCCCGAATCATACAAGCATCCCAATTGATCTTCTTCCGCGCGCTCTGCCCTTCGCATCCTCCCATACCTCCTTCCAAACCCTCTTCACGTGTCCTGAACGTAGTTCCCTGCGCGCACCGCATTAGCCTTGCCCAAACCGCCGCTGGAGCCAGAATTTTAAAAAACCCCGCTGCGCACCTGGGAACACGCCCTGCCGCCCGTGCAGCTTCCCTGTCCACCAATCCTCCGTGCTCTCCGTCCGCTCCACGACCTCGATCCGGTCTCCGGCACGGAAGTCGAGGTCGCCGTCCGCCTGCGCCGCGAAGTCGTACAGCGCGACGACGTACTGTACCGCCGGCGCCGCCTTCGGCTTTGGCTTCAGCGGCGGAGGTGGCGGCGGGGCTTTCTTCGCCACAGCGGCAGCGCCGAAGCTCGAACCAGAGGGAGATGGTGAGTACGGCGGCGGCGCGGCGGACGGGGTGAGCGTGGGCGAGGGCGGCGGGAGGGCCTTCTTGAAGCTGGACGGTGAGCGCGAGGCGGCGGAGGCGGTCGACGCGGTCGAGGTTGCGCGGCCGAGGGTGGAGCCGCTGGGGCTGAGCGTGCTGTTGCCGGAGGCGGAGCGGTTCGCTTGGACCATCCGTGCTGCGGAGTGCGTGAGTGAGGGGCGTGTGCGGGGAGAGGACGGGGGACGGACATGTGGAGAGGATGCGGGACGTGATATTGAGGGCCTCGACGCGTTCGAGGGCGTCGGAGCGGCGGCCTTCGTAGTCGCTCGCGATCTGCGCAGCGGGGATGGAGACGTCGTATTTGCCCTCTGCGAACCCGTTGAGCTTGTCGAGGAGGAGGTAAAAGATGTTCAGCCTGCAGCAACGGGGAGCGCGTGAGGGAAGATATCGCGGGAGCAGAAGAACGTTCGGGACGCACTGCATGTAGTAGAACGAGTGGAAGAGGGGATCGATGAACTGGGCGGCTTGAATGAGGAATCGGGGAAGCTCGTTCTTCATCGCGGTGTTGATAAAATCGTACTCGTTCGACGCGATCTCAAAGTCTTGCTCCAGCTGAGAACGAGAGCGCGCGCGCGGAGTTGGGAGGAGAGGCCATAAAATGAGGCAAGAGTACGGCACACACCTTGAACAAGTTCTTCTCATCGCTGAGTGACTTGTCCTTCTTGTCCCTCAGTTTCGAGAGCGAGTTGTTATGACGGTCGAAGTCGACAAGCTGGATAGGGTTGTCGGTATGGACGTGGAGCTGTAATCGCAGAACTGCGCACCTTGTGCTGTCGCTTAGTGATGCTCTTCCGGATGGCCTTCAGGATGCCCTGGAACTCCTTGATCGGGCCAACGACCCTGGACTCTATAAGCTCCAGCTCAGGGACGACCGAGGACTTGAGGTCCTCCATGACTGCGGCATAACTGTCGACATGGGCAATGGTGGGCTCCGCTTCCGGGTGCCTTGATTCCAGTCCGTACTCGCCCCCGAGTGGATGGAAGATGGTGGCCCAGTGGGTGCCAAAGTCGACGGCGTTGGTGAACAGGTTCGCGACGGCCTCGGAGTAGCCCTTGCTGTCCTTGAGGAGCTTCTCGGTCGCCTTCTCGATGGACTCGAAGCGGTTTGCATAGTCGTCGAATTCGGGGTCGCTAGACTCTGCGCAGCGACAATCAGACCGGTATAGACATAAAACCGCACAGGGGGCGCACTCTTGGACATGCCGATCTTGGAAGTGAGCATGTGCGGTGTCCTAGGATGCGCTCCATCGGTGCTCGGGGATGAGAGGATGGTGAAGGGCGTACCGCGAGAAGGCCTTGCCGATGCCCTTCATGTTGGCCGAATATCGCTCAACGGAGGCCGTACAGAGGCGTTGATGTGGTTGGGGGACGAGGCGGCGAGGCGGCGAGGTGTGAGGAGGGAACGGGTGGAAAGAGGCGGCGAGACTCGGTATGCAGCCGCTTGGCACGCAAATGGCGGAGATAATCATCACGTGATCTGAATGAGTCGCGGCCCCGCTCTCGGAGCGAGCCTCGGAGCGCTATGACTGATACCATTCTCCTCTTCCGTTCTACACACACCTCCTTCGACCCCCACACGCCACCATGCCTATCAACCAACCGTCGAATCAGATCAGGTGAGGCTCACACTTTCAAAGCTGGCTGCGAACTAACACCGCCATACACACAGACTCACGAATGTCTCGATCGTTCGCCTGAAGAAAGGAGGCAAACGCTTCGAGGTACTGCGCAAAGCTCTGCAACGTCCTCCGTGCCGTGCTCATCCGTCTGCAGATCGCATGCTACAAGAACAAGGTGCAGGAATGGCGGAACGGCGTCGAGTCCGACATCGATGACGTTCTGCAAATCGCCAACGTCTTCGTCAATGTCTCTAAAGGCGAGCTCGCCAAGCACCAAGACCTGAAAAAGGCCTTCGGCACTGATGATCAAACCACCGTCGTAAAAGAGGTGAGTTCAGCTTCTCCGTCTGCGCGCGCGCTCTCCCCCTCCCTCTCCTACTGTTCCGCACGACACTCTTCTGCCACTCCCGCAGTCATGTCCTGACATGCTCGCGTGTAGATCCTTCAAAAGGGCGAGCTCCAAGTCGGCGAGAAGGAGCGCGAGCACGACCTCTCCTCCGTCCGCCGCGAGATTGCGACGCTCGTCGCCGAGAAGTGCGTCGACCCCGCGACCCAGCGTCCGTACCCGGTCGGCGTGATCGACAAGGCGATGACCGAGGCCGGCTTCTCCGTCCGCCCGGGCAAGAACGCGAAGGCGCAGGTGGCGGAGTGCATCAAGCTGCTCCAGACCGACTCGAAGCTTCCCATCCAGCGCGCGCGCATGCGTGTGCGCGTCACCGTCCCCGTCGCAGATGCGGACGAGGCCAAGGTGCGGACTAAAGTGCGGGAGAGCGCGGAGGCGGTGGAGAAGGACGAGCTTGGCGCGGATGAGTGGGAAGCGGTGAGTGCTGCTCTACATGCGTGAAAAGCTCGACTTACTCAGAGCTCCTAGGTGATGCTCATCGACCCGGGCCAGTTCCGCGTCCTGAACGAATTGCTGCAGAAGGAGTGCAAGGGACGCGGCCGCCTAGAAACGATGTCGTTCGCTGCGACTGCCGGGAGTTGAGTGATTATATGCGTGGCGTATACCATCCATCTCTCCTACCTGTATCGATACTGGCATTCCTCTTGGTTGTACGCTTCTTGAGACACTGTATCCACTTCCGCAGCCCTAGAGCTGCCCATCGCCCAGCCTGCGTATTCGCACCAGGTGTCATCGCCATTGTATGAGCTCGTGTAAGAGCATTCGGAGTGGCTTCCGTTGAGTAAGTAGTTGTTCGTCACATAGCCGGACCAGGCTCCGCGGGGTGGCGCTTGCGCGCCAGCCTCCTTGTCTTGAACCAACTCGTTCACCATGCACTTGCTGCTCACCTATACCCACTCCCTGGTCGCCACCTCTGGCCGCGAAAATCCTCCTTCTTGTCTTACAAGACGATGGCCGAAAGAGCATTCACCCTCGCCTCACGCGCCTCGCGCTCGGCCCAGGCGTAGACCAACCCCCCGCGCGATGCCCTCGCTAGGTTCCACCCGGAGCACCCCTTCGTAATCTCCGGCGGCGACCGCAACAAACCACAGGCGATATACATCATCTGCGAATAGGAGCTCCGGACGAAGGAGGGCGACTTTTCAATTTCACGACCCCGTACCGACAAGTGAGTACTTGAGTTCTGACTATGAGCCCTGTCGTCGATCGCTCATTCTTCTCCGACTTCCTGCGGACGACCAGGGACCAGGATATCCGTGCGACACGTCGACCTGTGTCGCGCTCTACCTTGGCCCGATGCTTGCATTCTGGAGCTTGCCGGACCTCTAGCAGCTAATACTACCACAGCGTGCCAGTGGAAGACGCGGCGGTTCTTCTCTGTTTCCGTCCGCATAAGGCCGCGTACAACTCACCGGGCGGAAACTCAGATTCGTCAGTCAGCGCCCTTCACTTCTAGACTCTCCCCCGACTGACACCACCGGCTTCAAACACACTCGCGCAGCCGCCGATCTTGAATCGAAGCTCTGCAACATGGCCCGGCGCAGCGTCGTCGATGTCGTCGGCACGAACTATCCCCATCGGTGCTCCAAGAAGATTCCATCCCCCGTGGTCTCCTCGAGTCCATTGTGAGTCGTGACTCGTCTGTGATCGATGAGACGTCGCCAGAATGTCTGATTGAGGCATCTCGATCTCGTTCTGCCAGAAAAGCCGGCACCCATCGCCCCAACGGTCCACACACACGCACCGGCGACCGCAGCCTCTCCGCGTATGGATGTCAACTCAATCGCCCCTGTCGCGCGTATTGCAGGGGGCCCACCATGGCCGCCGCTGGATCCATGGTCGCCATGCCGGTGCTTGCGTCCAGAGACGATCAGTGTTCCGCTGATCAGGCGAGTACCATTTACGCTCTCAATGCATAACACCCCTCGTGCTTACGCTACCTGTATATTCGTGGCTACAGGAGACAAGTCCCTTCAACGAGATCGACGCATCTTCCAAGAAGGATAGGTTAACATAGACAAGAGGCCCGGGACGAATCGTCTTATCGTGCGCGAAAGGAGGGCGAGAGGATATCGTACAGTACAGGGAGTAAGCGACGTAATCGTACATCTTCCACTGAAGCTTGTCATGGGAGGCAATGTCCATTCAGATAGATCTCGTGCACGGACGTCCGTCGCGGGCATCGATCTCGCACAGATGCACGAAGCTGAGTGTACCGTTTTTCCTCCCCAGCACCAACGCCTCTCCGTCGCCGGTGAAAGCCAGATGACTTGGAGACCCCTCGGGGAAGAAGTGGTGCCCCACGCACGCCCCATCACGCGCCCTCCATATCCGGACGCTCCCGTCCATCGACGAGGAAGCGATGAGATTCCCGCAGGGTGACCATTGTGCGGTGTGGACGTAATCACGGTGGCCTGTGAGGGTATGAATACAGATGCCGGTGCGAGGGTCTGATACGATGAGTGACTTGACTCTCGTTTGGAAGAGGACGAATGGATGTATACGCCAACAAACGTACGTCGCATTTGGGGATAGGTGTCCTTGGATGACCTTGAGATCACTGCAGTGAAGTAACCACTCCGATGGCCATTTTAGGTGCACGGTTTTCAAGAGGCGTCCCTCCCGTATGGACCAAAACTTGCAGACAGGCTTGAAGGACCCGGTGAGAATGACTTCATCGACTTCTCCCGGTCTGGTGACACGGCCTGGAGAAGATATGCGGGAGCATATCCATGGCTCACCTGCCGGCATCACACCGCAGAGAGTGAGACTGTCACCTATCTCCCAAACACATTTCTCTGGTGTGCGTCCGTAAGTGAACAACCATCGCCCGTCCGGAGAGAGTTCCAGTTTGTGGACCCGAGAATCTCGGAAGTGGCTTCTGAAGTGGCAAGTAGTGTTTGTTGCTATGTCCCAGACAATGATATAACCGCCGCCGTGACCGGAGACGATGCGCTTGCCGTCGGGTAGCCATATCAAGGAGTCAGAGGAGGAGGTGGTTGGGGTTTTCCCTATATGACTATATAGGTTGACAGTGAACCGGCTGCGCCGGGCTTCTATTTTGAGTTCTGTGCAATCTTCGTAGATTTGCGGATTTCCCCGCTCGCCGAACACTCGAAGGGTCCTCAGAGTAGTGCGATCCCCATCAGATTTGTTGCTTTCTACAGTTGCGATCCGCGTGCCTTCCGGTGAAAGTGATACCAAGCGTGCGGTTTGGTAAATGCTCTCGGTAGACGTGAAGTTGAAGGGTCGGATCGCGCGGATAATGTTGGAGGTGCGCGAATCCCACATAGAGACTTGAGCTTCGTTGTCTACGGTCACCACAACGCGTCCCGGTCCGGGTGATGTGAGGAGGTGAAGGGTTCTTGCTTGGGGATTTGCGTCTGCGGATGAGTAATAAATGTCAGTTGTGAATACGAATCCTCAGCTGATATCAGCCAAACCTTGAATCCCGACCGATGTTGAGAACCTGGCACTGCGATACTTTAGAGTGGGGAGCATTTCGCACATGATCGACCTTATGTTCTCGGTGTCATGGATTTGGAGGCTGCGAGCCGTGATTGTGATTTGCACATCTATGGACGACACTTCCTGCGTTTGCGTACTATCTGGTTGGAGTGTGCGCGCATGGCTCGGTGTAGTCTGCCTACGTTGTTTGTGATAAATAAAAAGTATAACGGGTACCATAGGTACAACACACTGTTTCATGAATGCATCGTAGTCACATATGAGGATATTGATGAAGCGCAACTGGGCTGCGGACATTGCCCCTTCGAGTATTTCATCCAGTTCACCAGCAGATACTCCGGCTTCGGCCTTCAGATCCAGCTTCTGGAGACATGGCAGAGTGCTCCAGATATCACTCGTGATCGATACTTGTGTATTCAGTCTGATGAACTTCGAAGTGACGGATAACTGTTTGTTCTCACCTTTGGGGTATTCCTTGATTTTGAGTTCCAGCCACTTGACTCTCGAACCATAATACAGAAGAGCTCCCCTCATCGATGGGCCATAATCCCCATGCATCTATTTAAGAGAATGGGAACAATCAGTCAAACAGGGCTACAGTGGTGAATCACCAGGTGCATCTGTTGCCATAGCCTATCGGCAGGTGCAGATGCACCTGATGATCCGGCCGGCCCGGTTGCATTCCCGCAGCGTGCTCACGCAGCCGCCGGCCACACAGGCGCGACACTGCCCCGAGACGTCCGGACACCGGCGCCTCGGGCCCTGCCACCTGAGCTCACCGTCTCCGACAGTGAGCTCACCTCCCTCTTTGTTTACACCACAGTTTGTATATGATTGGTGATCAAAATATATTTATCAGTAAACTACCATACAGTTGGGCTAGCAACTAATACCACGCCCCGCGACAACGTGGAGGTGGAGGCGGAGATGGGTGCGGGCGGGTGACACAGGTGGATGAGAGTAACACGGGCGCGAAGGCGGTGGATGGGCGTGGGGGACGTGAGCGAGGCGAGCGCAGACGACGCAGCAAGGCGGGCGAAGAGGAGGCGGGCGCGGAGTAGAGCGACACGGCAACGCGAGTGCAGGCCAGGCGCAGATGGGCGACTCGGGTGGAGGGCAGCGCGGGGAAGAGCGAGGCGGGCGGAGGAGCGCGGTTTGGAGGAGGGTGGCGTGGGCGGGTGGCGTGGGCGTGGTGGAAGCAGGCGGGTGTGGGGGACGCGGGTGAGGCGCAGGCGGACGACGAGAAGGGCGAGGACGTGGCGCGGAAGAGGGCAACGTGGCGATGGGCGATGGGCGACGAGCAACGCAGAAGAGGAGGGCGAGGGCGTGGGCAAGATGAGGGCGGACGGAGAGGGCGACGTGGGGGCGAGCGATGCAAAGGCGGGCGACGCGAGGGCTTGCGAGAGGACACGGAAGGCCAGAACGAGGCAGAGGTAGTGGTGCGTGACGGCAGCGGAGGAGGGCGACACGCGCGGAGGCCGCGTGGAAGGCCCGGATGAGGCAGAAAAGGCGGAGGGCGACGCAGGCAGAGGAGGGCGAGGCGAGGAGAAGGCGCGGAGGAGGGCGACGCACGTAGAGGCAGGCGATGCGGGTGGAGGCCACGTGAGGCCGGGACGAGGCGAAGGAGGGCGAGGGCGAGGCGCGCAGATGTGGGTGACGGGGAGGAAGGCGACATGGAGGTGAGGGAGACGGAGGAAGGCAGCGGGGAGGCGCAGAGACGGGCGTGCGGGCGGAAGAGGGAGTGTGGGCGTGCGGGCGTACAGGCGCAGGCGGACAGCGTGGAGGCGGGCAACGCGGATGCGGGCAACGCGGGGGAGGCGCAAGCAGGCAAGGCGCATGAGGTGCGCGACGCGGGTGGAGGGCAGCGCGGAGAAGAGCGAGGCGGGCGGAGGAGGAGGCGGGCGACGTGCGCGGAGGAGGCAGGCGACGCAGAGAAGGGCAGCTCGGAGGAGCGCGGTGTGGAAGAGCGCGGTGACGCGGGCGGAGGAGGGCGATGCGGAGGGCCGAAAGGAGGAGGAGGACGTCCATGCGGACGTCCTCGGCCTGTTGTAGTTGTTGACAAAGCGGCAGGTGGGCGTTGGGAATGGGGAGGGCGGAGTGGAGGACTCACCAAAGCAGGGCCACGGTACATCGTCGTGGCCCCCCGATTCCAATCTCCATGCTGAGGACGTCTGGATGGACGTCCTCGTGCGTCTTGACGTTGTGAGGGCGGCAAGCAGGGTAAAGGGCGGGATTGAGGTCGAGGTCGAGGTCAGCCTGAGGAAGGAAGGTCGGTGTCACCTGGTGACACCGTAGTCCAATAGCAGACGACAGTCGACCATATGGTCGCTATCGTCTGCCTGGACAGAGCGTGGAGGATGGGGGCAGTGAGGGTGGAGGAGGAGGAGGAGGAGGAGGAGGAGGAGGAGGAGGAGAGCGAGGACGGCGAAGGACGCGTGGCATGCATCACAGCCACACATTGATGCGCGCCACGCCCAGCGAGGGGCGTCTACACGGGCGCGCATCACGGATCAACGGGTGCATCTGTAGCTGCCGATAGGCTATGGCAACAGGTGCTCCTAGCGATTCACTGCTGCTCAACAGGGGTACGAACAGCAATTGGTAACCCACTGATAACTTTGGCACAGAGATGCGAGGCGAAATATTGTTGAAGAACCCCGAATCGTAGGTCACTTTCCCTAGATCCAGCGTGTCGAGGGTCGAGAACATCGGCAGTACAACATGGAGGTCTTTTGAGGATTCGAGTACCAGATGAAGATGTCGAACGGGTCGAAGAGAAACTCTTCCAAAACTTAGTAAGAGGCTGCTAGGGGCTTTCATGAAACTGCGATCTTGTAGGTTCATCGAGAGGTGGCTCAGTCGCGAGAGCTTACAGCGGCAGGCCAGCTTCAAAAGACGATACAGATCGCCGCCGCCGAGATCTGCATTGATACCCGCGACAAGCTTGCCCTGGCCCTTCATCGGCTCCAATGTATGTTCAAGGACATCCACGTCCCGCTCCGAGCGTATGTAGACGGTTCGGTAAAGGTGTGGGAGAGCGTGGTGATACCAATCTTTGCAAACGAGTACGCAGTTGGCGAGAGCCCGTACGTGGTGTGCTTCCCCCAAGGGCATTTTGAAGTCGTCTTCGTCACCCAAGCAGTCGATCGCGAGGAATGCGATATCAGTGACCAGAGGGAACGACGACATGCCAAAGAAGACAGGCGTCGCCATGTTCCTCGCCGTCGGGGTGTGGATGATGATTGGTGTGGGGGATGATTACGGACAAGATGGCGAGAGGCGGATGTCGGAGATGATGAGACACCACGCGAGGACTTATAGTCGTGGTTACTATGAATGTAGAAGTTCGGCGCTGCCTTTGGAACCTGGCACGCCGGGAATATCAAAATTTCTGCTCGTCCGATATGTATGAGTAAACCTTACGAGAAATGTAATGTTTTTGGTAGCGTTCTGAGCCCTTCAGAATGATACAATTCGCGTGCATTGAAACTTTATGTGCCTCGACCTATTCCCGAGTCCTCAAAATGAAACATTTCTGCGGGTGCAGAATGATTTCTCACACATAGAGTTCTGGCGGCCCGGGAACTCAAAGTTTCCCGGTGTGCGAAATCATCTGCCAAATTTGACGTTTTTCTCATCATTTTGTCGGCCTCGCAACGATATATTTGGTGTGTCGTTCCGGCGGTCCTGAAATGTTATGTTTTGGATCTGAGCGCCCGCTCATCGCCCACTTGTCGCCCGCGCGTCGCCCGCTCGTCGCCCGCAGGCCGTCCACCTCCCTTATTTCCTTGTGCCCTGCTTATTGCGCGCAACGATGAGTGGGCGACGAGCGGGCGACGCGCGGGCGATGAGCGGGCGCTCAGATCCAAAACATAACATTTCAGGACCGCCGGAACGACACACCAAATATATCGTTGCGAGGCCGACAAAATGATGAGAAAAACGTCAAATTTGGCAGATGATTTCGCACACCGGGAAACTTTGAGTTCCCGGGCCGCCAGAACTCTATGTGTGAGAAATCATTCTGCACCCGCAGAAATGTTTCATTTTGAGGACTCGGGAATAGGTCGAGGCACATAAAGTTTCAATGCACGCGAATTGTATCATTCTGAAGGGCTCAGAACGCTACCAAAAACATTACATTTCTCGTAAGGTTTACTCATACATATCGGACGAGCAGAAATTTTGATATTCCTGGCGTGTGGGCCGGAGGATTCCAGACGGAGGCGAAAGCGCAGACGGAGTTGAAGATCTCGGATACGCTGTTGCTTGGTCCTATTTGTGTTGTGGCTGACGCGGGTCGCCGCGAATAATCGGACTCGGGAGCCTCAGCTCGTCGACAACGCCATCTCCTCCTCCACACCAGTTTCTCTCTACCCCCGGACGCTTCTATCCTTGCATATATACAGGGCCGGGCATCCTCTACCTCTTCCAACGGAAGCTTCTTCACTCTGGCTCTTCTTCCGATCCGTGGTTGTTGTAAACGCCAGCGATACAAGGCGTCTAGGGGGTATCGACATGAAGAGGATTTGGCCCATGGTATCCTGGTGCGTCATAGTCTTCCATCTATGGACCGCAATTCAGCAGACTCAGACCCACCCAGATGTTCCGCTTGGCATTGGCTTAGCGGTCCCGGTGGGATCCTACTTCGGCCTTCCTCCAATGCACCATACCTCAAGTCGGTGTCGGCCACTCCTTTCTGCACTGGCGGCTGAGACTGCTTTAATTAGCACGGAAAGCTGGACTCTGGAGGCGATCGAAGAGTAGGAGGGTGAAATCATTGGACAATGCATTCAACTAGTACGTTCAGTCTGTGTCTTCGTCTTGTGTGAGTAGATGCTAAGGTGCGAGTAGACCTTCGCCGCGGTAGTGAGTTTAGGCAATCGCGCGAAGCCACCCCGTCGATGGTCAATCGAAGTCCCCTTTTCCGGGAACCAACAACTGTCAACTTCCCCCGCTGCGACGCCTATGCACTTCCTTAGGAGATCCTTCTACCTCGGTCTCTCCAATGTCTACACACCTTCCCGCCGCCGCCGCTCACACTCTTGGACTTTCCCGTCGCTTCCACTGCCTCATGGGGCGCGACACCGCGGCGCGCAGAATGGGATCATCAATACTCTCCTTTCGGCGGGCAAGGTGCACATACTGAGAAACGACCATCTCCCATTCCTATATACGACAATCTGCCCCGACATGGCGCCGTGTAACGCAGCCACCTGTGCGTCATCCGTACTCCCACCTTTTTACGTTCACTCACGCGCGTGCACTCGTTCATATAGACATGCATGGTGAAGGCTGGACACCTCTAACTGTCTCGGCACCCCCGCACTGTTCGGAAACGTGGGCATGTGCGACCTCGCGACTCCACCTTTCCTCCACGCCGTTTCCGAGAGGGCTGTCGACGTCGAAATGCCGCTGCCCGCGCGCTCTGCCTTGCGTTCTCGCACTGGCGGAGCGGGTCGGCGCGCTCGCCGGAGCGGGCGTGCCCGCGAACGCCAGAGGTTGGGGGTACGCGCGCCGCCGGTGAAGGTTTTGATGGTGGAGAGGCGAAGCAGATCTTGGAGGATCTCGTGGCGGACACGGTGGGTCAGCTGGTGGACGGTGAGTGTTCCAGAGACCATCTCGGTGTACGAAGAGAAATGTACGTTCGATGGCGAAATCAACGCGTACTACCCCTTTTCTGTTGGGTCGAGCCCTCCGCAATGAAGGTGTTCCGAGACGCACGATCTCGGCTTGTACAACTCGCGGGCTACAAGCATCTCCGCCCAGGCGTCGTCGCCATCCTCGTCCGCTGCTACAAGGACTTGCCGACCGCGCTCCCCGCAGGGTGCATCGCCGCCGGGATGCTCGAGCGCGAGCACGCGCCGACTACTTTATCGTTGAGCACGATACAAGACCCCCGTAGGGCCGCCCGACGGGAGCGTCGTAGGGATAGCAGGGTGCGCCGCGTCAAGGATCTCGTGCGTCTCCTCCACCCTCTCTTCACGCACTCTCGCTGACAGTCCCCGCCCTCCTAGTCTTTCTCTTTGTCCTTAGCGCGGAAACCTGTACGTCCCCCACGCCCCTCCCATTTCCTCGCTCCTTAGGCTATGACGCGCCGGCGCAGCGGCACGCATGGCCCGACGTCCCGCGACCCCCGATCGCCATCGCCAAAGCCGTGTTCGCCCAGGACGTTCTTCCGGAAAGCTTGCAGCGCATATGATTCTAATTTTCAAGACGATCTCCAAGTACCTTCGATACAACTGGTCTACTGCTACACAATCATGACGTCTACAGGCAAAACCTTTCGCAACCAGTGCAGGGGACCAGCGTTCGCGGAGACTTGGAAGAATCCAATTCGGCGGTATACCTGCATTTCCTGAGACGTCACCACGATGCCACCGACGATGTTTGGATCCCAATGGATCGGAACCGCCCACAGCTCGCGCACGCCTGCGTCGTCGTCGCTGTCGAGGTAGACGAACCCGAACCGCTCGAGCCCGTCGTCATCGTCATCTTCGCGTTCGTCGACAGCCACTTCCCGGCAGATGTACCGTCGGTCCTCTTCATCCCACACGCACGGGACGAGCGGTGCGCGGAGAACGAGCGTCGCCGCCAAGACCTCGCCGAACGGGAGCTCCGCATGCGCCAGCACCACCTCGCAGCGAACTACCTCCGCGACGCCTCCTCCTTTGCTCTCGAAAGATCCTGCGGTGACGGCGCGGGCCCCTGCCATCACCTGCCCGTCGACTGCCGCCCAGGACCACGACGGAGCGCGGTACGCTTTCTGGCGCGTCGGGGCCGGGGAGCCCTCGCGCCGGTTCCAGAGGAGGTCCGCGAGCAGGCTCTCGCGCCAGAGGCCGGCGAGGTACTCGGTGCGGAACGCGCGCTGGAACTCCTCCGCGACCCCGCTGAGCGCGACGAGCTTGTCGCTCGAGACGGTGATCGCGCGCGCCGAGTAGTCGCGGAGCGCCTCCTGCCAGGCCGCGCGCAGCGCCGCGCGTTCCTCGGGGCCGATTTGCGGGGGCGCGGGCTGGAGGAGCGCGGCGGGGAGGCGCGGCGGGCGGTCGGACTGGTCGTGGAACGCGCCCCCGACGTTCCGCACGGCGCTGTGGCAGTGGACCTGCACCGTGTGCGCGGCGAAGACGAGGGCGCGCGGGGACATGAAGTACTCTTGCATGCACCAGCCCCGCGCGCTCACCGGCTCCGCGCGGGCGTCGTACTGAGAGAGAGGATGTTCCGGCGGGTCCGGGTACGTCCAGAGAGGGGACACGACGATTTGGCCCGTGCGCGCCGGCGTGCCTTGCGGAGCCGGGCAGCGGAAGGGCAGCACGACGTCGCGAGAGAACGTGCTGAACGGGGTGGGCGGCACTGCCGGCCGCGGCGCGAGGAACCCAGCGCTGACGCGGGGCGCGTTCGCGGCGACGATGGTGACGTGGGCGTCGCGGTAGACGTTGCGCATGCGCCCGAGCTCCTGCAGCTTGTCCTCCAGGGAGTCTTGGATGATGCACAGGGTGTCGGCCCGCAGGTAACGGAGACCGAGAGCGCGTGTCACCGCCATAGCGTCGAGGATGGTCTGCGGGAGGTGGGCGGGGTCGATGAAGAGGGCATATGCGGCTTGGTTAGCTGTCACAGTACTGTGTGGCTGAGCTTCGCCCCAGACATAGCTCAGTGCAGTGTATGTGCCGCGGGTACCGGCCGTGGTGACGAGGCGTGGAGCTCCAGGATCGGCGCAATCAACTAGTCGGGTGGGCATGAGCGACGGCGGGTCTGGTTGTGGGAGGCAGTTCTTGTGAGAGCTGATGCAGTCTTCCAGATACGCTTTCGCGAGGCAGAGAGAGCCACTGGAACCGACGTCCAGCAGACGTGGGCGGGCAACGATATGAAGAGCAGATGGGTCATCTGGAGGATCGTGATGAATGACGAGAAAGACGTGGCGACGCATGCTTACCTTGGTGAGTATACACGTAGCCGATAAATCGGAGAGTGTCGTTCACAAACACCGATATGTCCTGCGTCCCTTCAGGGGTCCCAGTGTTCAGAACACCCTGTGAACCCACAACGATACGCAGTGGAGTGTTTGCATGGGAGTCCGCGTCGTCTTCTTTGGTGGAATAGACGAGCTGACACCAACGACATCCGACGGCTGCACGAGCCGCCAAGTCCTCCCAAGACGTGGAATAAGCAAAACCTCCGGTTGTCGGTTTTCTCGAGTGCACCTTGACGAAAAGGCCTAGGGATGAGGCGAAAAGGCCCTCACAGCAATGTTTACAGACCGACTCCGCCAGCTCTTCTGATGTCCTGAATTTGAATGGAAATGAGTGAACATAAGACTTTAGAATCTGGATTGCATTTTACGTACCTGCTTTCATCGTCGCGCTGCCGCGAAGCCTTCGGAGGCGTGTGACAGAGGGAGCACATCGAATGCCTCAGGCAAGAAACCATGGATAAGAGACATCCCATGTCTGCTCGGCGACGGTGTCGCGGTAAGTACTGGTGAAGAGGCTCGATGCGAGATCTGGCCTGGCGTGAAAAGCACTGTTGTTGCCGCATGGTGGCCTCGTGGTCATGGCGTGGCAGTCAAACCTCAGTCACTGTACCGAGTGTTGCATGGAAGCACTTCGGACCGAACCACAACTATAGCTCGGTATAACGGACTGGTCATGGTGGATATCGTAATATGTGGACCGGAAGGCGCGCGGACAAGTCGTGGGTACGTGCACGTGTGGGGCACCGTTTTGATGGTCCAGGTGACGGGACCGTCACAAGTCACACGACATGATTTTCGGTCGTGCCATCACTGTTGATGTTTCGGAGTCCGCCCAGCTTCCCGGAGGTGCAGCAGAAAACATTCGACACCTAGGTATGTACGGCTGGGATAATAACCGTTGACTGATGCTTACACACATGTAATATCGCCAGCTTCGACGGCCTGGGATCAATACGGGCTAGTGGGAGGCCGATCTTGGGCTATCATTGGTTGCGGACACATTGAGGCGGCTGGTGGACTGCGAGTGCCGTGGAAACCGCCCCGGTGTACGATGACTCAGGGACAGTTGAAGAGGGCGCAGCAGTTCCCGACTTGAATGCTGGGATGCTCGGCGGATGCGCGTTCTTTTATCTCCATGGAGATTTTGCTTACCCATGCATAGGCCACGTACTGCACGGACTAGTAGCGACTCACCATTGGTTACGCAGAGTGTCCCCGGATGTCTTCGCAAACAACCGGGTCTTCAACTCTCGACTCAGACAAAACCACAGCGCAGCTCGCGCAATTATGAGTCTTGTCACCAACACGCACTTAACCGTCTCGTAGACCTCAGGCAAACTTCGAAGTATGACGAGACAGATCGCGTGGCGGACTTCTCGGGCTCAATGTACGTTCACAGTCGGTTTGTCTTACCGTGGTCGCTTACGTCGCACGCACAGTTCAGACGAGGGACTGGTTACTCGACACAGGCGAGAACCCGACCATGGATAACTCACGGACAGCGTTCAACCTTGGGGTGAAGACGGATCTCAATCACTTCGCGTGGTTGGAGGTTCGGGGGAACGAACACCAACTTGCGCGCTTTGTCATGCGATGACCGGGTCGGGTCAGTAGCAGGAAACGAGGAACATGCTCAAAGGTGCGCTCGTTCAAGGCTCCCCGTTGGGCGCTCGGAGTTTGACAGATGGTATACCGCCGCAGGATTCGCTTGAGAATGGTTCCCGGCGGACTCGGTCAGTCTGTGTTCGCGGTCGTCGCAGAGGCGTTCGCTCACCTCCGCTTTGCCGTCGAACACCGCGCGGCGCGCCCGTCGCAGCGGTAGCACCGAGATGATACGTCGTCGCTCCGTGCACAACGCTCGCAGCCATGGAGAACGACGCACGCGGGATTCTTCGCGTCTGACCGCGCAATGAGCTTCCACTGCCGGCACGGCGTTCTCTGCGCCGCAGAAGCTGCTCACCATTCCGGGGCTCGCAGCCATCGTCGCACAACCCAGCACTGTGTTCATGAATTGCGGCGTCCCCCACCACTAGCCCGACGCGAGTGAGCCCTCCCATGCGTTTCTTCTTCTCTTTGCTTAACTAACGACGCGTACCTCCAACAACAGATGACGGTGATGTGACGCTAACGTCGAAGGGCGCGTGAAAGAGGTGTGTGAGGGGATCGCGTGCCGTGCGCTGCGGGGAGTTGGCCGGGAGAACGGAAGGAAAGCGGAGCGCGGCGAGTGGGCGTAACACGCGCAATGAGGAGGCGTCGACACTGTAGATAAAGCGAAAAGACTGCCAGAATAAATACATAACCTAGTACGAGCTCGAGACGTAGCAATGAAGTCGGTGCGGGCTGAGCTCGGGCATACCGGCGAGGAAATGAGGTAGAATAATCGAAACGGACATCGACAGGAGGACGAGAGAGTGTACAGTAGAGGCAGAGAAGCGGCCGCGTGGTCGCGGGAGATAGCAGCGAGACACTGAGTGGGGGTGGTTGGTAGCACTAAGAACGAACAGGACTCGAGACTGGAAGATGGTATGACTGAGACAGACGCTGGCACGGGAACGGAGCGGGGCGGGGGATGCGGGGCGACGAAAGGTACGGAAAGGTCTATAGAAAACAACAGCATGCGGAGAGGTGAGTGAGGGGAGGTGGGATTGGCGGTCGGAGGTGGTGCTCGCAGCTCGAGCGGCGCGCGCGAGCAGCAGCCCGGTGGCGGCGACGCTGGACTGTCGTGGGGTGCGCGCATTGGTGCGCGTTGCGTGGGGAATTGTCGGAGACGGTGTCCGGGTGTGTTGGTGAGGTGGTGGTGCGGGCACGTTGGTGATAGAACGGTCGGTGCGGCGCACAGACCGGTGGTGGACCGGCTTTGGCTTGTTCGTGTAGGGGGTGGTTTGGTAAGAGGCGCGCCGCGCGCGGCCGCGCGGCATGCGCATCAACGGAGAGTCGCCTATCGTATCACGAATAGTCGGTACTGCGTTGACGGCGCATGTAGCTATATCAGCGCAGGATCGTGGGGGGCAACGTCCGTGGTGGGAGAGAGTCGTCTGCATGGACGCCCATCGCGAGCGTCGATCTCGCACAGGTGCAACCAGCCAATCGCACCGTTCTCCCTTCCCAAGAACAACGACTCGCCGTCGCCCGTGAATACCAGCACAGACGGCGCCCCCTCTGGAAAGAAGTGGCAGCCGATGCACACTCCGTCCCGGGCCCTCCATATGCGGATAAACCGGTCGTTTGACGAGGTAGCGATGAAATTTCCACAGCGCGACCATTCGACGGTATGGATCGAATCGCGGTGTCCTGAGCAAACATGGATCAGAGAGCCGGTGTGTGGATCCGATATGAGGAAGGCGTGGTATGGGGAGAAGTGTCGTGGAAGCCAGCAAACGTATTTCGCATGAGGAGACAAGTGTCCGCCGTCAGGGTAGAAATTGAAGTCAGGTCGAAGGAGCCATTTGGAAGGCCACTGAAAAGGTATGGATCCAAGAAAATCCCCCGATTCGAAGGACCAGAAGCTGCAAGTTGACCCGTCCAGTGAGGTCGTCGCAATTTTGTCACCTGCGGGGCTGAGGGCAAAGGAGCATATGTCGGAATGGTCTCCAAAAGCGTTCCATGGAGTCGGAGCTGATATCTTCGTGCGCAACGTTAAGGTGTTGCCTATTTCCCAAACGCATATCTCCTTTCGCCATCCGTAGCTAAGCAAGTATCGTTCGTCCGGGGAGAGGCGTAGTTCACGGACTGAACACATGGAAGAATGACCCGCGAGAATTCTGGTAGATTCTGTGTCTTGGAAGTTTTTCCAGCTCCATACGACGACCTTGCCGTATTCGTGACCGGACACGACGTGAATTCTGTCAGGAAGCCATATGGTGACGTTGACGCGGGGAAGAAGCTCCCCCTCGCCAAGGCGATGTTCGCAAACTTGCTGAGGGTTTTCCATGACAGTGAATACTTGAAAACTCTCGGTGGTCAGACCAAGGCTCGACCGGTCGCTGGCGAGCAGTGCGATTTGTGATTCATCTGGTGACAGTGATGTAACGAATACTCCGTTTGAAGCGGTATTGCTGCCACTGGAGAGACGGATTTCGAGCACATGGATTATATCTTGAAGGAAGTCCGGAGAGCCCCAAACATTGACCTCAAGGTTTTCGTCGACACTAATAACGCTTCCACCAACGAGTGATGGCCAGAGCTGCTTGACATATGCGCCCTTCTTTTCGACTATTTGGGTCATTTTAGCGGTGTTCTGAAGGAGAAAAAGAGCATGAAACCGGGGCGAACCTCGAATGCAAGAGACTGAATAGGAACTGTATCCGAGTTTGGTCAGGCCAGGAAACAGTTTCTGGACTGCCGGTTCCACAGTATCCGGCTGGGGAGCTCGCACGTAGGGATTGAAACCGTTATTCGCACATGCACAAGTTTCCGAGAGAGCGGTAGAGTCGGGATCGTACTCGGGTCCCGAGGAGAGTCTGTCACACACGCCTCGCCTTCAAACGACCGACACAGCCTGAATTGGTCCTGGTTAGTCCACCAGCTTGTAGCACTCCTGCTTAACCGAGTAGAGCTAGCACTTGCCTTCGAAAGGGGTCACTACTTTCGTAGTCGACGATGATGTGGATCAAGCGCAGCTCGGGACCCCACTCAAGTTCTTCAAGTAGTTCACTTATGTAGTGGAGATTGTTTCCGTGGAAGTTGAGAAGGCGCACAGTCAGCTGAGGGACCTCAGTACGCTAGAGTATATAATGACACCTATTAGGTGTCAGATCAATTGGCATGTGTCATATACCCGCGCGCAAAGAAACCACCACGTGACGAGATACGCCGCAGGCTGCCACGCGCGAAGCGCCCGGCAAAACTCAAACTGTATTCAATCTGTTTCGAACACGGGCATCCGGGATGTACTTGCCGCTCCACCAACTGCACCATCGGACTGTTAATAGCGCTCAAACTTGATGTGCTATAGCCTCATCAAATGGTAGGTATGAACACTTGTAAGTCCTCACAGAGGGCTTGTTTTTCGCACTTGCACAAAATGCTCCTGGATGGCGCTTATCTTGGTACTGATTGTGCATCTGCCAATTACGCCGCGTGGCGCACACCAGCGCCTATCTCTGATAGCCGCGCCAGTCAGCGCCTTCCCCCGCGCCGCTGCGCCGCCTTGATAGCCCCGATATCTCCGGAGGGTCCGCGCCGCCGCATCTTCGCCGGCGCCTCCCCGCTCCGCCACCTGTGCTCACCGCCTCCAACAGCGAGCTCGCTGTCCCGCCGCCCCGCTCTCCCCTCTCCTCCGTTTGCCCCCATTCCTTTTTGTATCCGCTTGTATTTAAAATGCGCACCTAATGGTATATAATGCAATACCCTCACTCAGCTGGGTGAGCCTGCATTGAGCCCTTGTACCCCCAAAAATGCGTGCAACATAGGAACTTATGCAACTGATCAATCGTCTGGCTATTATCTGCATCGGATAGGATTATGAGAACTCGTTTTTCATCTGAAATCGCAGGTGGATAGCTGGAAGGGTGCAGGTATGATGTCATATGTCATTTCAGGATGACATATTCCACAGTGATATGGTATATACATTTATCGTCATATGGACACCTAGAATCATAAATAGAGATCAATCAGAGCGCATATCACAAAGAAGCAGATGAAACGACGATGTTTTGGCGATGATATGACATGTGCTCAGAAGGGAGGACTACATTGAAAATGCGGCCTTCATATGTTCTTGTGCAGACGTCCAATCATTGTACCATTTGCTTCATTGCGTTCCCACACATTTATAGAGCTCAGATCGTCAGTTTCATGCTTATCGGTGGAGGATTGAAGATAGAGTATGGTATGTCATTATTCTATGACATAGCGCATAGCAAGACGACATGTGCTCCGATTACTTTTCTGAAAAGCGGAATAGAAAATGGTAGTCTTCTCCTACACAATGCAGAAGTAATCTCGAAAAACGGCCAAGAAATGGTAGAGATATGTTAGAGGAGCCTAGTATGGCAGGTTGTGCAGAGGACGCTCTTGAACCACCCACACCACTTGGCACACTCTGAGCTCCTATGGCATGTCTCCGCCGTTTCTTGGCCGTTTTTCGAGATTACTTCTGCATTGTGTAGGAGAAGACTACCATTTTCTATTCCGCTTTTCAGAAAAGTAATCGGAGCACATGTCGTCTTGCTATGCGCTATGTCATAGAATAATGACATACCATACTCTATCTTCAATCCTCCACCGATAAGCATGAAACTGACGATCTGAGCTCTATAAATGTGTGGGAACGCAATGAAGCAAATGGTACAATGATTGGACGTCTGCACAAGAACATATGAAGGCCGCATTTTCAATGTAGTCCTCCCTTCTGAGCACATGTCATATCATCGCCAAAACATCGTCGTTTCATCTGCTTCTTTGTGATATGCGCTCTGATTGATCTCTATTTATGATTCTAGGTGTCCATATGACGATAAATGTATATACCATATCACTGTGGAATATGTCATCCTGAAATGACATATGACATCATACCTGCACCCTTCCAGCTATCCACCTGCGATTTCAGATGAAAAACGAGTTCTCATAATCCTATCCGATGCAGATAATAGCCAGACGATTGATCAGTTGCATAAGTTCCTATGTTGCACGCATTTTTGGGGGTACAAGGGCTCAATGCAGGCTCACCCAGCTGAGTGAGGGTATTGCATTATATACCATTAGGTGCGCATTTTAAATACAAGCGGATACAAAAAGGAATGGGGGCAAACGGAGGAGAGGGGAGAGCGGGGCGGCGGGACAGCGAGCTCGCTGTCGGGGACAACGAGCACGGGGGGCGGGTCGGAAGCGCGCGACGTGGGCGTGGGAGATAACGTGGGTGCAAGCGGGAGAGATAACACAAACTGATGGGAGATCTGATAATATGTCTATGGGTGCAGTAAATCCATAACAATGTATATGGGGAACCTTGTAAGGACGCGTAGCTCAGCTGTAAAGCTGAGCTGCGCTTTGTTTATGCTAGGCCGGGGTTCTAATCTCGGCAGACGCAAGTCTTTTCTAGGCGCCCGCTGTGCGCGCATGGCCCGCGCCTACCCGTATGCCCCAGGAATTGGCACATGCCCATTGACCCGACACCTAATAGGTATCGGTATATATATAGGTGTACTGAGGTATATGAGTCAGCTCACAGAGCTTTGAAAAGGAGTCCCACGGGATATTCCTTATCCCTGATTCAAAGTATGTCAGAGCACTGAGACCGCCGTCACAGAAGCAAAATACACCATGGCCAGAGTCCAGACTCACAATGATCGCGATCGGAGACGATACTGGGCGGCGGTGGGGCACCGCCGAGCCACAGTGAGGCGGCGGCGGCGGCGGCGGCTGGCAGCATATCCGAACCGTAGTCATTGAACTCCAGTCGTTTGATTGTGGGACCACACTGTTCAAGGATGCCCCTAACAACAACTGGATCGCACATGGTGCTCATCTACTGGTCATCAGTGCGATATACGATTTATCGATGTATTAGGACTTACTGTTAGGTCATGTATGGATACTAGGCGATTCGGAGGTATGAAGAATCGGGGAAGGGTTGGCGATCTGGTTGAATTATCGAAAGAAAGGTGGTAAATAGTCGCAGAAATACGTCCAGATCTTTGAAAGGACACCCTGCCAGATCCAAATGGCGAATGGAACGAAAAGCGGCCCCCCCGAAGGATCTCAAGACGCGAGGGTTGATCAAGAGGAAACTCTCTTCATGTAAAGTCAGTGCCAGGCGTTCTACTTGCGGAAGCTTGTAGATCAAGGTGAGGAAGGGGTACAGGTTGTCGATGTCTGCATTGATCCCCGCGATTAGCTTGCACCTGTCCTTGTACGACTCCAGTGTGTCCCGCAGGATAGCTATATCACGCTCAGAGCGTATGTATACAGTTCGATAGAGGTGGGGGATAGTGTGTTTATGCCATTCTTTGCAGACAAGCGCGCACGTGGCCAGAGCCCGAACGTGGTCCGCATTCCTCCAGGACGTCTTGAAGTCGCCTTCGGTACCCAGGTGGTCCGAGATTACGAGGAATGCTATGTCCGAGAGAAAAGGAGTGCGCGGTAATGCAAAGAAGAGGGGTAGAGCCATATTGATGCGTGTACGGTGACGAGAGAGGAGAGAGGAGGGCAGGTGGAAGCCGAGGAGAGAGAGAGATAGAGAGACAGAAGTAGCGGGTTTTGAACGTGGCAGCCGAGGAGAGGGAAATGGGCGCTGCACTCAATGTGCCCCCGCAATGTGGTTCAGCGTTCAATGAGGAACAAGCTATTCCAGTATAAGGGCGAAGCGCAGTGACGCCCAAGACAGACCATAGAAACCGTCAGACCATGCTAGGTCACGACGATGCGACAATCACACGAGTGTACTATCAGAGAGCATAACACAGTGACATGTGCGAGATGGAGACAGAATAGTCAAGCACAAGGACCAAGGTCGATCGCGCACTCCGGGGCAGCAAAGATCCTACAGTAGCTAATCGCCAGGTGCATCTGTTCCGATAGCTACTCATCAGGTACAGATGCACCTGGTCTTATCAGGATGGTTGCATCCATCATCATATGTAATAGACACCCTTAATAATTATTGTTCTGTGAGTGCAGATGCATCTGTTCCGGGTACGGATGTATCCGTCCTCGGGGCAGAATGTGGTACGTATGCGAGCATGAGTCCGCGCGTGGGCCGCATCGTCCACATGTCAGTGTAACGCATGAGCACGAATTCGTGCCACGCGCACCCATATTTCGCTGCGCCTCGGTGTGCGCACTAATGAGATGTTTGTCGCGCGGCTAGTAGCAAGCTCGCGCACCAAGCGCGAGTCCGAGCGCGCTCGCGTCCACACCGTATTTTCCTGTCCGCTTCCCCAGAAGACGTGCCCGGGGCTCCGTCGCGTGTGCGAGGGGTGCACGCAACTCAGCCGTTGCACGCGCGACTCCACCAGATGCACACAAGGGTCCCATACAACCGATTACAACAAACTGTTCATTGTCGACGGTTGTGCAAAGTAAGTACAGGCGCATTTTAGAGGCCGGGGTAGCGCTCCAACTCGTCGTCGTGGACGACTGCCCGAAGAGCCTATGGATGGGACAGTAAGATAGCGGAAATGGCAAGCGGCGGTCCCGACCGGACACATTCACCGGGTCGGGACAGGGCCTGCGTGGGCCAGTGCTGCAGGCGACGGGCCCGCGCGACCTCGGGGCGCTGGAAATACACACGGAGACAATGGGCGCAACGCACCCATGGTCCTCCGTGTGCTCCAGCGCCCTTCCCACTGTGGACGTCCTTTCCCGCCGATCCAACGCGGGAGCTCTTCCTCTTCCCTTGTGCGGTGGGAAGAGAAGGCGCACCCGGCGGTGTAGCATCTTGAACCGAGGAGAGGTCATCGGGACCCGATACCATCCGTGTCGACATCAGGAGGCGTGGAGGCACGCAAATATACGGGCGCGGGAGAGGGCGTTGGCGCGAGAACGAGTGAGGATGCGCCGGTAGATGTGGTTGTGGGAGGGCGTTGGTCAGGTTATAGAAGCCGGGATAGAGCGCCGGAGACCGAAGGCGAATTAGAACGGGACCGGGTAGGCAGTAGTGTAGGGGAGACCTCACCTGTGGGGGGCTGGGCGGGCATCGCAGGTAGATATACCAGAGGCCGGTGGAGGAGGCCGCGTGAAGACGAACATCCGACACAAGTACGTCGCGGAGCATACTATATGCTCGAACGCGATGGAGGGTGGGTGCTTCTAGTCGAGGGCGGCGGGTATGAGGTGAGTAGAGTAGGGCTTGTGCACCGCGTGGAGAACGACGCACATGTTTGAACAGTGTGGAGCCCACGGGTGGGGTGAGGGGGTGGAGAGGATCTCAGCCCGCGAGGACTCTCGCGAGGCTCACACACGCGATCGTCCAGGCGTGCCGCGACTGAGGGCAAGAGCCATGCGGCGACGTGGACCATCTCGCGACGTGGCTGCACTTATGAAGCCACGAGCACGTGTGAAGGTGCTGGGGAGGAAGGGAGGGCGCTGCCGGTTCCGGGATGCAAGAAAGCGACGAGGTGAGGGTGGACAGTTGAAGATGAGGCAGTGATCTGGCCGGCCCAGAGGCGCCACTCGAGAGCTTCCCCGAGCGCGCATTCGCAGCGCCCGATTTCCCGTGGAGGAAGACGTGCAAGCTTCACCCACGCACGATTGGACTGCGAACGATCTTGCATAAACTTGGAGGCGAGTATGAGGCAAGCCAGGAAGGTGCAGCGGGGACAACACAAGGGGGAGGGGAAGCGGGGAAGCGGGGGCAGAGAAGTGCTGCAGAGGGAGGGCCGACATGATGCGCGGGCGTCGATGTCTCTGTCGCCTGTCACCGTCGCAAACGGTTAGAATGGTGTTGCTGAGATCGTGGGAGATAGAGCTGACAATGCGAGGCTCACCGACGACACCTTGCACAATCCTGGGCTCGACGGAGGACAGATGATCCAGTCTTCTTGGTGCGGAGGATGTCGGGGATCTTGGCGCGAACGGCCTCCAGATAGCAAAGCGCGGTTTGGAGGACATCGGTGGACGTTCGGGAACGACAGAGGACCTCTGCACAAAGCCCTTGATCGGAAGCAGATTCCGCTGACGGAACCTTTGGGCGACTGTGAGTGTGGCTCGCACCCGCTCGCGATTGGAGAGGACATGCGGTGCGTCGACGACGATATCGGGGAGAGAAGCTGTGTGTTCCGCGACGAGAAGATTGGCGCGAGACTGCGAGGCGATTGCGGCGGACGAAGACGTGGCCTTGAGGTCGGGCTGTGCACAGAGCCCGTCACTGTTACCAACAAGGTACACGGCCGGAATGTCATCGGTTTGCCGAACGTCTGAAGGTGTTTTCACGGCTTGATCTGGAAAGACGGTTGCCATGAATATCTGTTCTATCGCCCGCGACAGAAGTAGGTATGCGTGACACCCGAGGGTGACCGACGCGCCGATGCACTCGCGCGTGCGCCAGGACGACATAGCGCGTCAGGGAATGACACAGTGTTGCTCGTGGACTGGCCCGCTCCATAAACATTAAATCAAAAAAGTACTCACCAACGAGTTTTGCGGCATATTTTGACTTTTGAACATCCCGGATTGAGTCGGGCGATGGCAGTGATGTCTTGATGTCGCAGATTGGGTGGAGGGGGCGGTGGATGAAGAAGAGGTGGCAGATGAAGAAGCGGGGGTGTGCAAGTAAACAGGAGCCGGGACAGGTGACTTGGAAGTGTGGGATGCGAGTGTGTGGCATGCAAAATGTTGGAAGCATAGGGCTGCCAACGGGCCTTAGCGCGCGAGGTCGCGCGAGGGCCGCGGTGGGGCAGCGAGTGGGTGATTGCATGGATATTCATTGTCGATAAGTGTGCGGAGACTGGGATCTTGCGGAACAGAGTGGTGGCGAGGGACTATTACCAGATTGATATGATTCAGAAGAGAGCTGGGCGAGGTCGAAGGTGGACTGGATGATAATGATACTGGATATTGTGTGCCGAGGGCGCTGGAATATCGTGCCGGAGCGCAGCGCAGGGCCGAAGGACGCAAATACGTATTCATTCAGCAGGGTCGTTCCGCCTTCTAGCTACAGGCTTTCAACACCACGGCGACGGAGCACATACAACACGATTAGATGATTATGTTCCTGTGTCCTGCGTGAGCAACTGCATCTGTGGGCAGGGGAGGGACCTACTCAAGCGTTACGTGGGGGAGAGCGAGTACAATGGTGGTCACCTTTGGCCAGCCGATGTTGATGGTGTCGAAAAGGTCACGGGGCTCCCAGGTGGTTTCCCCAGAGCACTGCTTGTGCCCAAGCTGAAATTTTGCACAGCCGTAGGCCCCCATGATGTCGGAGAGCGAGAAGATGTCCATCGCGATGATGTCTGTGACCTTAGACGCCACGCCTTGCATCCGATGGAGCGGACCTTCATCGTCCTGAGAGACTGCGTTAGCATGTAGCATCGCACATCAGGGCGTCGGCGCACCTCTACGTATATTTTGGTCGTCAGAACCCACGGCTTGTCACCCCAGGGGATGTCCTCGTTGGCCTTGTCGAGTTTCATGTCGAAAGGCCGCAGAGCGTGCGCCGCCTGGGGCAGGCAGCGGCCGACGAAGGCCGCAAGGAGAGTAGGTGCTGATGACCAGGCAGGATGTCGGTGAGTGGGACGACTGAACACAAATGGCGCAACTTACAGATGCCCTTCACGGCAGCTTGGACCTCTGCAGCGTTGGCGCTGGCACCGGTGTAGTCGTCACGGAGGAAAAGCGTCCGAGGCCCGCGCGACGGCCCCGCGACAGCTCCACGGCCCGGGGGCTTAAGGACCCACGAGTTGACGACCTCGGATCCGACGAGCCAGGGCCGGAGGTCCCGGACGCCCTCAATGGCTGGCAGAAGGGTGTTTGTGTCGGCAGAGGGCGCTTGGGCGAGGCACCTCAGCGACCTTGGATGTAACCCAGGCCCTTGGCCTGTAAGCGGGCGGGACGTAGAAGGGGTGGTCGCGACTTCCTGGAGGTCGCGAAGAACGTGTTCGGTCGGTTCCTCCTTGATCTTCACAGTCTTGAGCGGGGGCGGGCCATCGTTCTCGTCATCCGAAGAGAGGGAGATGACGGAATAACGGCGCTTGCCGGAGGTTGTAGTAACCATGTCGCCGTCGCGAGCGAGGCCCTGCTATAGCATGAGCTACTAGACACGAAGGGGAGGGGAAGAAAGCGCACCTTGCTGTAAGGACCGCTGTTCTCCTTGTTTGAGCCCTGCAAAGATATGAGCATAGGGAGACGAACGAAGGAGGGCCTGATGTACCTGGTTCTGGGAGGCGAGATCGCTGGGGGTGTCGTCGTCGCTCTCAGCGAAAGCAAAGAGCTCATCACCGTTGTCGCTGTCGCTGATGCTCAGTAAACCCTTTAGGGGCGACTCCTACAAGGACAGCCATCAGTTCTTGTTGAGCATATACCGGATACATACACACCTTGACCGGCTTCCGAGATTGCGTAAGCTTGCGCCGAGCAGCGGCCAGCACGCTGGGAGAATCGTCCACGCTAGGCGACCTGCAGGCGGCGGACGCACGCCCAGGGCGTTGTCGGGCCTTCCAAGGAGGGACTTCGTCATCGTCGACTATGCCCCCGTTGTCCAGGAGATCCTGGAGCGACCGAGCAAGCGCTGCATCGTTCTGTGTTGTGTCTGGGGGAAACACTTCATCCTGGCTGAGCGACCGAGCGAGCAGCGCATCAGCTTCAAGCTGCTCCGGCGTGGTGCTGGTGCTCGAAGGCACCCACACAACTGGGGAGGGCTAACGAAAAGTCAGAAATCAGAACCTGGAATATAGTATGCTGCATACCGCGCGTGATTTCATGTTGGCCTTCGCCTTACCCTTGTCGATTGCCGGTTTCGTATACTTCTGAGTTAGCACCGGGCTAAGGCTGGCGCTTGAAGGGAAGTCAATGAGGGGAGAATCCTTAACGGAGGTCAGAACAGGGGAGCCGCGACAGCGAAAGACACCCACATCGCTGGAGTTGACAAGGGCGATACCTTGCCCTTGCCCTTGCTCTTGACCGGCGTATTGGCCAGATTTTGAACAGCGGCCTTGGACACCTTGGTGAGCTATGGCATGTTAGTCAAGAGCGACACGCTAGGGACAGGGAAACGCACACGGTCGGCTTCACGCTGCGCTTCGATAGCAGCAAGCTGGTCTTCGGGGACCGGGTTGCGCGGAGCAATGCGGCGAGGGCCGCAAGTCTCGTCACCCTGCCCGGTCCGAGCATCGCACTGCAAGACGGTCAGGCTGGTGGGCATCAAAGAGCTCAGAACTTACGGAAATACCCATTTGTCCGGCTGCGTCGGGCTTATAGTGCATGAAAGGGCGTAGGGAATCGATACGCCCGCATTTCGGGCACGGGGGTCTCACTTCAGAATAGTTGACGAGTTCAGGAGGGAGTCGGTGCTCGAGCCCGAGCCAGCAGAGTTCTTTGAGCGCTTGACTGTACTGAGAGGAGGGGGAGCCTTGAGCGGGAAGCAGCAAGGTGCGGAATCGGTTGACCGCAGCGACACGGGCCTGGAAGTCGGTCATGGTCGAGCTGTGGGGCATACATCAGCGCAAAGCTGGGGTGGTTCTGGGGAAGGCGTACCAGGAAGAAAAAGGCTGTTGAAGGGCGAGTAGGGCAGATGATGTGGTTCTGTGAAGACATGAACGAGGGGGGAGGGTTTAAATACTCCTCAAAGAGCGTGCTCACCTCGGTCTCTAAACGGGGTTGTCCTATCTGCGTCTGGGGTCCGCGCTCCCCCCAGGGAGCCTTCACCGGGAACCCAGATGAGCGCATGCTCGCAGACCTTTTGGTCTGCCCCTGTGTGTTGTCTTGGTGTCCTGGATCAGTACAAGGCTGCCAGTTTGACTTACGGGCGGCATGTGGGCGATTTGATAATACACGCCGCGGAGCAGAGACCGTCAGCGACATCACCATAAATCGAGCCACAGATCTAGGGCGCACGACTCAGACCCATACGCCTGGTTGGGCAGCGATTTAGTACGGCCCTAGACCTCAGAATATGCGAGAAACTTGAACCGCAGGATCGGCCTGTAGCCCGGAAAGGCTTATTTCAACTCCGGCGTCAACAATGTCTGCGGTTTCATCTCACCCCCGTCGTCCTGTCGCAAGGGCCAAAGAAAATTACTAAGGACCAGCATGGCTAGAATAATTGCCCACTCCCGCCCTCCGTCTATATTCCAACCGCCCCCACCCGGTGCACTGAATACCACTATTTCCGAGCCCGCTTGGCAGCGGACATATCCCTGCATGAACGTCAGATACATTGCGGCCAATAAAAACGTGCGACTCACGGGCTTTTGCCATCCGCCCTCGCCGTACGTTTGCGCTTACGCTTCCCTGGCTCCGCACTACAACGCGTTAGGAATTACTCCTGCCGACGGAAGCAGTTACCTACCCGTCAGCAGTAACAGCGGCGTCCTGTGCGGTGTTTCGATCTCCGTCATCCGGCGCAGCGCTGCTGCGATGTAAGTTTGACGCGTTCATAAGGACAGACGCAGAACCCACCTGCTCCCTGCAGCGTCCTCGCATGCCGCCTCCTTAGGATCACAAGCGGCGACTGGCCTGTATCTTGAAATCAATAACAGTAAAACGGAATGCGGAAGACAACTCACATCTTGGCCTGGCGTTTGGCCCGTGCGCTGGGCTTTGATGTGAACGCCTTCGCCTGGGCGCGAGCCTTCTGGGTATTCGTCGAGGTTTTGCTGCCGGCCGGTATAACCCTGCAGTGACATGAGAATCGTAGCATCACCGGCTATGGGCAAGAGGACTAACATATTGAGTTTGGGGATGATAGCGCGCGTATTGGGCTTCGCGGAAGAGGATGTGCCGTTCTCCACGGATGCCGCTGTCACCGGCGGACGGCGAGACCGGGGTGGCACGGGCCCTTTCCTGCCCACCGATGGGGCCAACTCCGACAGCGCGGCAACAGGTATGGAGAGGCTGGAGGCATCGAGCCCATGCGCCAGTCCACTGCTGTGGTAGGCTCGGCGGACATCACCGACCCAGCACTGGTACGAGGAGGGCCTGGGAGTGTAGGACTGTTCGAGGCCACATGGCGCTGTCAGATGAATGCGCGGGCGTAGACGTGCCGCCCCCTGAGGTCGTGTGTTGTGAGGCAGGCGCAACGGCGCTGACTGAGTGGAAAGAGGTGGCCGGTTCTACCAACCCGGTAGCGCGTGGTGAGGTAGAAGCAACTGGCAGAGAGATCACCTGGGCTGGCAGAGGGGATTGCATCCTAGCGGGAGAGGAGTGCGAAGGCGCGATAGCGGCCCTAGACGCCGCATGGCGGCGGTAGCCAGCCCCGACCCGCTAGCCTTTGGCAAGGCGGGTGCCCCAAGTTGGGAGGTTGCAAGCACTGCGCGCCGGGGGCTAAAAAACGTTTAGGCCGCGTCCACCTGATGCGAACGCAGGCAGCTCACGGTCGAAAATCCTGTGCACCCAGTGAGCGAACTCCGACTCCAGCCGGGTGGGCTGCACATCGAGACTGTCTTGCAGGGCCGCAGGAAACGAGCGGCCCGTCGGATCCTTCCCAGTAGTGGCGCTGGGTGAAGGGCTTAGTTTCAAGATTCCCAAGGTCGAACCCAACAAACTCACACCGAGATGAATAGCTGGCCCGTCTCATCAAGACCTCCTATCATGGACAGGCCGACACAGCCCGTCATTCTCTGCCATCCCTTCATTTTGGCTTGGTGGGTTGAGCGCAGCTGCACGACGTACCTGGACCAAAATTTAACTGGAAAACACGTAGTAGGGGAATTGGACTCACAACTGCCGGCGGAGTTCGTCAAGACGGTCATTGGACGCAACCGCCTGGCGTTTCTTCTCCACCTGCCGCTCGAGGAACGCCCGATCTTCCTCACCGAGGTTTTTGAACGCCCGACGTCCCTCCCGGTTGAATTTAGCCATACGCTCCGGACGCGACAGGGTGACGTCCATCTGGGGCACGTCCGGGTGATCGCTGTTAAGGAACTCCCTGTATGCGCCGAGTCGCGGGGCGGCCTCCCGCTTGAGGTCACCCACTGGTGCGGTCGCCGATTCAGCAGACGCCGTGGACGCATCACCGACCGGGACATTCTTCCTCACCCAGGCCTTGATGTGGTTCAATATACGCTACAAAGATCGAACATCACAATAGAGCACAGATAGACTAGTTTAAACACTCACCGAGCCTGCCATTGTCATGCGATCCTTCATCTCCGCTTCGGTTTCTGCCTGCCGACGCGGTTTTCCGCGACCCCTCTGACGCTTCTGACGTTCCAAGTACACCTGTTCAGGCTCGCCAGGGAGCAGGTGGTTGAACCGTGTCATGTAACGTGTTAGTAGAATGTCACGGACGGTCGTTTGCACCCCGTATGTCCCACGTTGCTGCAGCGTCGCTTGCACTTCGGGATCAGCAAGCTGCTGCGCAATGAACTCTTGCTCTTCGAGACGTATCTTCACCTCAGGCATGCTGGGCTCGCTTGTCGTGCTAGTTAGTCGAGCTGCTCTCGACTCGTAAATGGATACTCACGTGATGACCAGAGGGGTAGGCGATTTTGGAGGTTCGAACACGGCGGGTGGGGTGTGGACGGATTGGAAAGCAGGCAGTCGGGATCAGATACAACCAACGCGAAGAGCAGATGAGTTAACGAAGAGCGACGACATGGGCATACAAAGTCCGGGCTCGCCGGAGACGGGGCTGTACTAACAAAGCAAATCAAACTACCACTTCAGCAAATTACGCAAACGTATATATCAAAATATGTCCGAGCTAAGCGTCGCCAAGGGAGCAGCATGGCGCACGGGCGGGACAGGGAGACGTTGGAACGTACGGATGAATGTATCAACGTAGAACTGCGCCGCTGCAGCCTGGATGCGACTATACTCAAACGGATCACAATCTTCCAGGCGCTTCAATGCGCCGGCGAGTTCCACCGGCTGCCTCGGCCAAGTCTGCTGGACATCGAGCAGGGCTCGGAGATGTGGGCGCCCGACCTCCCATCCAGGGTCGGCTGGCGAAAGCCACAAGAAGGCTGTGACGCCGTCCTGTCCGCCTTGTTGGAGGGGAAGATGTCAAGCGCCGAACTAGGGGGACCCCAGACCTCGGAGATGAGGCTCTCCCGACACCATTGTTCCACTTCAGGCCAGTTCCGGGACCCGACGACGACGGAGTCTAGGGCGAGGAGCTCGCACCGCCAGTTGACCTCGTGGGTCTCCCAGACTAGTGTCCTCAGCAGTTCGTCGTCCTGCAGGATATCCGTCTCCTGACCTCCCTATCACCGAACTTGACGGCGACGCCCTTTTCGAAACGCACTAGCGAAGCACCGGCGAAGATAGATGCGACGTTCATTCGTTCCTTCGCCCGCTTGGCCTTGTGCTTTGTGTCGGCGGGCTGCTTGTGCTTTGCCGACGTCGAAGACGATCCCGAAGAGCGGCCGGTAGGGAGGGACGAGGAGGACCCAGACGACGAGCCCGCGATCGCCGTGACGGCCGGGTTGACGGAACCACGCTCGCCATACTCGCCCCACAAGAGATCCCTCCAGGCTTGAATGCCCAAAGGGGCGCCGTTGAGCGTCCTGTCGAACAATCGGCGCTGGCAGAACTCGCGGACACGTATCAACTGGATGAGGTACCTGCTCCTCTTGGGGTCGTTGGGTGAGAAGTTGTCCAGTCGGTCAAATATCCACGGCGGCGGCCAGTAGTACTTGGGAGACGTGGGTGGATGCGACAGCGTGCCAACCGAGCGGAGCGCTTCCAACCAGCACGTGCCGTATGCAACCGACAGCGATACGTAGAAGCAGCGGACGGGCTGGATCTTCTCCACGGGCCTAGCGCCGGAGAGAGCGTGGGCCCGGCTTTTTTGGCGCCTGCTAGAGCACGAGCCGCGGGGTTCTTCGCGACCTTACGTGGGGCCGACGGCACCAAGGGGTGTGCGAGTGCTTGCGCATCGTGCGGATCGCGCACGCCAGGGGTGGAAGTCTCGGAGCCCCTCCACCGTTTCGCCGCGCACCCGTCTTCATCTCCTGAGGGCATCGCATCAAGGCGAGAGCCGTTGAGCAATTGCCGATGTGTTGTGTTCAGCATCATTTCGATCCACTCTCCTGGGGCGTTCAACGTTCCCTCGAAGTCACGGCGGGCCAGAACAAGTCGGGGAAAGGATGGGGTGGAGGAGAACCAAAACGGAAGGCGCTTGAGGGACACAGACTCGTACACCGCAACGGGGCGCTACGTTCCTGCTGCAGCCATACCGGCACACCGGCGAGATGAAGCGCTGTGCCACGCTTGGGTTGTTCGTGTAGGCGCCAGGACATCAAGGATTCGAGCGGTAGTCTTCCCCGTGTTCAATCTTGGCAGCACACCTGCATGTAGACGTGGATCCCGCAAGGAACAGGATAAGGCGCTGGACGTGGGCGGCGAGAGAGAAGACGACGTCGCGGACGGCAGGTAGAAGTCGTAAGCGGTCCAGGGTGATTCGCAGGCACAGGCGTACAGCGTTGAACCTATCCCTGATGTCGGCGGGGCCTCTCGCACACTCCTCGCACGACTGGAGGACGTCATCGGCGGCGTCAACGAGTTGCTTGATGACATACTTGTCCATCACCCCGACGTGGCCGAAGTCGGACTCCGTGCGGGTCCAGTAGGATGGAAGCCAGCCCACCCAGAGAATGTCGTGCTTGGGGCGTACACACTTGTTTCCCGCGGGATGCATGCAATGTGGATATGGGACGGATGGTATTGCTGTGGCCACCTGGATAACTCGTGTGCACCCCAAAGACCGTCATCGAATGTTTTAATCTCCTGAAATGCCAAGCCGAATTGCGGTACAAAAGTTTGATTTGGCGTCGTGAACATAGTACCGCTGCTGAACCCGTCGGAAGCGACGTATCCATCGAACGGACCGCACTCTCCCAACGGAGGGCGATCTATGAAATTCGTATTAGATTACAGATCGAGTGAATAACAAAGAACACTTACCCTTGATGTCTCGATTGGGCTGGACGCGCGAAACATAAGGGACCAATGGCCCATGTCCCCACGAGCGTCGAAAGTGTTGGGAGTCATATATGGTAAACCTACATTGCGGATGTAAACTTCAATAAATGCGACCAAACATCTCAACCAACAACTTACCGGGGACAGGCGATAACTAGATGTGTCCGTGATTCAGCACAGGGCGGCAAACCAGAATCTTTGACATGTGTTAGCAATATCCCGTACAACAGCGAGTTGACATACATACCAGAAGATTATCAGAGGACGAGAAAGGTGGAAGGGATGCAAACTTGACAGGGCGGATCGGAAAAGGGGAGCTGAAACGTCGCGCGATAAGAAAACAGCGGGGAAACATAAACATGCCCACGGCTTACCCAGAAAACACACCACTCGTTTGAGGAAATTGATTTCTTGTAACCTTGAACCCGGCCTGAATGCCACGTAATCAGCGCATATCGCCACCAGCAAACGTCCTGCTCGACTCACGTTGACGAGCTTCAGGCGAAGCTTCTGGAGACTTGATGTGGCGATGTTGATCGCAGTCTTGTCAAGGGCTGCGTCATTACGGTGTTAGCGAAGAGCACGGGCGTGCAACGTCAGAGCGCTACGCACATCCGCTGGCCAGGAGACCTGGAGACACCTTGGGGACCTGTGGGGGGAGAGCAGAGATCGGTGCCCCTGGGGCGCCGACGTCTACAACAACAGTCGACTATGTAGCCGCTATTGTCTGCTTCGACGGTGGGATGGAAGGGGACGGAGAGGGCTGATGTGGTGGTGGTGGTGGATGCAGCGCGTGGAAGTGGGGTGATGGAGGTGAGAAGAGAGCGAGAAGACGAAGGCGCCTCTGACTCCCTGCTCTGTGGCGTGGGAACAAGAACACAATCAACAAACCCGACCGCGAGCGCGTCCAGTCAGGTGATCGTATCACTGCCAGCTGTCAAGTCCCACGCTCCTACGTTCTCCCCCTTCGTTGTCGTCGTCCTCCTACTCACTCCTGTCTTCCTCCTGCATACTCCACGTCCTCCTCTTCTTGCTCACTCTAACCCTGCTCCCTTTCGTCATTCCACTATCCCTTTCCCTCCTGCGCTCTGTACCGGTCATACGATCGTGTGCGTCCGGGAGTTACTGCACCGTAGAACCTGGTTCTACAACGCATTTTCCGTCTTCGCCTTCGTACCGGTCATACGATCGTGTGCTTGTGGCGAGTCACTTTGTCGTAGAACCTGGTTCTGCGCGTCGTTCCTGCAGATTTTCCGTCTTCAACATCCACCTCGGCTTCAACACTCGCCGCGGTAGAGGCTTACTTACTGTGCGTAACACGGCTCAACCACCACACCCCACTGCTAACCCTTGGCAACAGCGTGTCCTGGCCTTGAGACTCTCGGCTGCTCAACTCCCATTACACCAGCCTTCCTTTTTTTGTAACCACGTGAGTTCTACATGTTTCGGCATAACTCGCATGTGCCAAATTCAATCCCCAGAGCTCCGATGAAGTCACGCCGAGGCCTCGCATTCTTAAACACTCTCAAGCGGACGCGCACGCAGGCATTCTCTGGGGAGATCCCTGATGGTCCCCGCCCACCTCCCCCCACGGCCGTCGCCGGTCCCAGCAGAGCATGGGCTGGACTTGACAGCGATCATCCAAACAACCCGGTCGACCTGGCTGGGATCGAGGACACTGACGACACCGATGGTGACGAAGACGGCGATGACGGCGAAGACGACGATGATGGCGATGACGACGAAGACGGCGATGACGACGGCGGCGTATACGATGGGCCGCCTTCAAACTCAGACGTCACGGTGAACCAGTCGTCAGAGGCCAAGAAGAGAAAGAAACAGACGGTACGTCCAGCTGCCCGTATGTACAAACATATAGTGACCGTGTCACAGACGGCCGCGGAACACATGGCAAATTTCCAGAACGAGTGGGCCTCCCGCGTTCAAGACGCGTTGTTAGAACAAGAGGCTGGACCCGCCGCTCCCCTGCCGTGCTCATCTTGCGCTTTCCAGATTGGCACGCGCGCAGGGGCGGCGACACACGTATACCGATGTTTTGACTGCATGTACCCGTTGCCCCTATGCATTACATGTATCGTCGCCCAACACTGCAGGCTCCCCTATCACCGTGTGGAGCAGTGGGACCCAGCCATTGGATTTTGGGACCGCGTGGGCCTTGGGGAACTGCCCTCCCCACAAACCTCGTCCTTCACCTCGGTCACGGTGGCCTTCCCTGTCCAGTTTCGCTCGCCTCACAGCAAAAAAGGGCTATGACCATCGTCGACTCGCACGGTCCGCAGACGTTTGAGGTCACCTTCTGCACGCATGCCTCCTTCGAGCAAGAGCCAATGGACGAGTCAATGCAGCTCATCCAAGCCGGGCTGTGGCCCGCGACATGGGACACGCCACGTACCGCTTTCACCATCTCCGCCCTTCGGACTTTCATCTCCTATCCCTGCAGTCGCAAATATCCGTTCTCGACATCTGGAACTACCTCGCACGAAGCAAGGACAATATTCGAACGCACGAGATTGAGGTGAGGGTCCCTATGTTTAGTCGCGTGCATAATCTGACGATGAGTCCATATCCAAATAGAATCGATATGCACAACTGCGGGCTTCGATGCGCCAGTACGCCTTCGTCAGGTTGACCAAGCGAAATGGAGTCGACCCGGGAGGCGAGATGGAAGCTGGAGTCCTCGCCACCCTGTGTTCCTCGTGTCCGCAGCCAGGGATCAACAACACTGTCCCGGAGCCGCCCGATCTCAACGAGAAGAAGCAAGATGAGGGCGAGGATAAGAGGCGAGTTCTTCATCTTAGCCTGCGAGCCCCAGACTGATGCCGTTGTAGATACCTCGACGCCTTCTTCTATAATAAAGACGCAACCTTCTCCAGTTTCAAAAAATGAAAGCTGTCGATCCACACGACAAGGCTATGACACGCAACGGAGCGTTCTTTGTCCACGAGGAACAGGCGGCGGCCATTCTCAAGGATGCAGAGGCGGAAGCTCCCGCAGAGGTACGTGTCCTATAAGAGCCTGTGCGCATGAGCTCACGCATTACAGGAATCCACATGCAACAAGTTCGGGGCCATGGGATATCAGCGCTATGCTGGTACTGTTTCTGGACTCCTCGCAATGACATGCTCCCGACACATGATGACGATGAGAAACAGTGTTGTCGACCTGACCAAAGGTGAAGCGTAAGTCCTCATCCGATTGCAGATCGGTCCACAATGTTCATAATAGAAACAGGTTCAAGTACGCAGACCTCAGTGAAGCCAGTGCGATCAAGCCGTACCTCACCCTCCCGATGCTCATCTCCGGCTATGACATCAATTGTCAATATCACCGGAACTATGACACGCGGATGGACAAGCTCATGTCTACCTGGTCGGAGCTCATGGAGTGCCTCCCCAGCGTCGCCGAGTGGGAGAAACTTCCTTACATGCTTATCGCCGTTGGCAAGTTCCACCTACCTGCCCACCAAGCCAGCTGTCGCTACAAGTTCTCTTACAACTACCTCCCCGGCGCTGCACGTACCGATGGTGAAGCGTCTGAACGGATGTGGGCTGCTATATACCAGCTAGCCACACGAATACGGGAGATGGGACCAGGATCTCGTCACGATGCGCTGAACGACATCTGGAACGACCAGAACGTCCGTCATTTGCACACAATGAGTATGTCTTGATAGGTTCTTCGGTCATTGTGCACTGACCGTCGATGAAGGTCGGGACCTCTCTGCAAGGTACAACACCAGTGAAGAGTTTATTGCAGACCTCGAGCGCCATCTTACAGCTCTCGAGGCCACGTTCAGTCCCGAACGGCTTGCACAGCTCAAGGAGCAAGAGGCTGCGTTCAAACTCGCAGTAGTGGACATGGCGAATCACGACAGCCTTGAGAACATTTACGATATCAATATCGAGCAGGGTGCGTGCGTCTTCAAGCTTGTGATAGTGATGAGTATGAACGAGTGCATACCCCATCAGTGACGGATGCAAAGGATGCGACCAAAAGCCAGAAGGCGCGCAAGGCGTCGTCAACAACCCGTCGGGAGGAAAAGATTATGCAAGCCCTCGACGAGGGTGCTCGCCTTCAGGTAGAACGGTAGGTTTCTCATATACTCTCCGCTTTCATGTACTCAAACGATGTGCAGTGAAAAACTCCTCAAAGCGCTCATGCTCAAGGGCAGGGTCCCGTCTAGTGTTGTGGATCAGCAAGCCGACTTTCTCAAGCGATATGCGGAGTGGTCCCCACTCTGGGACGCCCACATTCAGCCCGCACTACAAGATGCAGCCTTGATGATCTCCGAAGAGGACGCCCCCAAGACCAACTTCCCGCGACTGTCTGAAGCTGCCTGGAAGGCCCCACGCGCCAAGCGCAAGGCCTCTTTGTGGAAAGAGGTCTACAATGCCGATATCGCGCTTCCCTCTTCGTTCCATGAAGCGGTACTGAAGGAGACCCCAGCTGTGCCTCTTGTGGAAGCGGAGATTAAGATTCGACGAGATGAGGCCCGGGAAGCGCTCGACGAGGTCCGCACTGCACTGATCCTCTCGTTCTCTGTGAAACTTAGCAAAAAGCATGCACGGAGCAAGAGGGTGCGCACAGAGATCTCCTCTACCCTCGGATCGGCTCGCGGCGACGTGCAGGCGGCAGCACACAAGTACCGAAGGGTCGTCAAATGCCTCCTCCGTCTAGGCGTGCCACCGGATGACCCCGCAGTCCATCCGCTCGAAGAAACCGATCTCAAGGTGATGGTCATTTCGGCTCAGGGGGACCAGTCGTGGATCTGGGACAGTCTTTCAGTTGTCGACAAGGCTGGGACGGCCGCACATCAGCGGTACAAGGACCAGAGTGAGTACCCTGCCTGGATACACTACTTCAGCTGAGGTCGGGTTCACAGTCGAGAGCGTCCACTGGTTCCGCATACATGCGATGCTCACGAGGTGGCGGGAGGAGCGCAAGCTGTTGCGGCGTGAGATGTGGAGAACCGCGGTGTTCTTCGGCTTTTTCAGGCAGCATTGGTTGCAAAATGCGGAACTGCATGAACACTCCCGCGAACGAGGCAAGGCCGCATACGCCAAAAAGTAAGTGCTCCCTCCAGCATCATCAACGTCACTGAATGTCTGTCAGGCAAGCGCATAGGTATCTTGTATTGTTCGACGGCTGCAAGAAGGCTTACATGTGCCTGAAGACGCCGTTCGTGCGTCATATCTTCCACCTCCCAAAAATCGACTCATCCTTTTCACCAGACGAAATCGGACTGGAACACCGCCCTCGGACTTCCCGACCTCGACATGGACTAGTAGAGGTTTCCTCATCTCGCATCTCACCCATTCCAAGTCACTCCCGTTCACTTCCGTGCTCCTGCTTCTTTATCTGCCGCCTCGTCATCTGCGCTTCCTCCATCCACCGGCTCCTCAATGCACCGAAGTCGCTTCGCGCGGTCTCGCACCATTCTCCTAGTCCTGGGCTCGGGGGAGAGGACCATCCAAATGTCCATAGTCGTCGACATCCCGACGCCCTCTTGCAGCGGCTACAACACCCCTTGGATTGCCCACGCCATCCCCTATACCCCGGCCGACATTCCTGGCGCCTCGCTCACAGCTCGCCATGCTTACGCGTACGCCGATGCGGAGGTTTCGAAGGGGGCCTTTCCCAAACCCGAACAATGTCTCGGCTCCTACGGCTACCGTCTGTAGTAAGACCATATCGTCTCTCTCTCGTCCGTTGTACACCATGTCCTCTTACCTCTGTACTCACAATATAGTATATACGCCCCTCTTCTTCTACATCCTTATGCCATACTTATCACCTCATAGATGATACTGCTCCGGAAGGTGCCACCGCTCAGTTTCACGGAGTGGCGCCTCTCGTGCGCCGCACGGACTCTCGCACGCCGCACGGACTACCACAACGGGCTCACGCGCGCCACACGGACTCTCGTGACGGGCTCGCGTGCGCCGCACGGACTATCACGACGGGCTCACGCGTGCCACATGGACTCTCGTGACGGGCTCGCGCGCGCCACACGGACTATTGCGTGCACGAGATCGCGAGAGTGCCTGTGTTCCCCACTTAACACGCTTTGTCTGGTTGCGCATGTCTCTCCTGCATGTACATTACTTTGGCTCAGCTTTGTCAAATATACTACTTTTCATTTGTCATTCACGCGTGGCCCGCGACCCTCACGCAAGCCCTCGCACCTACCGCACAAAGCCATGATACGTGCGCGCGTGGTGCCCTCGCACTGCATCCTTCGCACGCACAAAGTCTCGCGCCTGCTGTCCACTCTACACCCATGCACACGCTGTGGGAGCCGCGAGCGGAGCTACGTCTTTGTACGCATTATCTTGATATCCTCTATATCTACATGCAGCCCCAGCGTGCATGGTCTACTGTGCGCGTACATCGTGTGCTTCGACTTTCAATTCATGGAATCCACACGCAAGTCTGTTCTTTCGGGTGCGCTACTCTCTTTAAAGTGTTGTGCCATATGATGAACGAATTGAGCGTATTTCTCGCACGCATATGGCACCCCTCTCATGTGTTGTGGCCGCGTTCTGTGGAGCATTCAAAGGCTTGAGCCATGTATAAGGTGGTATAACCTGTAAACAGCCACCCATATGAAAAGGACTATGGTGTAGTGGTGTAGATTACTAGCTACAACTGTGTAGGCCGTGGGTTCGACTCCCGCGCCTCCATTGTTTCGGGCGCTTGTAGCATTTACGGGCTCCCACGCAATGGGCGCTTATTCCGGGTGCATCTGGCCCTGCCGATAAGCTGTCACAACAGTTGTAACAGGGAAATCACTGCTGCTCAAAGATCTTCTACTAGCGCCCCAGGGGTGCGGCTGTTGCTTAGTCCTATTTGTGTTGTGATCAGACTGAGGCGGGCCGCCGCAAGTATCGCCTCCGCTGAGCGCTTGTCGACGTCTCACCACGCCTTGCATTTGCGGAAAGACGCAAATATCTCCTAAGTACACGGGCCTGGTTGTCCTCCTCTCTCTTTGTTTTTTCTTTCTCCCATTCTGCATCGTCGCCGTCATGCCCCTCATCACGGCCCCTTCAGTCCCTCTTGCACAGCTTCCCCCTGAGTATGCACTAGAGGACGACCGTCGCTCTGAAACCTCCAGTTCCACCGCTTTCACGACCGGCATCAACAGACGGGATAACTACACTGCATCGTATGTGGGGTTTGTTCGGTGCCAGAAATCAGTCACATAATTCCTGGCTGCGAAGACGAGACTGTGAGTCGCAGAGGGCCCCAACCGTTCTCAGTTCTAATGCTGCTCTCAATAGTGGCAAGGCCTCCGGCAACGGCTGTGGCTTCCCGCCACTGCCAGAGCATCAGCGAAGCACGACCCGAGGAATGGTTTCGTGATATGCCCAAACCACCACCACCAATTCAACTTCTACATGTTCTTTATCCGCTTCATACCCCACAGCGACATCACAGTGCGTTCGACCTCCTGATTGTAGTCGTATACCTCCCAAGCATTTCGAACCAGCGTGCTCGCTACGTGCTCATAAACCTCGGACAATTACAGGATCTTGACGAATTCCACGGCAAAGCTGTCGCCCTCGACCCTCAAGACGCCCTCGCCCCCTTCCCCTCGCTTTTTCTAATCCATGAAATGCGTGTTCGAGGGTTCAACCCGCTCAACACCACTATCCCGGACGTCCCGGAAGACATCGAATGGCAGCCCTGGATTCCCCGCGAAAATGTCTTGCGGACCGACGGCGGACAAGGTCACTTTGACCGCGACGGAGTGCTGGTGCGCGCGGACGACGGTCGCACGCGCGGGGCGTCCGGGCCGAGACATCCTCTCCCCAGTGTCGACAACTCGGTCGCCCAGATTCTGCGCGCGCAGCGCTTGATGCCGACGTGGCGCGCGTTCGTGATGGAGAACACGGTGCGGGATGGGACGGCGGAGGAAAACACCCAGAAGTTCATCGCTGCTGTCGGTGTCGAAGACTCACCGGTTGGGCAGGAGCAGGATGAACTGGATGGGCAGGATGATCGGGCGTGACGAACGGGTTTGTCGAGCAACCGGCATGTTCTCATGGACTTCGCGAACGGTTGTACGATCATGAGTCGTTGTTTTGTCCGCGTGTGCGCTGCCTATGTCTGTATCTTTCGGATACCGCAGCGTGAGTCTGTAAGCCAGCTCGCCTTCGGGGTGTCGACGAGGTTGCTCGATGCCCTGAATAAAAATTCGGTGCCGAAGATATCCCCGAGTTCCGCTACGCCGAAATAGCCTGTGGACGGAGTACTGTCACTGCTCAATCCACGTTCACGCTGCTCAAGACGCCCTCGCGAAGCTGGCGCAGTCCTTCCTCGTCGTTCCACCTTCCAACATGGCAAGCGACTCGCGCACCCCGTGACTGCGATCGGCGAAGGGGGATCCGGCACCTCTGTGAGCAGCCAAATAGTCTGTCCCACAGCGTCAGCGCGACCGTCAAGTGCGATGATATAGGCCTCCCACATCTACATGACATCTAGCTAAGGACGCGCGCATCCGACGCCGGCTGTACCGGGACTAGCGCAGTCTCTCTATCGTTATCTCCGTATGCCGTATTAAAATCGCTGTAAGTATCCAGGGTATGATCATCCTATCGCGCGCACGCAAAGCAGCAGCGACGTCGTAGCCCTCTATCGCAATCACCCGCTCACCACAGCGCACCCGGCCAGCTCTCGCACCTCCACTCCGCCGACTCCCCTCCGCGTATCTCCATCCTCGGCAGCTCCGCGACGCGCTCGTGTTGCACCGACACGAAGTGCTCGCGGAGGCGCGCGAGGTCCACGTCCGCCACTTGCACGAGCGGCGTCGTCTGCAGCACCAGACGCTCGAGGTACCGGTACGCGCCCGACGCGAGGTCGCGGAACATCGGGCCGAAGTCGAGCGCGGTGACGGCGGGCGACGGCGGGTGGGCGTCGCGCGGGTGGCCGTGCGCGATGCGGACGATCTTGAGGCGCGGGCAGGCGAACGTGCGGTCGTCCGCGCGGGGGAGGACGTGCAGGGACGGGGTCTCGAAGGGGAGAAGGGAGCGGTCGACGACGAGGACGACCTCCTCGACGCTCGGGGGGAACAGCGTGTGCGTGGAGGCGTACGGGGGCATGCCCGAGCGGGACCAGGGGTAGGAGGACTGTGTGTTCTCGAACCATACCTCGCGGATGGTGTTGAACCCGGGGGCGAGAGCGGGGTCGATGCAGTGGGAGTGCCACATCCAGGACGGGAGCCCACGGAGGTAGAGGGAACCGCCGTACGTCGCGAGGCGGCGCGTAAGAGCGGGGCCGGCGGTGGTGAGCGAGAGGGAGTGCTCGTACTGACAAAAGCGGCCCTCGCGGTCGGGGTGGAGGGCGAAGGAGAGGCGGGTGACATCGGGAGCGTCGGCGGGGAATAGGAAGGAACTGGTAAAAGAGGTATCGTTCCCGCTGAAGCCAATGACGTGGAACGAAGGACCATCGGCATGGCTGAGGAGGGTGACATAGAACTGAACGGTTGCGGCGTCGAAGCCATGGAGGGTGACTTGCTGTATGGCGGGAACCGCTATTCCGACAGTGCTCGGCAACTCCGCTGGTTGCTGTACACCCAGCGGGCCGCCCAGGGCGAGGTGGAGAAGAGAAGGGCATTGGGTGATAAACTCGACAACGCCAGCGTGAAGATCGTCGCGGGTGATGTCGTAGAGAGCGAGATGGGTCAACCACTCAAAGGTGCCGACGATTTGAAAGGGTGCGACGAGGAGGGAGAGGCGGCGTAGCTCAGGGAAATGCGCAGGCGAGAGACACAGATTCTTGCGAGTCTTCCTCCAACGCGGACTCGACACAAATCCGAGCGACAACGAGCGAAGGGCGGGGTGGGGGTAGGAGAGGAGTGTGTTGACATCTTGCAAGTGCGGATCATGAATCTCAGCCAGATGGAGCTCTTGAAGCGGCGACGTGATTGCGCTTAGCGTGCCCGGGGTATGGTTTGAGAACAACGAACGAACTCGGAGGGGTAGGCCGTTGGCGTTGCGATCAAGGAGTCTTGTGATTGAGAGCTTATCGCCGTTCACGTCTCGCCACAACAGTCGATGACTGAGAATCATCGCGCGTAGCTGATGGCACGTGTGGCTGAGAGGTAAGACGGAGCAGGAATCGCGTATGGACGACTTCAAGAGAAGTGGGTAGGTGCTCGGCTTCATGGGTATAGAAAACTCGACGATTTGATGAAGGACCTCCACGGGAAGTCTGAAGAGCGGCTGTGATGCGTTATGATTCCGACGGAGGGTGCATGAGATCTGTATGATGCTGGCATGGATGGCCCACATCTGGACGGGGTATCAGGCGAAGACCATATCACGCGGACATTCGTTGGCGTACCAAGTGGGCTCTTCGAGGCCAAATACATGAGAAGAGGGTACTGCGTACTGGTTAAGAAGTACTCACGGTAAGATATGGGACTCTGTCTCCACTTGAAGGAGGAGTGTCGTGACATGCTGCTGGAGGGATTCATAGGCAGCGAGGGCGATGGGGGACATGGAGGGACAAGGAGAAGGTGTCGAGCGGCTCGGCCAGCAAGGCTCGTATCGCTGGCGTCCCGATACATCGGACCGGCCCATAAGCAGAGCCGCGGGACGTTGACGGCAGGCGACGAGATGCGAGCAAATTGGTCGATAGCCTAGGTGGCGCGTTTCGAGGAGCCTCCGAGGCGAGACAGCCGCATTGTCGTGGCAGTTGTAAGACCGTGCCACATACAAGCCTGAGACCTAAGCGGCGGACGATGGAATGCAGACAGTCGTAGATTACTATATAGACATGTTACACAAGACGTACGGACTCTGTATGTGTCCCACCCGCAGCCTCGTCGCCAGGAGGCTGAACCCCACCCACCGACAGACAGACCGCGGACGGTGTTGCTCTGCGTCCCCGCGAGCGCCTGCATGTCCCTTGAGAGGATGAGCGGGAAGCAAGTGACTCTAAAGCGGAGACGGTGACATTGAAGGCCCAAAACTTCGCGCAGCCTCGGGCTATATACTGGCGCTTGCTTGCGTGTGTTTGCATTGTGGCTGAGGCGCGCCTAATGCCGCCCGTGTCGCGCGGACTTGGTCCACGGTGACCGGCTTGCTGCAACCCTCCTCCTTCCCTCCGCCTTTGCTGCAATGGCCTCTGCTGCCAACGATACGGATGACTTCACCCACCACATTGCCATAGAGCTCTCTCGAGCTCTCAACATCGTCAACCCGAACGACCTCCTCGCCAGGCGCGTTCAAGACATCGCCAAGACGAACACAATAGACAGCTTCATTTCTGGTGCGCATCCATGTATCTAGCGATTGTCTACGGTCTCTGATTCTCCTCCTTGTCGCAGCTGCGAGAACTTTTGGCAAGTTCAAAGATTCCTTCCTTGCCGAGCTGCATGCAGAGATCTTGTCGCACGAGAAGCAGGAGGCCACCGGAAAGCCAGCGCAGCCGGTTCAAGGCATCGTCGTCCATGACAGCGATGTTCTCGAGCCCGAGCCGGTTAGGCAGGGTGGTCTTATGCGTAAAGAGGTGGTAAGTGGCCCCGTCCGGCGGATAAACTATATAACCCATGCACGCCTGGCCGCTAGAAACATACCTTCCGCCAACCGGTCAAGCCACTTGCACCCCCAACCCCTCGATCTTCCGTACTCGGTCTTGACCGTCTTGCCCAAGAGAAGCGCGCCGCCGCCGCTGCAGCTGCTGCTGGGAATGAAGAAGGAAGTCGGAAGAGGGCTAGACTAGACGGGATGAGCCGGTCTTTAAAGGTACGCTCTGCGCAGGTTATCTCCCGCCACTTTCCAATACGAGCTCCTTCCACAGTTCCGTCTCTCCCGGCTTCTCGTTCGGCTCAACTACGACAACGTGGCGATGAAACACCATCCCATCCGGGAGGACTGTCGGATATTGCTCGTCAGAGGCTAGAAGAGCGACGACGGACCAGAGGTACGCCAGGAGTCCGTCTTCATTGCATTTCCATAGCCAACGAAGTGCGATAGAGGGTATCACGGCGAAGAACGAGCCTCGGAACGATGGACCTCGCGGTCTTGGTGACTTCCAGCGACGCCTCAATCGCGACCGACCATACGACAGACGCGACCGTGACCGCGACCGCAATCGGCGCGACTGGGATGCAACACCTCGCTCAGAACGTAGCCGACGCGGAGACGATGCGCCAAGTGTCCGTATTCCCAACGCATCTTGGGACGCCACTCCTCGTCGATCTGGATCTCCGGGGGCCAACGGGAGCGCGCGTAACCGGAGGTGGGACGCCCCGACCCGCGCCGTGGTGGTTCCCCTGGTTCGGACGAGGGCGACGGTGCGTTGGGTCTGGATGCCCGGGAGTGGGAAGAGGAGCAGACACGTCTGGATCGTGACTGGTACATGGGTGCGGAGGAGGGTAATGTTGTCGGCGACGAAGACTACAACCCCCTGGCGCAGTACGACGATCTGGCGGCGGTCAAGGAGGAGCAGATGGCGAAGAAGCAGGTCAAGAAAATCTCGGCGCGTCAGGCTCAATACGTACGCCTAATTTCATTCGCCCACACTTGACTCTATGTTGACCTTGAGGCTCCTCAGAATGCCGACAACGATCTTTGGGAGGCGAACCGAATGGTGACTTCCGGAGTCGCTACGCGGAAGGAGATCGACCTCGACTTCGAGGACGAATCCGAGTCAACAGTCCACGTCATGGTGCACGACCTCAAGCCCCCTTTCCTCGACGGACGGACCGTCTTCACCAAGCAACTAGAACCCATCAACCCTGTGCGCGATCCCACCAGCGATATGGCTATCTTCTCGCGGAAGGGCAGTGCACTAGTCAAGGAGAAGCGCGAACAGGCGGAACGTGCCAAAGCAGCTGCGAAGCTGGCCGCCCTTGGGGGCACGCAGCTCGGGAACATCATGGGTGTGAAGGACGAGGAAGGCGACGCCGAAGGTAAGCACTGCGCCTTTACGCTTATGTGGCATCTCGATTGGACATTCACGCAGTCTTTGTTTCTCCTTGGCCGCCTCGGATCACACCCGCTGTCATCTTCGTATGTCGCGGTCGAATCAACAGCTGAAGGGGAAGCGAAGGCAAAGCAAGAGAAGGAGGAAGACTACAAGGGCGACTCGAAGTTTGCGTCTCACTTGAAAACCACGACCGGAGTCAGTGCTTTTGCGCGTACGAGGACACTCAAGGAGCAACGAGAGTACCTGCCCGCGTTTGCGTGCCGAGAAGAGCTGATGAAGGTCATCCGGGAGAACCAAGGTACGTCTCTTATGCCTCTCACCCCAAGGAGCCTCCACATATCCATATCTTTCCAGTGATCGTCGTCGTCGGAGAGACTGGTTCGGGGAAGACCACCCAGCTCGCTCAGTTCTTGTACGAGGACGGGTACTGTTCATATGGCATCATCGGCTGTACGCAACCTCGCCGTGTTGCGGCCATGTCCGTCGCGAAGCGTGTTAGCGAGGAGATGGAGGTATGCGTCAGTCAGTACACTGTCGGCAGCAACTGACTCCCCTCCTTCAGTGCAAACTTGGCTCTACCGTCGGATACGCCATCCGTTTCGAGGATTGCACGACCCCCGAGACAAAGATCAAGTGTTAGTCCATCCTCATTCTGTGTTGCTCTTATCTAACGTCGATGATCAGATATGACGGACGGTGTTCTCCTTCGTGAATCGTTGAACGAGGGCGACTTGGATCGGTACAGCGTCATCATCCTCGATGAAGCGCACGAACGGTCCCTCAGTACCGACGTTCTAATGGGTTTGCTACGGAAGAGTACGTAGGCACTAGTATCTTCGTCCTATCAACGCTGACCTTGTCTCCCAGTTCTCTCACGTAGACGTGACCTAAAGCTCATCGTCACATCGGCAACGATGAACGCTGAGAAGGTAACTTGATCGACCTTGTTTTGAGGATCCTAGCTCACATGTTCATAGTTCTCCTCGTTCTACGGAAACGCTCCGACTTTCACCATTCCCGGTCGTACTTTCCCAGTCGAAACCTTCCACTCAAAGTCACCATGTGAGGACTACGTCGACAGTGCGGTCAAGCAAGTGCTGCAGATCCATTTGTCGCTTCCTCCAGGCGACATCCTGGTGTTCATGACGGGTCAAGAGGACATCGAGATCACTTGCCAGGTCGTTCAAGGTAGCGTCCTGTCTTTATCCCTGCATGGGAGTCCACGCCTGACATCTTTTCAGAACGACTATCGCAGCTCGATGACCCCGCTCCCCTCGCCGTCCTCCCCATCTACTCTCAAATGCCGGCGGATCTGCAGGCAAAGATCTTCGAGCCAACGGCCGACGGCCGGCGAAAGGTCATCGTAGCCACCAACATCGCCGAGACGTCGCTAACAGGTGCGTATGTGCTAGTATCTAAGTAGTACCAAAGACTGACTGTATACTATAGTCGACGGTATCCTGTACGTCGTCGACGCCGGCTACTCAAAGCTCAAGGTCTACAACCCGAAAGTCGGTATGGACGCCCTCCAGATCACGCCGATCAGCCAAGCGAACGCCAACCAACGCACCGGTCGTGCTGGTCGTACGGGCTCCGGGTTCTGCTACCGGCTGTACACCGAGATGGCGTTCCGGAACGATATGTTCGAGAACAACATCCCGGAGATCCAGCGCACGAACCTGGCCAACACCGTCCTGCTCCTCAAGTCGCTCGGGGTCAAGAACCTGCTCGAGTTCGACTTCATGGACCCGCCACCGCAGGCGAACATGCTCAACTCGATGTACCAGCTCTGGGTGCTCGGCGCGCTCGACAACATCGGCGACCTCACGCCGAGCGGGCGGAAGATGAGCGAGTTCCCGATGGAGCCGAGCATGGCGAAGATGCTCATCCAGTCGGTGGAGTACAAGTGCTCGGCGGAGATGCTGACGATCGTGTCGATGCTCTCCGTCCCGAGCGTGTTCTACCGGCCGAAGGAGCGGATGGAGGAGGCGGACGCCGCGCGCGAGAAGTTCAACGTGCCCGAGAGCGACCACCTCACGCTCCTGAACGTGTTCAACCAGTGGAAGGCGCACGGCTGGCGCGACGAGTGGTGCCTCCGCCACTTCCTCCACCCGAAGCTGCTCCGCAAGGCGCGCGAGGTGCGCGCGCAGCTGGAGGACATCATGAAGTTCCAGAAGATGGAGCTCATCTCGGCCGGCACGGACTTCGATGTTATTAGGTGCGTGCCGCTTTCGCTCTGGTGCGCGGGCACAGGAACGATCGGCTGACGGCGTGGGGCGTGGCAGGAAAGCGATCACGGCGGGATACTTCCATCAAGCGGCGCGCGTGAAGGGTATCGGAGAGTTCGTGAACATACGCACGGGCCTGCCGACTCACCTCCACCCGACCAGTGCGCTGTATGGTTTAGGATGTGGGTCATCTCGGGCCTCGGGCGCTAGTGTTACGGCTGACCGTTCGCGCTCACAGACACGCCGACGTACGTCGTCTACCATGAACTGATCCTCACCTCGAAGGAGTACATGACCCAGGTCACCGCCGTCGATGCGTATTGGCTGGGTGCGTGATTCGGACTCTCTCCGATCGGGTGAAGGCTCACGTTCGCCCCTCCTCGTAGCTGAGCTCGGGTCCGTCTTCTACTCCGTCAAGGAGAAGAATTTCGACGAGCGCGGCAACCGCCGCCACGCGGACCGCGAGTTCTCGAAGAAGGCCGAGCTCGAGACCGAGATGGCGCGCCAGCGCGAGGAGTGAGTCTCGCCTTCACCCCTTCCCCCGTTCCCCATGGCAATTTTGCCTCGCGCGCGATTTTAGCTGCGGCGATCAGGTGGCTGACTGGTCCGCGTGCCACAGGAGCACGAAAAAGGCGCAGGAGGAGGCGCTCGCGGTCAAGACCGGTGGCGGGAGCTCGAAGATCATCGTCCCCGGTACCCCAAGACACTCTGGCGTCGGTGCGGGCGCGAGGGTGGGGGCGACGCCGAGGCGGAGAGGTGGGATCTGAGGCGGACACGGTCGCACCTGAACGTGTATGCAATGTGCGTAGATGTATGACTCTGAGGAAGGGGTTGTGATCTTCCTTGAAGGAATGGTGTGCGTGATAGACCCCATGCGTTCCGTCCATTTCGCATGGAGCGGGGGAAATGCGATTGGAAGCAAGAGGGTGCGTGACAGTCCGACTGCACGGGTCCCCCAAGCGTGACAAGACCCCCACGGTCGTCAGATGTTTTGCAAGATGGGTGTTGCACTGAATGCATCCTCCCTGATAAACAAACTGTACTTTCACAGTATAGATGAAAGTACTTAAGTTCCTACTTATGTGCGGCTTTGGCAGCAGCCGAGTTGCACAAACTCGTGCTCGGATTGATGAATGTGACGGGCGGGTGACGGAATGTTACATCAGGCAGTTGTCACATGACGGACGGCTCCGACGGCATATAGCACGCTCTCTGTCTACCGCATGTCCCCCGACTCTGCCCTCCCCACGTCTCATTGTCCGCACTTAGCTCTGTGGGTTCTACCTCGCCCGTTCGCCCGAGTTTCAACGCCCCCGCGAACCGAGCCCGGAGGCCTCGAATGCCATCAAACCGCGTCCACGGCTCACAGTGACGTCGCAGAGCCGCAGATCCAACGCTTCGTGAATCTTCTGCATCCCGGGAGTAGTCGCGAGTGCATATAGTCTATCTGGGGCCCATGGTGCGTGGCCTGCCTCCGTAGATCTTCCTAGCGCTCATCTTGGAGCCATGGCAGGTCCTGGTCAACGATAAGAAGTTTGCCTGGTATGTCTGCCTGTCCCTTTTTCCGGCGGAACAAGTGCCCTCATCGCCCGGGGCAGCGAGTCGTGCATCAAGGGCCACCGCTCGTCTGGCTGCCAGCATACCGAGCGGCCGCTCTTCGAGGTGAAGAAGAAGGGCCGGCCAGTGTCGCAATGCACCAACTGCCGCGAGCTGCGGAAAACGAAGCGGATGCACAATAAGTGTAATTGCGCCTCGTCCTCCACCGCCGAGCAGTCGGCGCAGGCGGCAGGCGTGCCGGACCCCGCGGCCCCCAAACCAAAAGGTGCGCCGTACGGCATCGCCCCAGCGCTCGCGCCCCGACTGACGTCGGCGGCGGATCTGTCTACAGCCAGAAGGTTCAAACCCATCGCGCCCGCTCTACCAAACGGCCTGAAGGACATCGTTTCTCCCATTACAGAGTCCGTTCCTCGGCCGGACGTCGGCGTGCACCTGTGCCGCTGCGGAGGCAAGGACGCTTCGATCTGCACGTGTGGCCACGAGCGCGGCTCCTCCGGCACGGAGAACATGCCCAGCGGTCTCGATGCCCTTGCGCAGGCGGCGATGTTCTGCTGTGGAGGTGGAGGGAGGACTCCCGCGGACATCGCCCCGGAACCCGCGCAGATCGGCACCAACACGGACGATGCGAATCGCAAACACGCCCGCAGCTGCTGCTCGAGTGCCAACAACTCCCGGCCACCGTCCCCGAAACCCAAGCGGACGAAGCGGACGGCGACCGCCTACGCGCTCTCGTACGAAAACGCAGCGCTCTCCGCAGGTCCGTCCTCGCCGCACAACCACCCCGCCGTCCCCCCGCCGGTGTTCCCCCCCGTGCCGTCGTACCATCCCACAACCTCGAGCGACTCGTGCTGCTGCGGGACCCAGTGCTCGTGCCCCGGCTGCTCCGTCCACCGCGGGACGGAGCACGCATCGCCTCACCACAAGGACTGCACCGAGGGCGAGTGCACGACCTGCGTCGACCGCGACGGCGGGATCGCCCTCCCCGCGCACGCGCTCGCCTACAGCCAGGGCACCGCCTTCGCCGCCCCACCCCCGCTCTCTTCGTCGCGTTCCGCCCCCGCGTCCACCTCCGCGGCGGTCCCTGGACTCGCGTCCCCAGCCCTCCGCGCGCGACGCCCGAGCGTCTCGTTCATCGACGCGTTCTTCGCGACCGCCGCCGCGCTCCCCGCGCCGCCGCAGGGGCGCCGTGCGGGGCTCGACCCGACGGACGTGCGCGTGTACCCGCGCGGGGTGCTCGCGGGCGGCGCGGAGACGCGCTCGCTGTTCGGCCTCGTCGAGGTCCCGAAGCTGCGGTGCAACTGTCCGGGCGGGTGCGGGTGCCCCGAGGGTCGGTGCGAGTGTGGAGATGGGTGCGGGGGGTGCGCTCCTGCGCGGGAGGGTGACGAGAGGGAAGGGGAGGCAGAGGAGGAGCGCTCGCGAGTCGGCAAGGACGTCGAGGTGTGCGGGGAGGCGGATGTGGTGACGGGGGTTGATGAGGTGAGACGGGGCGGGTGTTGTGGATGACCAGGGCGCGCGCGTTGGTGCGTGAGGTTCTCGGCTTATGATCTTTCTTGGGTTGTTGTGTGTATGATAATGTTATGCGTGTGTCTGTCATCTTGCCCATATGTCGAACGATTTTGTTCTGTCAGGCAAAAGCGCACACGACCGGTGAAACGGGCCGCTTTGGCGCCAAGGAAATTTGTGTTGCCATCAGCCGGCCTTGGACTTGGAGTCTGTTCTTACTTGTCTCGCGCAGTCCGCCATCTCCTTTCACTCGAGACTGTACTTCTTCTTGGGTTTTATCGAAGACGAAGACACAGCTACCACCGGTTGAAGCCCCACCATCGGGTGCTTACTTTCAATCTGTAAGCTAGCTTCTCATTCTGCTGTACTGGGGCTGTTTCTCACTGTCGAACAGACAGTTCTCCCCCGGCATCGCTACACCGGGACCACTCAAACCGTGTCTCTCATCTCTGGCCTCAGGCGACGTCAGAACTGCATTCAAAGTGCACGAATTCTGCTATGGTGCGCCTACAAGGGCAGACGTTTCCGGCGTTTTGCGTTACATATGTCATGCCCGGTGTGCGAAGGCGCGCACTTAGGTAAGTATATGCGCACCGTTTCAATCCTCTCTTCGATCTCGACAGATCGCAGGGCTGGCAAAGCGGTGCCTTTGACGCGCGCAGCGTTGTCAGCCCCGCACGACGGATCTGCGGGAAGTTCGCTGCTGTCGATATTGCCCCCGAGCATCGTCATGTCAGTGATGATATGCGTCTTCTCGTTCTCGTACGCCCTTTGCGCGCCATGTGTTGGACTTGTCTACAAGCTCACGGTGATGGTTACCTCTCCGCACATATCACAGAACGGAGCTTGATACGGCCGACTTAAGTTCCAGAGAACTATCGTCCGGGCCTCGCGCGACTGAACTTTACGTTAGTACACACCGCCCTCGCACGCTATATATACTCCCCAGGCAGTGGAACTCGAGGGATTTCCCCTTCCTCCGACCCCTCTGGCATCCCCTTACACCATGGACTTGAGCGAGATCATCGCTGACTTCGATGCACTGTAGGTCGTTGTCACTCGCTTGGCGCACGCTTACAAACTCACCTGCGCAGTTATACGCAGAACAAGGCGCTTGTGAGCGTTTCCGGTACGATTGAACCCTTGTTCGGGAGAAAGGCGCGCTGTCTCAGAGCTCAATAGCGTTGGTGTTGTTTGAACACGTTATCACGCTGGGCCCAGAATTTTCATTGTTCTGGACGCTGCCGATCTCGACGTCAACGCTCCTTTTCTTCTTCAACCGCTACCTGCTGTTGGTGAACACCCTCCTCTCACTAGTGGCGTTCAATCCTTCCATTTCTTTATCGGTGAGTTCTTTGGCCTGATCTCTACAGGTCCAGTAACCTCAACTGTGTGTGTGCTTTAGGGGTGAGTTCTTTCTCGTCGTAAATCTCTCACGGACCACATGCTCACTTTTCGACTAGTTGCACTAAGACAGCACGCGCAACACATGTGCTGACCTACTCGGCTTACATTCCCTGGGCAGGTGACCGTCATGTCACGTGTTCCATGGTCATTTCTAACAACCTCATTACGTTCACAGTGTTTGCCGCCATGCGAATGCTCGTTCTGAGCGGCAGTCATTTCTTATCCCTTATCGTTCTGCTCCTCTCTCTTGTGCCCTTCGGTATCAATGTGGTGAGCCACGCGCTCTTGTGCTGTGGGAGGAGCAGACCGTTCACATTTTCGGCCGCGACTCCACAGGCTCAATTCCGCTTCGGCATCAAAGGATTCGTCGATACAATCCTAGGTTGCCTGGAAGACGACGGAGTGCCGTCGGAGAACACCGTGATTGCGTAAGAGCCTCCCACTGCGTGCAAGAGTGCCGCGCTGAGATTATGTCCGCAGCCGTTCGTTCTAACACCGCGATCAGTCGAATACCGCTAATCGCAGTTCTTGCCCCAGTCATCGTAGCAGCCCGAGGATCACTCATGGTGGCTGACTTGCTGGTCATGGCTGCGACGTGGAGGCGGCTTATTTCACAGAGTTCGATCAAGAAGATGCTCAGGGACAAGACAGTCTCTTCCATCCTTCTCTTTGATGGCAAGTGCAGAACTGTTTTAGAGAAAACCTTGGCAGCTGATGCGCTCTTTCCCAGGCGTCCAGTACTTCCTGTGCGTCTCGCGCCAGTCTTGTATCTTCCTGGAGTACTTAACATGGTGAGATCAGGGTGCTCAGCATCTTGAACGCTTTGCAACTTGTGCTTTCCTTCACCTCCGTAAGCGTGTGCTCCCGCATGGTCCCTCGTCCTCGTAGTCACGTTCACTCATCCATCAGATCTTCTTCGATGGCGACAGCAGCGCTGTCACGCTCATTTGCCAACCGTGAGCTCTGCGTTGCGATGCGCGAACCCCGCTCTGACTCGAACGACGATCGCCTCCCGCCCTAGACTCACTGCGATCCTCGTCTCTCGCTTCCTGCTGGACCTCCAGAACTGCCAGAAGAGGCGCACGAAGCTCGGTGGGACGGCGGCTCTCGGTTCGACTTCTTCGACGAACGACATGAGTTCGACACGCGGGTCGCTGAGCTTCGCCAGGTTCGTTGGGTCCATCGGCGAATCGCTGGAGGAGTCGGAGAGCCACAGCGGGGGGCGCACGAGCCACGCGGAGGACACCGAACTGCGTTCGTTCGGCAGCTCTGATGCGGAGGGCGGTTGGTGAGATGTAGTAGCGCATCGCGGACGGCATTCTGAATTCATCATAGCCTTCGACGGCCACTTCATCCTCTTTCGGCGGCGCGTCTGCTCGACAGTGCAGCACACACGCGATTGCCGTGCGTCTGCACTTGTGGCGCGAATAATTCCTTGGTTGATATCGGTCATATGGTCATGCTGACGACTTGGCGAGACTGCGACAGCTGTAGGCTCGGTCACCGGGGTGAGAACCTACCTTTGTTGAAGTACGTGGATGCGAGCGTTCTCACCGACGTTTCTACTTCTACAGGGCAGATTGTACTCCGGTCGACGACCTTCTCGACTGAGCCGCACGCGGCACGAAAGCGCCGGTGCGTTGTTTGTATTCCTGTGCGAAGCATCTTCTGACACACCTCCTATTTTATATAATCTCCAGCGCACAGTTCAGGAGCTCAGTTGGCCTGGAGCTGGGTCCTGATGGACGATATCCTTGAGCTTCACGACGCTAGCCTTGATGCCGTCGTCTCCTCCAAGGAGCGCGGGGAGCACAGATTGTGGAGAGTTGTTAGAAACGAAATGCGATCGCGCTGGGTACGTCTTCGCGCCCTCCGACCGTCATCCTCGGACCTCGAGCGAGCGGCTCCTTTCTTGGCGATGCGTGGTGTGGTGTAGCAAGTGCCAGTGCTTCATCCCCACACGGTGCCGTCAAGGTACAAAGTACGTGCATCAGCGATCAAGGGCGGACGGCGAGCCGGGGGTCGGACGCGCAGGGTGCCGTGGGCCAGACGGCTGTGTGCCACGCAGCCACGGTACTCAAGCCTTGCTCTCCCCGATATTACCTTACATAACAGCGCAGTCCGAGATTCTTGGTGCTGCGGCAAATGACGCGCGACGGAATCCCGCGGTCCACTACGGCGCTCGGGATTGCTGCTTGGTGTCGCGAGGGGGACCCGTGCGAGGTGCTCAGAACTTTGGCATGCGGACGTTCGTGGCGGTGGAAGCCCATGACGATGGCAGGCCTTCCACCGAGACGAGACGCGTGCCCACGAGCAGGCCCGTCGTCGTGAGCGCCCTTGGCAAAGGTTTAGTATAGGTGTCGGAGAGCATGGCGATGCCAGTACGTGGTCAGCGCCGAGACGGACCCCTCGGCGTGAGGATTTCCCCTCCAGGTGAAAAGACGACTCCTCATATATGACTCCGCTGATCACCCGCCCCCTACCTAGACACCCCCGCGCGAGAAGACCCCCGCGCGAAGACGCCCCACGACCCGTGCGGACACGAACCCCGGGTGCACGGGTCATCTGAGTATGACCCACACCCTTACCTGTGGCAGCACGGGTGGCCCCCAGTGGTTGAACAAGACAGTGCTTAATCCATAACGGTGGGAATACCGCTAGGTCTATGTTTGAGCACGTGTACGGCCACTGTTATGTTCTCTGAGATCGCCGCCAAGCGCCCGCCGAGCAGCCCAATGTCGCCCTCGAATAGGTTACTGGCGGACAGACGTCATGGGCGCTTATCCACATCGGGGGTGTTCGTTAGGTTCCAGCCTCGTCGACTGAGCACGGCGCTGGGACAGCGTGGAGGCAGGCGGGACCGTGACGCCCGCCGGACACATGGGTTGGGCTGGCGCATCGCGCAGCGAAGAGTCTGCCGCGATTTGCTCCATGCGGTCCAGAAAGGGGTGGCGAACCGTGATTGGGGGCGCTACATTGGGACCAGTCCATTCGAAGATCCGTCGGGCAGCTTGAACCTCTGGTCGCAGAGCGGCAGTGGTGGGTCCCGCAGTGGGCACATCCGAGCCCGCTGGCTCTTCTTCAGCGCACTGCCATTCGATCGGAGAAGTGTGCGCCATCAAGACCACCTCACAAGCAGGTCTTGCAGGTGCGGTGGCGTCGAGAAGGAGCTGGGCGTACGAGCGCCAGGGAACCCAGCCAGGAACGCGGGGACGTCTCCGCGCGAGAGCGCGTCGGCGATGTTGTCCCGGGTGTTGACGTAGGTGGCCTCTCATCAGGAAAACCTTAATGAGCTAATTAGCTCTAGGCCAACTAGGACTAGCACTATCGACTTAGCTATTCACACTAGCAGACTATGAAGAACTAGACATACTATTTGACCGCTATCTCTTCACCTCTGGCAACTATCTGGCTAGTTGTTCTACTCTCACAGCTAGTGGATATAAATCTAATCTATTTGTACAGAGTCCAAACTAATGTCCATTCTAGTCTAACTAATTAGTGACCTAAGGCTGTTTGCAGATCAATCCGCATTTGAGCCGGATCCGAACCCACAGATCACAGCCCTTCCGGAGACTTGATCCAGAGCCGCGCGAGTCAGATCCTCTGGAAGAGCCGGAGTCACAGGTCCGGCTCTGGCTCATTCGTGGCTCGATGCGCCAATCCACACATAGGATACAGGTTTAGACAAATATATTGATTGCATCCCATTAACAAAAGTACTAAGGGGACCCGGGACATGGGTGAGACAGGTGACGCGGGGACAAGGGTGGGTGAGGTCCTGGTGGGCGACGCGGGTGAGTGACGGCGATGTGGGTGCGAGGCGAGCGGGTGAGGGCCCGACGTGGGCGCAAGCCAAGGGCGCGGAGGGCAGAGGACTTGGATGGCGTGGACGAGACAGGTGAGATGCAGTGGACGTGGTGGACGCGGGCGAGATGTGGGCGAAGTGGATGAGGTGGGAGATGGTGGGCAAGGGCGACGTGGCGACGTGGCGCGGCGGGCGACGCGGGCGCAGTGGGTGAGACGGGCGAGGTGGGGCAAAACCGAGGGTCAAGGCCGGGGCAAGTCGCAGACGACGCGGGCGAGGCCAGCCTGTGCAAGACGCGGATGACGCGGATGGCATGGCCGAGGCGGGTGACGCCAGCGACGCGGGGGCTACGGGTACGGGCGACGCGGAGCAGGCGGAGGGACGTGGGCGACGCGGGGGGAGGCGGGCGAGGTGGGTGCGGGCGACATGGGAAATGCAGAAGACGCGAGGGTAAGAGGGAGTAGGTGAGGTGATGGGCAACCCAGATGAGGACAAGGCGGAGAGGACGACGCAGAGAACGAGACGGATGTGGGCGACGTGGGCGCGAGGGCGCGTGCACGAGGGTGGACGACGTGGAGGGTGGACGACGCGGGGGTGGACGGCGCGAGGAGGGCCATGGCGGGGGCGAGGGCCACGCGGAGGAAGAGGGCAAGGTTGGCAAGGACGCAGGGAGCGGAGGGGAGAACGCACCAAAGGAGTTTGGGGCCGCGGGAACTCACCGCGACCCCACAAACAGCCCTGCGCGCGCGCGATGACGCCGCTTGGATCACTGTGGGCGCTGGTCGACTTGCACACCTGGGGAGATGCTCCGGAGCGCGTTCCCGGGCGAGCTCGAGGGCGTCGTCGCGCAGGTGAGGTGGGTGATACCCGGGCGAGACGTGGGCAACGCACCCAAGGTGGGTGGTGTGGGTGCGGGACGGGAAATGCGGGCAAGGCAGGGGGCGAGACCCAGGCGAGTCGGGGAGGTGGGCAACGCAGGATATGGAAGCGACGCGGGATGATGCAGGCGAGGTGGGCAACGCGCGCGAGGCGGGCGAGACGGGTGACGCGGGGGATGGGCACGAGATGGGCGAAGTGGGTGAGCGATGCGAGCGCGATGCAGACGTGGGCGATGGGGGTAGACGGAAGGGGAAGAGAGGATGTGCAGGAAGAAACAAAGAGCTCACCGGAATGAAGAACTATTTTGTGGCCAGCGCCCTTGAGGGCGTCCCCGGGGAGGGAGGTGGGGAGCCGGTGGGCAAGTGCGATGGTGAATGCATGCTTGTACGCATGGGGCACAGGTGGTTGGCGTGGTCGGCATAACGGAGGTTGATGCAGAGCAACTGGGAGGCGGTGAGGCAGAAGGAGAGGTCAAAGAGGACGAAAAAGGAGACGACGATGAACGAAGACGACGAGATGGCCATGCTGTCAGCGGCAAGCGCCAGAGTCCACGCGACGCGTGTCCATTCCCACGCATGACGCCCCCGAACTTCGAAGGCACCTCCGCGTCCAAGGCTCCGACTGCCAGCACATCGTCCTCATTTCACCCGCGTCTCTCCTCATCTCCTCTGATTCCAGCTCTTGTCGCTATTGTCACGTTCTGCTCTTCTCCCTCCTCCTCCTCCATCCCGCTCTCCAGCCGTGCCACTCTCGCCGGCCTCGCCGTCGGCACCTCAGGCCTCTGGTGCCACCGCCCGTAGGTAAGCATCCTCCAACGGCTCCCTGCGCCCATGACGACGCTCACAGTCGGCCTCATCAAGACTGTGTACAATGCCGTGTTCCTCGTTCTGACGAGTCGGCCTTTCGCGGCATAGCAGCTTGCAGCCGCGTTCCGCCTGTCCGTGGGCGTGGCCACGGCCGCGCGCGCGAAGGGGCTCCTCCCTTGCGAGGGGACCTTGACGGAGACGCGGACGAGGGAGGGAGGCGTGCTCATGAGCTGGGACGTCAGCTCGGACGAGCAAGGGTAGGAACGTGACGCGAGGTCGCCAAGGTCGTCCGGTGAGTACCCTGTTCTCTTGGGATTTCGGCGAGAATAACGATCTCGCATGCGGCCATGGCCATGCGTTCGCCAACTGCCTCGTCTGCACCTCTGGAACCCATCAAGGAGATGCACGACTACAACGGCAACGTCGCCAACCACGTCGCCATGGACCAGTTCGTCCTGCGGTACCTTTGCTCGTCCATGTACGCCACATTCTCACCCGCCTCTTCACGCAGGTTCGGCGTCACCCCTCGTACGGATGCGCCCGTCATCCACCGCCCTTGTCCCACACTTCAGCAGGCACGACACGAGTGGGAAGCTCAAGACGATTCACCCCCGCAGCAAGGCCCTCATCGACGGACTGCTGCCGTCGCCTGCTGAGGGTGTGTTTTCATGCCCAATGTTCCCGCAAGAATCGTCGCTGACCACGTCAGGCGCACAGGTACTACGAGTGGCAGATGAAGGGCAAGGAGGAGTGCGGCGCCTCGCCGAGCGCGCCAACGGGAAGCCCCTCCTCGCCGGCTTCTGGGACCGCGTTGAGCTCAAAGGCCCGTCCCCTCTCCGTTCATTTCCTGTGCTCATTTGTTCACCTAGTGGGATTCTGTGCTGGCCATCTCGGGTTGCCCACGCCGCCCATCCTGCCAGCGCCACGGCCACCTTGTTCGGGTGATTCGCATCTCCTGCCTCACCTGTATCGCGCCCCCATCACTTACCTCGCCCCGTTCAGGCATCTCGCTCGCATCGCCCCGTTCGCTGCTGCGTCACCCGCCTCTCATCTGCGTCGCCCGAATCGCCCACATCACCCACCTTGCCCGCTCGCCTGGTTCGCTCTCGACTCACCCGCGTCACCCATGTCGCCTGCCTTGCCCTTGCGTCGCCCATGTCGTCTGCACTGGGCAGTACGGTATCCCTTAATAAGTAGTGTCGGTGTCGTTGCTGGTACTAGTCTGTACTTTGTACGTTGTAGTATGATCAATATAAATATGTTTCCCTCTCTTCCATGTTTGTGTGACTTGAACCTACTTTCCCGTCTATCTCGCAACTAGCCACTCTATTCAGCTGTCTACTTCACAGCTAGGTGCTCTATTCACCCATCTACCCCATAGATAATGGGGCTAGTGATCTAATTAGTTCAGGGGTAAGATAATTAGCACTAATGAACTATCCGCATCTAGTCAGCTAATTAGCGCTATTTTAGATGACCTAGAGCTAATTAGCTCGTTGAGGTTTTCCTGATGCTAGTGATACCCCGTGCCGTGCTTGGAACAAGCACAATCGGCACACCACCTGGTTGGTGCGCTCGGAGAAGGCTCTGCCCGCGTTGACCACTGAAACCACTGCTGTGTTGTCCGAGCGCACACGGACGACGCGGGAGCCAGGGGGAAGCGTCCCGAAGAGGTTGTGGTGCTCCGCGATTTCGCCCCCGAGCTCGACTGCCACTGCCTCTGCCCAGGTGATGTCGTAGTCCCCTCCTGGACCGACTCCATCAGGCAAAAACACCTTGTCTCCAGAGTGCAACGGAGTCTCGAGAGTAGCCGGAGCAGCCTGAGACAAGTACCCTTTTATGGAGCATCTCGGAGCTCGGCGGGCGGCTCGCGCGTGCTCTGGAGTCTTGGCGCCAGCTCACCGAGTGCTCTGGAGTAGCTCCGAGCACCCTCTCCAGAGTACTCTGGAGCAGTCGCGAGTACGTTTGCACCAGTGCAAATCCTGGGGTCTGGTCATCCATATCGCACATTCATTGGACAGGCATAAAATATATTGATTTGACGGGCAAAACAGCGTGTACTACTGGTCGCCTACAACACTCCTGAGGTGACGAAACACCCTCCTACCCAGCTCCATTGCGCCCAGCGATCTCCGCACCCCCAGCCCACGACACCTCTCCCTGGCCCTGACAGCTACGACCCGCACGACGTTCAAGCGTAGCGCGGCTCCATGCACCGCATCGCCCATACCCAAACAGAATCCCGCTCACCGGCAACGCGTTCCTCGCGCCCCAAGCTCCATCTCCACGTCGCGCCTGAGCACCCGATGGCCGTGGACCCGCACCTGCAGGCCATCTGTGACTGCTTCGGGCCCGGCGGTGCGCACGCGTTGTTGCACGCGTAGTCGCGCTCCCCGGGCTTGTGCTCATGTTGGGTATGGCCTCCAACGCCGTATGGATATGACCATGATGATGAGAGACTGGGCGCACATCTTCACTGTTGCGGGCCTAACCAGGCGTAACGCGCAACGGTAGCTCACGGGAGGAGCGAGCAAGGCTACGAGTTCTCATCTATCAAAGACTGTCAGCGGGGGAGAGGGAGACGAGCGGGAGGAGACGTACCTTATGAGCGCCGTGATGTTGTCGTATGCGGACGCAAGCAGACACAGACTGGGACGGAGGGGATCGCGGGACTTGCTCATGAATATACAGGCGCAATACAAGAGCAAACAAGTAGAAATTGTACTTACGTACGAAAGGAACGCAGCTGCGTATCGTCGTCGAACAGGGAGGATGGTGTCAGGCGAGTGTGTAGTGCCACCCGCATGGACTTGGGCTGGGGCTTCAAGCAAATTGCGCGTCAGACGACAATGCGGGCTGGGAACGCGGCAGCAGAGCATCAGAAGGGGGAAAAGCTCACCGTGTCGGCCGCCGCAGCGCCAAAGCATGCACGTCGTGCCATGCATTTGTGTCGTCCCCCGAGTGGTGTGCGAGACGCTTTCAGTCTCCGTGATCGAATAGTGTGTGCGGAGCGCTATGGAAGTGGTGAGAATCGGGGTGAAGACAAAGCTCGAGAGTCGAAAGGAAATGGATTTTAAAGACAGGAACATCGAAGGGGGTGAATAGAAATGGCGGAGAGGTCGTGAATGAGAAGGTCGTGGGAGAGGCTGCCGAGAAAAGCGTGGCCGAGGGCGATAGCGACTGGGAAGTCAAGACAGCAGGGGCGCCGAGAGGAGTAGCGAAGTGGGGGAAAACAAGAAAAGACGCGTGCGCTGGCAACGCCGACGGCGCACACGCGGCCGGCGCTTGCCGTGGGAATCACCTTCTGTACACCTCGTTGCCTGGCACCTCGCTGTCTACTTCGCCACGCTCAACGTGTCCGTCTCGCCGCGCCTGTCTCACCGCGCTCCACGCGCCCACCTCGCCACACTCGACGTGTCTACCTCGCCGCGCTCAACGCGTCTGTCTTGTCGTTCTTTGTGCGTCTACTTCGCTGCGCTCGACGCCGTCTCATTGTGTCCATCTCACCGCGACCGACATGTTCACTTCGCCACACTCAACGCATCTACCTCGCACGCGTCCACTTTCCCGCGCCCGAGGTGCTTATTTAAACTTTACACACCCAGTATTTACTATGTAATAGTGCAATACTTGATGCAACTGCGGTTTCTCAGTCGAGCACATTTGGTCTCAAATAGCGCTGTGAACCGGAAAGGTAGCATCTCACAGCCTAAGCATCCTATTATGTCACCAAACTATACTACTACGTGCTCGCGTCCGTCAAAGGTCCCGATGCGAAACACCCCAACACCCGAGCACCCAGGTCCCGGTCCCCGGAAGCTCCTGACCCCTGGCCAACACTCTCGAAACATCCTGAGTGTCCAGCCAAAGTTTTGAGATCCACCATGCACCCTGTGAAACACTCGAGGCCAACTGAGCGGTCTGCAAGACTCTCAAGAACGCCGGAGTCTCCCACGCCGCTCAGGTGTCCTCGAGGCCATCGGTGGTTGCTCCAGAGTGCTCTGGAGATCTCCCGCGCGTCGCTCGGGGCACGCGAGTCTCCGCGAGTTCGGGCCGGCGCTCCTGTGCAAATGGTTTTTTCCTGATGTCGCACTCCCGACGTGTACCACCATACGGCCCAGTAGCCGCCGACCACCACTCCTATTCCGAAGGACGTTGAGGCATCGCCCCACCAGCCAATGTCCACCGGTTCCGGGCGTGACAGCGGGAGGGTGTTGGGGAGGTGTGCGAGGAGGTCGATGATCCAGCGGAGGTCCGCCTGGACGCTGCGTGGCAAATGAAGGCTCGCGCGTGGGCTGTTGAACTTCTTGATCCATGCGGGGATGGACTGGATGAACGGGCGGATCAGGCGGAAGATGGTCGCTGTGTGGATGAGCTTCCCCTGTAGTGACATGGCCTCCTGCTTGGTCTTGTGTGCGCCTGGCTGCAGCCAGTTGTCGACTAGTAGCGCGAGGATGGCTGCGCGCTTCTCCTCTGGCAGCGACACCGTTCGTGCGGCCAGGTCCCAATCGAAGCCAGTGAAACGCTGCACCAACGCGAAGGGACGGAGCTTGGGGATACTCCAGGGGACCCCTAGCCGCGCTGTGATGGCCATAAAGTCGCCCTCAGTGAACTCGCTCCTGGGCAGACAGATGACGAAGAAGTCGTCCACCCACTTGACAACGTAACGGATTCCGTGGGCGCGGTAGATGTCCACCAGCATGTCGGCAATGGACCCAAACACACCCGCACTTGAGGCGAGGCCAAAGCACAGCGCGCGGTCGACGCGGACCTTCCCTTCCCAGAATACGCACAGCGCGTTCTGCTGTGACGGACGCACAGGTGTGATTCTGTACGCTGCTGAGATGTCGAACGTGGCCGCGCGACAACTGGCTGGCAGGGCGAGTATCATCTTGCTGACGACATTGAAGGTTCCCCACTCCGTTGGGAAGCGGTCCACATCGACATGTGAGTTCACAGAAGCACCGGGCTGCCAGGAGAAATAATAATGCGTATGGTTAACGCGCGATTCACGGGGCTACACAGAAAACGAGTCGTACGATATCGCGGGGGAATGAGAGGTCTTGTATCAACATCTGTAACTTATGCATTGTGCTAAATGCTCTAAATGCTCTAAATTTTAGAGCTGCTTTGCTAAAAGTATTTTAGAGCACTTTAGAGCATTTAGACATTTTAGAGCAGTTAGAGCAGTAGAGCAGTGAGGGGTGATGTAATGTCTGCAAACATGCATCTATCATCAAGAGCAAATCAGCCTTTCATTAGACTGCTCTTAACCCTCTTGCTTGATGACTAGTTTATGAATGGTTCACAACAAGATACGGATATGAGGAGGACAAAATATATTGGTGTCCAACTAAACTGAACAAAGACGTGCATGTAACTACAACATAGGGGATGGGGGCGGCACGACCATGGGCAAGATGACAACGCGACCATGAGGCAGACAAGGCGGGCGGGGGGCGTGGGGTAGGGTGACGAGAATAACGTGGGGCACAACGGGGATGAGGTGGGTGACACGGGGATACGGATGAAACAACGGCGATGGATAGCAAAGACGTGAGCGCGATGCACGCGACGTCCGCGACGCGGGAGACGAGGGTGCAGGGCGTGCGAGGTGGGCGATGTAAATGATGCTGTGACGTGGGCGATGTGGACAAGGTGAGCGACGCAGGCAAGGTAGGAGATGTGGGCGACACTGACCTGACGCAGGCGGGGCGCGAGCGAGGGGTGACGCGGGCGAGGCGGACGCAAGCGAGTGATGCGTTCGTGGGTGACACGGACGCAGACGCAGGTGACGCAGGCCTAAGGAGTGCGACACAGGTGGGAGGTGTGTGAGGGGTGATGCGGACGCGAGGTGGGCGAGGTGGGAGAGGATGAGGGTGTCAGTGGCACGGGGACAAGGCGGGGGTGACATGGGCGATGCGAGCAAGGTGGGCATGGCGAGTGACGTCGACACGGATGAGGTGGGCGATAGGACACGGGTGAGGTGGGGACGCAGACGTGAGTGACGCCACATGCAGCCCCCGACAGCGCCGACGTCCTGGTCGGCGTTGAGCACGATGCGGTGGGGTACAAGCGCGGCGTGAAGCTCGGGCCAGACTGTGCCCAGCCCGGGGACGAGCGCGGAGGGCATTCCGGTGGATGAGGAGGACAGTGCGCCATTGGGCGGCGTCCTCGGTCGCGTTCTCGACGGACCACCAGAGGGTGTCTTCCACGAGCTCGCGCTAGCTCATCTGCAGTCGACACAGGGACGGGTAGGTATGAGGGGGCGCAAGGAGAGGTGGAAGACGAGCTTACCAGCCAGACATTGATGCCGTACTTGGTGAGCAGGGCGGGAACGTTGGCGAGGCGCGCGTTGCGTCAGTCGTCGAGAACCTTGGACTGTTTGCGCAGGAGTGGGGCAGGTGGACATAGCGCGAAGGGGCGCTGGGGTGTAGCTGGGCGTGGGCTACGCGGGAGGTGACAAGCAAGGTGGACAAGACAGCGACACGGGCAAGACGTGTCTTCTGGCCTGTGTGCGAGCCTCCGAGCACGAGCAGCCTCCCGCTTGGGAGGGCGACCAACTGGCCCGTAGTGCGGCCATCGGGGAGCGGGTCGTCGGCGCTCCGCGGTGCGGCCAGGGCCTGGGGAGGTGGTGGGCAAGGAGCGCAGGAGAACAGAACGGGGGACTCACCGAGACAAAGGGGCCTCAACAGCTCGGCGAGGGAGCGGCAGGCGAGGAGCGTGTTCACATTGTCCGTGGAGATGTTGCGCCAGGAGCAAAAGACAGGGAGGACGGGGAAGACGGGGAAGACGGGGAAGACGAGGGAGGGCCCAGCAAGTTGGAGTTGGACGAAGGGAACGACGCGCTGGCAGCTGCTGTCAGCGCCGGACGCGTGGGAATGGAGACACGTGCGTGAAGTCCAGCGCTCGGCACTGCCAGCACATCATCTATCCTCACCTTCTGCCTCATCCTGTTCCGTCCTCCCCTGTGTCAACCGCGCCGGCCTCTCATGATGGTGCAGGCCTCCTGCGGGTGGGTAAGTCGCTCACACTGCTCCCCAAAACCCGACTAACGAGGCATGTGCGCGGCGTCGCATCTCCCGCCTCGTCCACCTCACCTGTGTTGCCCGCATCCGCGACCTCGGGCCACTGGATAACAAGCTCGTCCACCGCAAGGCCATGGAGCTTCACCACCAGCTCGAGGTCAAGAACGGCCCCGCCGGCGCACTCTGCAAAAGCGCCTGCCCCCAGTACGTATTCCGCCGTGTTCCTCGGTGAGTGCTCATTTCATGTTTTTCTTTGCCCTTTCTTCCCGCTCTTTGCCAGCCTGTCTCACTTCGCTTCTCCCTCGTTGCTGTTATGCCGTACAGCCATTGGACTACGTATCAAGCTGACAGGTAAGTTAATTCATTCTATACGCATTACTGGCAGTGTTCTGATCCTCTTTGCCCTTTGTCATGACCGCATTGCCCGCCTCGCTCACATTACCCATGTTGCCTACATCGCCACCTGCGGGAGCTGGTGCTCAAAGGCCGTACATCGTCTCTTTCAACGCCCTCCATCTGATCGACCACGACCCCGCCCCACCGCCCCCTCAGTGATCACCATCGGGGACGAGTCCAATGCCGAGCACGACTCCTCCTCGGATGCGGAGGGCGACGACTGCGCCGACCGCCGCGATCGACTATCCAGTTACGCAGCCATGGGCGTCTCATACCAGGCGGACGAGGACATGGTGTGGGGGCCTATCGACTGGGCGAGGATAAGGATGAGCTGGCGGGACCCTCGCGTCACCCGCCTTCCCATGTTCGCCCCCGTGTTCCCTGCATCACCCATCTCGCCCGTTTCGCTCACGTCACCTGTGTCACCTGTATCGCCCACGTCTCCCACATCTCTCGCATCTCCCCCTTACCTTGACCACTGCGTCCGCCTCACTCGCATTACCCGCTTTGCCCACATCGCTTATGTCGCCCGTGTACCCACATCGTCCGCATCACGGCCACACCTCACGCATCACCCGTGTCACCCGCCGCGTTGTACCATGCCCCCAAATCTGCCGTGTTGCGCACTTTGCGCACGTCCGTGTCGCCCACCCGCGTCCCCGAGCTCCCACCTCGACCCTGTCTCCTGCGTTCTCACCTTGCCCCTTGTCGCCCACGTCCTCGCCACCCACCTCATAGACTCGCCCGCATCACCCGCTTTGCCCACGACTTCCACAGTGACCTTGCACACCTCACCCTTGCCTGCCTTGCCGATGTTGTTCCCGCCTTGCTGTCGCCCATCTCACCCAGTGCATGTCATGACAATGTGTGTCGTCCACCCCACCCATAGCCTGTACTTTGTAGCATGATAAATATAATTTTTTGTCCTTCTCCTTTATGTTTGTACACTGGTTGAGTGCGTTGTATGAACCTATCCTGCTTGTTGGCTGAATTTGATCCACAAGAATAGCATCTATAAGCTCTAAAGCTCTAACAGCTCTAAATCTTGCTAAAAGCCAGTGCTAAAGGCTCTACAGCTCTAAATGCTCTAACTTTAGAGCTTTTAGAGCTTTTAGCACTCTGCAAGAATTACTGATGAATTGGAACTTGTCCGAGTGCGGCTTCGGTACCAGACCGAGAGGCGCCGTGCGAAAGTGTCCAATGGCGGCCTCTAGCTCCGCGGGCTCGAATGCGCGAGAGTACTGTCCTGCGGCCTGCTCGTCTGCGATGTATGAAGAGATGAAGGAAGGGGAAAGGAGGGATGATTTATGGTTGGGGTATATCGTCGTGCTCGTGATTTGGCCCTCCTCCTGAACCCCGACGTCGAAGCCCTCACGGATTCCCTGCACCACATGCTCCCACTTCTGCATGATGCCCAGGTGCCGCAGTTCTTCCTCAACGCGATCAGGGTTGATGGGCGACACGACCGCGCGGGGCGCTTCAGTTGCGGCGAGGGTTGCCTACAGTGATGATTCGCCAGGTGCATCTGTTGTGACAGCCTATCAGCAGGTGCGGATGCATCTGGTGCCGGCCGGCCCGGTCGCGCTCGACACCGCCTTCCCCAAGCGCGCTCGCGCACCCCCAGGTGCGACGCTGTCCCGAGATGTCCGGACACCGGCGCCTCAGGCGCTGCCACCTGAGCTCACTGTCTCCGACAGTGAGCTCGCCTCCCTCTTTGTTTCACACCACATCTTGTATATGATTAGTGATAAAAATATATTTATTAGTAAACTACTACATAGGTGCGCTAGTAAGTAATACCACCTCCCGCGACAACGCGGAGGCAGACGTAGAGGCGGTGATGCGGAGCAGGGCAGAGGACGAGGCGGAGGGTCGGGATAACGCGGAGGAGGTGGGCGACGTGGGCGACGTGAACGTGGGAGACGCGGAGGCGGGCGACGCAAAGGCAAGCGACGTGGAGGTGAGGGATGCGAAGGCGGAGGAGGGCGACGCGGAGGTAGGCGGCTCGAAGGAGACGGCAGACGCGGGCGAGGAGGAAGGCGGTATGGGCGGGCGGTGCAAGGCAGCGCGGACGGAGGGCAGTACAAAGGAGGGCCGCATGGAGGGCCACACGAAGTCAGCCGAGGCTGAGGCAGGCGACATGAGCGGGCGGTGCGACGGAGGCGGCGGGCGTGGGCAGAGCAGGGCGAGAGGGAAGAGCGGGCGACACGGGCGAAGAGCAGCGCGGGGCGGAGGAGGGTGACGCGGAGGAGCGCGGGACTAAGGAGCGCGGTGCCAACGAGGACGGTGATGCGGGCGGAGGGCGGCACGAAGGAGGCAGCGGGCGTGGGCGGAGGAAGGCGAGGAGGGACGAGGAGGGCGACGCAGAGGCGGGCGACGCAGAGGTGGGTGGTGCAGGTGGACGACATGGGCGGAGGAGGGCAGCGTGGAGGAAGGGGGCGACGTGAAGGGCCGGGAGGAGGAGGGCGTCCGGGCGGACGTCGTTGGCCTGTTGTAGTTGTCGACGGGGCGACAGGAAGTATGTGTGGGTGGGCGTCGGGAACGCAGGAAGGCGGAGGAGAGGACTCACCAAAGCAAAGGCCGCGGCACGTCGCCGCGACCCCCATATCCTCATCTCCATACTGAGGACGTCCGGATGGACGTCCTCGTGCAGTGTTTGTTGTGGGAGTGGCCGGGAGGGTGAGTGAAGGGCGGGATGGAGGTCGAGGTTGAGGGAGGGGGACGGAAGATCGGGTCACCTGGTGACGCCGGGGTCCAATAGCGGGCGACAGTCGACCGTATGGTCGCTATCGTCTGCCTGGGCAGAGCGGGGAAGAGGACGAGGAGGACGAGGAGAGGAAGGACGGCGAAGGGGAAGGACGCGTGGCGTGCATCACAGCCACGCGTTGATGCGCGCCACGCGTCCTTGCCGCCCACCGAGGCGCGTCTCCACGGGCGCGCATCACGGATCGCCAGATCTGTCCAGATGCATCCGTAGCTGCCGATAGGCTATCGCAACGGATGCACCAGGGAAATCACCTCTGCTCGGGTTGCACGCAGCCGCGCCGTGTCTGGTGTCTCCACAGATGCTGCATCCGTGGTAGTTGACGCAGGCGGCACCCTGGGCACACCTGGTGTTGCCGCCACGGGCGAAACCGAAGCAGAAGGCGGTGTTGTCGGGTGCGATGAGGGCATGGGGGCTGCGGCCGCCAAGGAGGCGGGGAGCGGTGGGCCGTCCGGTAACAGTGGTGGCGGCGACGCAGGCGGATGGCATGTGCCCGGTCCCGCCGCACCGAAAGCACCGGCTCTCGACACGGGCCCATTTGCGCGGAGCGTCGTCGTAGGGCGCCGCGCGCGCTGTACCGGTGGTGGTTGCGCCATAGCCTGCGCCGTAGCCCCTTCCTCCTGCTCCGACATGAGCGCGCTGGCCTTGCTGGGGCAGCGCCTGGAAACGCGCGTCGATCTTCTTCTCCGCCATGGCGTTCAATGCGATAGCGAGTTGTACGGGGTCGTGGATGCCGATGTCGACGTACGGAGACATGACCCAGATGCGGCGCATCTGCGAGTCGTATCTGAGTGCGGCCTCCCAGCTGTGGTCTGCGCCAATGCCTTCCACGATGGTGTGATGCTTTCTCAGCACTTCGGCGCGTGCAGCCCCGTGGTGTGTGTCCATGCACCTCTCGACTGCCTTTGATGCGACGGACCACTTCGCGCAATCCAGGGAGAGTTCTCCGGTTGGGTCGAGTGCGCTTGAGGCTGTGAGGACCGAGGCGAGGGTGGTCTCTTTGCGGTGGGTGAAGGCATTCTCGGCCACGACATGTGTGTACGGCGTGTACTGACCGGCCTTGATTGCGCGGTCCACCTTCGGGGAACCCCTAGCCATGGGCACGTGGTCAGCAACCATGCAATATGTGTTCAAGACGAGCGAGACGGTGTGCGCGAGATGGGTATGCGAGCGAGCGAGCGAGCGAGTATGTTCGTGTGCGAGCGAGCGAGCGTGCGTGCGTGCGTGCGAGAATGTGCGGATGCTCACCTCTTATTACTCCGCCTGCTTGCAGTCCGGGCACTACGTCGGGCAGCCTCGTGGCTCTGGGACGATGTTCGCCTGCAGGGCGGCCTGGGCGAGACGAGCCTCCGGCGTCTCGAACACGAACTCTTCAGTTGCGAACTGCGGGATGCATGCGGCCGGAGCCGCTGCCGCGAGAGCTGAAACCGTGGCTTCCAAGGTCGGGGGAACGGTGGTCGTGGGTGTGTTGGCCAGGGGGTTACTGATGGGCGTGGGGACTGGGAACGTGCCTGCGATGGTTGACATGGCCGTGGGCGCACTGCCCACCCTGCGGCAGGAAGGCCGGCAGAGGAGGGTGATGCTTTGTGCCCACCGCCGCCCAGCAGACGGCTCACGCCCGCAATGATGAGCTCGTTCTGGTCTATGATGACCTGCGTGGCCGGAATTGCGGCGACTTGCTTGGTCGTTTTGGGTGCCGTGGTGGTGGTCGGGGCGGTCGAAGTCGCGACTTGAGTAACCGGGGGCGTGGTCAGCTGCGCCGGAGCTGCGGGAGCGCTGGGCCCAGCCGCCTGCGCGGCTCCGCTGCCGCTCGGGTCCGAGCTACTTTTCCCGGTGCTGTCGACCACGGGTCTACTCGACGCGGTCTTCGTTTTGGGCTTCTCAGCGCCTCCGGCTTCGGGCTGCGTGGTGGCGTTGTTGGCATTCCTGCCGGCGACTCGTGCAGATGACCTTGGTCTGCTGGTGGGCACGTCTTGCGGCATTGGCAAGCCAGGATCACCCTGGGGAATCCGCAACTTGGTGGGATCGTTGACATTGTCGGCCATTTTGACGGTTTGAGCGATGGTGGAGCTGGCTGACAGCGATAACGGGTTGGATGCTTCTGCGTGGTAACGGATGACGGCGAGATGCAGGGTCGACGAGAGACGCCCAGCACTGTGAGGAACGGGGAAGAAAAACTGCTCAGAGCGCTTGCGGCTCAGTGCTCGTCTGGACGCTGGGGACCGACCTCGTGACCTCGGCCAGTACCGGCACTAAGTAAACGGACAGACCCTCCTGCCTAATATGGGTCTATTTCTAGGTTTCCCACGGACAGACATCTGGGGGAGTTGCCCGGGGCCTCCCACGACCCATGCGGACACGAACCCGAAGCCAGCCCACAGTACCCCCCACACCGCATCGTCCTTGCGACCGCATCCCACTGCTCTCATTACTATACTAGCGCTACTGTACTCTTACTATACTTGCTCCGGTTTTTCTTTCTCTCTCTCCACCTCCACTCAGACACACCCCGACTCCCCGAGCCCCTAGAAGGCTCACTGGCACGCCGGCTGACACCCGCCGGCTCTTCTCGGTCCACTGTGCCTTCGGGATCGCTCCCGAGGGTGCATATGCGAAGACGACGCTTCCCAATGCTATGCGACACACTACACACGAACCTACTGTATGTTATGCCTACCATACATCAGGCAAAAACACCTTGTCTCCAGAGTGCAACGGAGTCTCGAGAGTAGCCGGAGCAGCCTGAGACAAGTACCCTTTTATGGAGCATCTCGGAGCTCGGCGGGCGGCTCACGCGTGCTCTGGAGTCTTGGCGCCAGCTCACCGAGTGCTCTGGAGTAGCTCCGAGCACCCTCTCCAGAGTACTCTGGAGCAGTCGCGAGTACATTTGCACCAGTGCAAATCCTGGGGTCTGGTCATCCATATCGCACATTCATTGGACAGGCATAAAATATATTGATTTGACGGGCAAAACAGCATGTACTACTGGTCGCCTACAACACTCCCGAGGTGACGAAACACCCTCCTACCCAGCTCCATTGCGCCCAGCGATCTCCGCACCCCCAGCCCACGACACCTCTCCCTGGCCCTGACAGCTACGACCCGCACGACATTCAAGCGTAGCGCGGCTCCATGCACCGCATCGCCCGCACCCTCCGCCCGCACCCAAACAGAACCCCGCTCACCGGCAACGCGTTCTTCGCGCCCCAAGCTCCATCTCCACGTCGCGCCTGAGCACCCGATGGCCGTGGACCCGCACCTGCAGGCCATCTGTGACTGCTTCGGGCCCGGCGGTGCGCACGCGTTGTTGCGCGCGTAGTCGCGCTCCCCGGGCTTGTGCTCATGTTGGGTATGGCCTCCAACGCCGTATGGATATGACCATGACGATGAGAGACTGGGCGCATATCTTCACTGTTGCGGGCCTAACCAGGCGTAACGCGCAACGGTAGCTCACGGGAGGAGCGAGCAAGGCTACGAGTTCTCATCTATCAAAGACTGTCAGCGGGGGAGAGGGAGACGAGCGGGAGGAGACGTACCTTATGAGCGCCGTGATGTTGTCGTATGCGGACGCAAGCAGACACAGACTGGGACGGAGGGGATCGCGGGGCTTGCCCATGAATATACAGGCGCAATACAAGAGCAAACAAGTAGAAATTGTACTTACGTACGAAAAGAATGCAGCTGCGTATCGTCGTCGAACAGGGAGGATGGTGTCGGGCGAGTGTGTAGTGCCACCCGCATGGACTTGGGCTGGGGCTTCAAGCAAATTGCGCGTCAGACGACAATGCGGGCTGGGAACGCGGCAACAGAGCATCAGAAGGGGGAAAAACTCACCGTGTCGGCCGCCGCAGCGCCAAAGCATGCACGTCGTGCCATGCATTTGTGTCGTCCCCCCGAGTGGCGTGCGAGACGCTTTCAGTCTCCGTGATCGAATAGTGTGTGCGGAGCGCTATGGAAGTGGTGAGAATCGGGGTGAAGACAAAGCTCGAGAGTCGAAAGGAAATGGCGGAGAGGTCGTGAATGAGAAGGTCGTGGGAGAGGCTGCCGAGAAAAGCGTGGCCGAGGGCGATAGCGACTGGGAAGTCAAGACAGCAGGGGCGCCGAGAGGAGTAGCGAAGTGGGGGAAAACAAGAAAAGACGCGTGCGCTGGCAACGCCGACGGCGCACACGCGGCCTGCGCTTGCCGTGGGAATCACCTTCTGTACACAGACCTCGTTGCCTGGCACCTCGCTGTCTACTTCGCCACGCTCAACATGTCCGTCTCGCCGCGCCTGTCTCACCGCGCTCCACGCGCCCACCTCGCTACACTCGACGTGTCTACCTCGCCGCGCTCAACGCGTCTGTCTTGTCGTTCTTTGTGCGTCTACTTCGCTGCGCTCGACGCCGTCTCATTGTGTTCAACACGTCCATCTCACCGTGACCGACATGTTCACTTCGCCACACTCAACACATCTACCTCGCACGCGTCCACTTTCCCGCGCCCGAGGTGCTTATTTAAACTTTACACACCCAGTATTTACTATGTAATAGTGCAATACTTGATGCGACTGCGGTTTCTCAGTCGAGCACATTTGGTCTCAAATAGCGCTGTGAACCGGAAAGGTAGCATCTCACAGCCTAAGCATCCCATTATGTCACCAAACTATACTACTACGTGCTCGTGTCTGTCAAAGGTCCCGATGCGAAACACCCCAACACCCGAGCACCCAGGTCCCGGTCCCCGGAAGCTCCTGACCCCTGGCCAACACTCGAAACATCCTGAGTGTCCAGCCAAAGTTTCGAGATCCACCGTGCACCCTGCGAAACACTCGAGGCCAACTGAGCGGTCTGCAAGACTCTCAAGAACGCCAGAGTCTCCCACGCCGCTCAGGTGTCCTCGAGGCCATCGGCGGTTGCTCCAGAGTGCTCCGGAGATCTCCCGCGCGTCGCTCGGGGCACGCGAGTCTCCGCGAGTTCGGGCCGGCGCTCCCGTGCAAATGGTTTTTTCCTGATGTAGGGCTCCGCCCTCGAGGGCAATAAACGAGGATACAAAATAAATAAATAAAACGTGGTCAGCGCGCCCCCAGAGCATTTGAAGTTGTCTTCGCCACCCAAACGGTCGATAGCGAGGAATGCGACGTCAGTGACCAGAGGGAACGACGAGATGCCAAAGAACACGGGAGTCGCCATGTGCCTCGAGGTGGGGATGACTGATGTGTGGAGGAAGGATTGCGGACAAGATGACGAGAGGCAAATGTATATCGCAGACACGCTCGAACCGTCTGGAGCCGTGCAAACGAAGCCACAGCGAAAACGTGAGTGACTACGGTGAGAGTACATGTACATGGTCAGAGCGTTTAAATCGTACGTAGCGTCCGTCGAAGAATCGTCAGTAAGTAGCCCCGCGCCAAACCCACGCCCTGCCCTCGGTCGTCCCTCGCGCACAACGTTCACTGCAGCAGCAAGAAGCTCGCGACGAGCTTCAAGTAGTTCGGCGTGCCGAGGCCGGTGACCGGGTCCCACCCCTTCGCGGCCGAGAACCCGTCGGTGTCGCACCCGGGGTTGTCGCCCTCGGTGATGTCGTTGAACGCGCCCTCGAACTTGTACAGCTGCGAGCACAACACAGCACCAGATGTCAGCCCCGCACGCGCGAAAGAGAAAGGGAAACCGGACGCACCGCGGGGTTGACCCACCCGACGGGCTTCTTGCCCACCGCAAGCCGCGCGTCGTTGATCGCGGACAGCACGGACGCGAACGTCGGCGCGGACGCGGACGTGCCCGACACGAGCTGCAGCTGCCCGTCGATCGCGACCGAGTAGTTGAGCCCGTTCGCGGACACGTCCGGGTACGCGCGCCCGGTGGTGTTGAACGTCCCCGCAGGGTAGTCCGGGGCGTGGTAGGCGAGGTACGAGGACACCGCGGCGTCCTGGAACGACGGCCGCGGGAAGTGGTTCGAGAACCCGCCGCCGGACGGGAACAGCTGGAAGACGGCGACCTCGGGGTCCGTCACCTTGTTCCCGGGCTTGACCTGCGTCGCGCCGACCGAGGTCACGTACTGGCACCCGCCGGGAAACGTGGGGTTGAAGCGCGTGCCGTTGAAGAAGTTCTCCTCGTTGTTCTCGTCGAGGCAGTCGCCGAAGGGACCGGAGACGCCGGCGTCGCCGGAGGAGTACACGAACGTCATGCCGGTGAGAGACAGCTTGCCGTACTCGGCGCACTGGCGCTGGGTGTACGCGAGCGAGAGCTCGGCCTCCTGGTAGCCGTAGGAGGTGGAGACGACGAAGGTCTGGGGAGCACCGCCGCACTGCTCTGGACCGGAGTAGCCGCCGAAGGGATCCGGGTAGGCGGGGTCGACGTTGGGGTCATTGCCCCCTCGAACGTGCAGTAGTAACCGTCGAGGGCGTTGAGGAAAGTGTTGAAGGAGCCGCCTTCGACGTTGTCGCCGACCTGGTACAGCGTGACGGGCTGTTTGCCGCCCACGAGGCCCATGACGTACTGCAAGTCGAGGCTGGACTCGGCGAAGAACTCGTTGTCGGTGAGCTCCGCGCCATCGATGCCGACGAAGATCGGACGCTTGCCGACCTGCGACTTTGAGTAGTTGCCGAAGAAGACGTCAAAGTCGGAGTCGAGGTGGGACTCGGGTGAGTACTCCACTGGACACATGAAGACTGGTCAGCGTCTCGACCCGCACAGACTGACGATATGCACTCACCGACCCCGATGCTGTTCTTTTTCGTCGCGAGAGGGATGTAGACGAAGTCGTAGAGAGCGCGCAGACACGCGAGGGTGATCACCTCGTCGCAGTGCTCCAGCTCCGTGAAGATCGACTGGATCACGGCGTCAGCGAACCGATCCCAAGCGAAACGCGCAGAACACGCTCACGTGAACCTCGCCTCCAACCTTGGGCCGCGCGCCGAAGCCCGTCGTGCCGATGTTCTTGCTCGTGTTGTAGCCGTGCCGGCGCATGCCGGCGTCAAAGTGGAGGGTGGGCGTGATGAGGTCGACGTGGCTCGCGACGTGCGCGGGGACCGAGTACGCGCCGTGGCACGCGAGGTGCGTGCGGCCGTCGCGCGCGTGCTCGTACTCGTAGTACTCCGTGCCGAGCAGCGCCTCGGCCTCCGCGACGGTGACGTTCGCGGTGAGCCACCCGCCGCTGGTGCTGAGCACGATGCGCTCGGGGGCGATCGTGCCGTCTTCCTCGAGCCAGGCGCGGACGGCGTCGACAGCCTCGGCCGAGGGGCGGAAGGTCTCTGCGACGCGGGCGGTGGTCCAGTGCTGGGCGTAGTTGGGGGAGCCCGGGTCGGCGACGTCGAGCAGGTAGGACTCGAGGTTGTCGAGGTTGTTTTGGACGAGGCCGACGCTGAGGGGGAGGATGTCGCCGGCGTTCGCGCGGCGGACGGGGTTCCAGCCAGCCGGGAGGGAGCGGCGGGTCTCATGCACGGATCGACGTGAGGGGGGACGTGCGAGGGCGAGGGAGGCGAGGAGGGCGGGGAGGAGGGCGGAGAGCAGCATCTTGACACTGGCGGGCAGAGTGGAAGATGGGGGCTGGAGGAACGATCCGCCCTCAACGCGTCCGTCTTATGGAAGGGAAGACAGGCTGGGGCGCGCGAAGATGCCGGAGCTGGGGTGAAGCGAGGAAGCTGATGTTTGGGGTAAGCACGAGGGAAGCTCGATGACGAGCGGACATGGGGCGCTGTGTCCGCCCTTCTCTCCCCCTTCTGTCCGTGCCCGCTCTCGTCGCGGTAGACGGAGGGAGTAATGACGAAGTCCGAATACCTGCGCGGAAGGCGTCGAGTATCAAAGCTAGACCGAGCCTAGCACCCTGAGTGAATATTTGAATGATCCTCGGCGTTTGGGTGCAGCGGAAGCAGTAGAACATCACGTACGCCTTATACTCTTCCATATGGTTGCATACACTCCTCCTCCTCCTTTGCCGTACAAGCCGCATAACGGGCTTTGCTGGCCGCCCCGGCCGAGTACAGCGACGGCGTTGGGTTGGCCCACCTGATGATGCATGGGCGCCCGCGCCTCGCAAGGACGGACTTCTCATAGCCAAATATCTCCACCAGTGACAGATACGCGCGACGGAAGGATATCTGGCCGCAGTCTCTGTGCGGGTATGTGAACTCGACTGCCTTCTAGCATTTGTCCTGACCGAAAGCCCATGTGGCGACTGGCAGGCGTAGCCCATAGGTGTCATGTAATCCCCGCGGTGCCCAATGTCACTTGGGTGGAGCAAAGTCCGTATGCGTGCACCAGACTGTCAGGCTGCGTGGTTCAATTCATGACAAGACAGTGCTCACCAGACATTCGGTCAGCTGGGACCCTGAAGGTAGCACGAACAGTACTTAGTGCAGCGAAGAACGCATAGCTTCAAGAGTCGAGACATGATGGATGGAAGAACATGGGCGGCAACGACCAGAACCAGTGCAGACGCGACTTCGGATGGGGAGAAGTGGTTCTGTGGGCGCAGAATCCGGCCGAGAGAAGTTCGATGCCGCTGCCGACGGCAGTTCACGTTGCAGGACGATGGGAGCGGAAAGAAAGCCAGGGGTGCGCGGCAGGTCTCGAACGACTGGCCACGTCGCATCTGATGCAATTCACACGCCGCGCGCGCGAGCATCTGCGCGCGTGTATCCAACTTTCCAACGCGCGATTAAGGGAGGCTTATAAAAGGAGCATACTCTCCTGGGTAAGCACCGGGACCAGTAAGTACAAGCACACCGTCCTACGTACACCTCCCCCTTTGCCGCCTCCCCACCGACCATCCCCGACAAACGTTGTGCACCGGCGTCGCGTGCGCTCACGCGATCCCGAAGAACTCGAGGTACTGCTGCTCGAACAGCGGCACCGTGTGCCCGACGCCCTGCGCGAGGATCGCCTGCAGCCTCGGCCCGAACGTCGCGTTCGAGTACCCCGACGGCAGCGCCGCCTCCGACACGTTCGACACCGGCGTCGCCGCGTACCCGAACACCGTCGTCCACTGCTTGATCTGCTCGTAGAAGTTCTGCAGGTGGAGCGTCGCGTCCCTGTCCGCGCCCCCCAATCAGCCTCGCGCTCGCTTGAAGTACAGCGGACGGCGACGAAGAAAGCAAAGGCGCTCACGCGGTGCCGTGCCACACCTGCATCCTCGGGTACGCCCCGCCGTACCCAGCGTACGCCGCCGCGACCTCCGCCGCCCACGCCGCGCCCGTCCGCACGAGCTCGCCCGCCGCGCACCGCGCGCTCCACGAGTCCTCCGCCGCCCCGGGCAGCGCGAAGCACCCGAACGCGACGCCCGAGTCGACGACCCCCGCCGCGAAGATGTCCGGGTACGCGCCCGCGAGCACCGCGGTCATCATCGCGCCCGAGGACGTGCCCAGGGCGAAGACGCGCGCGGGGGCGACGTCCCAGCACGCGACGGCGTGGCGCGCGGCGTTGGCGATCGAGAGCGAGTCCGAGCCGCCGTCGTGCGTGAGCGTCGCGTCCGAGGAGACGTCCCAGCAGGTGTCGGGGTGCGGCTGCAGTGTGCGGGAGGGGGGCGCGTACATGTCAGTGAGCGCGTGGGGAAGGCGGGGGAAAGGAGAATGGCGGGCGCGTACCGAGGAGGGGTAGATGACGACGTAGCCGTACGTCTCCGCGAGCTGCGCGAACTTGGAGCGGGAGAAGTAGCCCTGCGCGGTGCCCGAGCAGTCTGCTCGGACCAGCGTGGTCAGTCGGCGAGCCCGCGACGACCGGAAACGACGCACAGTGTATCGCGACGAGGAGCGCGGGGTTCGCGGCGACGTGCGCGGGCTTGTACACGTACATCTGCACGTCGTTCGGGTTCTCGCCAAAGTCGGTGAACGGCGTCAGGGTCGACGCCGGGATGGAGTCGAGCCCCCGGTGCACGGCGCGCTGGAGGAGTTGACCGCGCCTGCCGCGGAGACGAGCGCGGCGAGGAAGAGGGTCGCGATGGCGGCGAGCTTGCGGAACATGCTGGTGAGCCTGGTGTCGTTTGGTTGTATCGCAATTTTATAGCCGTGGTCGAGAGAGGAATCGCAGTGAAACGACCTGTAATTGGAAGCACGTCGGTGAGAGAGCAAGAGGTCGGGTCTGTCGTTGGGAACACTGCGCGCGCGAGCGTATAGGGAGCATTACAAGGGGCCAGAGATATGACAAGTGATGTAGCCCGTTCCGTCATCCCTAGGAGTAAGTACGCACCCAAAGGGTATTCTGCATTTTCTCGCATCCAGAGCGAAAGAGAGTACCGCAGATGTGACGTCACCATTGCATCGGTAGACGGACAAGCTGACTCTGCGCACGGAACGCGCAAAGAGCGAGAGGCACCTGCGCTCACCCGGCCTTGGATGAGACGAAGCTCAGATGTTGTGGTACACTGGCATCCACACCCGTGCTCCTGCCTCCATGGATCCTTCGTTGTAGAGCACTTCAAAACGGGGAGAACGGCACAAACTTTCTCCTGACGATCCGTCTTCCCGGTGACAATCCCGGCCTCGAAGCGTTCCTCGCCGCGCAACTGCCGCGGATCTCAGGCCCCATCCGAGCCAGGCCTGCCCACTCCCTCCGACGAACGCCGTGGGTTCCCTCGACGGCGTCCCACTCCGTCGCCGACTTCCGCCGGGAGCTCGTGCGCTGCGTGGCTGGGGTTAAGTTTCTACCGCGAACTCCCGACGCCGCGGCGGTCGACTCAACCGACGTGATCAGGAGGCTAGGGGCTTTTTCCTCGCGAACGCCGTGCTCAGTGGCCCCTCATGACCTTCTTCCACGATTGGCGCGAGCTGACTCCGTCCGCCCACCAGCGCGTCACGTTCGGGTGCTTTGCCGCTCTCGAGGAGGTCGATGCCCCGCCGCTTGAGCACCGCGCCGTACGGGAGGTGGAAGAGGTCCGCGAGCGTGGTCTCCTGCACAGGAGATCGGGGGGCGTCGGCGCACGAGGAGGCTCGGGGAGCGCCAGGGAAGGGGCGAGGGCGGGAGGGGCACAGCACGCGCGCACGTCGCCGGCGAGCCTGGTGCTCGGTCTTGCCGAGGAGGACGTCGAGCGTCGCGGAGAGCCTCGTCACCGCCTCGGGACCTCCGTCGCGGCGATACCTGAAAGCCCGACCTCAGTACTCAGCACTCAGCCCCGTCACCGACCGATCCGCGCGAGGACACGGCCAGCTGCACAGTCGTCTCCCGCCGCGCGCGTGTGCGACGGTACGCAAAGCGAAGGAGCGACGCTCACGGCTTGTACACGTCAGAGCTGGTGAGCTCGATGTTCGCCGCCTGCTCCAACTGACACCCTGTGCGTACAGCTCAGGTAGGGGCGGAACTTGAGGTGCGCGACGACGCCGACGAGCCGGCGCACGAGCATCTCCGAGTGCCGCGTCCATGTCTCGCAGCCCCCGGCCATGCACGCGATCCGACGTCCTCGGTCTCGGTGCGCACCTCGGACCCCGTGCAGAATCGGTGGGCGCACACGAGCGCGAACGTCTCCGTCCGCTCGTCGTCGACGCAGATCGGGCACACGAACGGCCCGGGCTCGCTGGCGCGCTTGTCTTGCTCCCCGGGCGCGCGAAGTCCAGGGTCGAGGACCGCACCGTTTGCTGGGGCCCCGGTGCCCCGCGACTGGAGGACTGCTCAGCGGGTGGGGGCGACGGCTCATGCGGAGGGAGCTCGACGCCGGCGGCGACGGAGACGCTAGAAGCGCTGTCCATGTACTTCTCGATGAGCTTCTCCTTGCGCCTCCGGTACATGTGTCGGAGTAGGAAAGTAGCCACCAGCGGTTGGTAGGAGCGGGGGGAGGCGCACAGAGACTGCAAGAGCATACTGACCTCAACCCCAAAGATGCCGCTGATGTGGTCGACGCTCGACTTCGACGTTCGTACATCTTCAGGCTGGACTTTCTTGGGACATGGAGGCCGCCGCTAAAGTATATTTCACTTTTAGATGCAGATACTGATACTTAGACACAGCAGCGAGCGGCAGGAAGAGAGGGAGGCGGGATGGGCAGGTGTGTGCGGATTGCCAGTCGTGCAGTGGAGCGCACCGTCGTCGTCGTCATAGTACTCCTGGTCTTCTTCCAAGATAAGACGTCGTAGTCGGAAGTCATCGTGTGCGGTGGCGAGGCGGGTAGAGCGACAGGCGAATGGGGGAAGGTGGATGAGTTGAGCAGCACAGAACAAGGGCGCCTACCAGGAGACGCCCCGTGTTTGACGCCCGTGAGATAGACGGGACCGGCGGTTTCTCGACAAGCGCCAATGCGGCAGGGGCCTGGCTTATCGTCGGCCACCGCTGTCCTCGGGATTCAACGACCCCGCAGTTTCATGGTTCAGGACACAGGTGTCAGATAGAGGCATCAGCCGACAGAAGAACGATAACGGGGTCCATCGGAACGCAGTGTTACAGTCGCCCGGCACGCCCACGGACGCTGAGAGCCTCACGTCAATCACAGCCAATCTCCCCGAGTGGCATCCGTTCAGCACGCGGAACACGCTGCGCACAGGCCCAGGCTCCTTCCTCCGTACGCCAAGACCAGGGCAACGATAGCCGGAATGGAACTCCGTGGACCCACTAGCCCAACAAACGAGCTCGAGCGCCCCGACCCTCGATCGCAGCAGCGGGGCCGACACTAGCCACTCGTCAGTGGGTGCTATAATGAATTGGTATCGCGGGCGCGTGTCGCGTGCCTGGCTCATGACAGTGAGTTCAACGACGCGACCATGTGTCGAGGGCCGCGCCGCCGCCGCGTCCCCGTGAAGCTCGCGGCGCAGACAGGGGAAGGTACCGTGGCGTAGACGACGAAGGCTATCATCAAGCTTTGGTACCACATGGCGCGTGGTTTCCAGAGTTCCTCCCACAGCCGCGTGCACGCAGACGGATGGTGTGTGAACGGCGCGCTCGAGCCGAAGAACTTCGCTTGACACTTCAAGCCGCCCTATCGTGCGCTAGGGAGCAGGCGCAGTGGATAATGGTGGCTGATCATACATTGCGCGTTACTAACTACTGCTACACTGTCAACTACACTCGTGAGACCGTGAATGAGACATTATACATCGCAGCCGGTACCGTACGACCGCAACCCCTCAAGAGAACTCGCCGACGCCAGGACCGAAGAAGCCCTTCTCGGGGATGTCGAAGAACGGGCACCCGTTCGAGTCGCAGCCCTCGAAGGGGATGTTGTTCGGCACCCAGTCGATCGAGATGTTCGAGAACTGGAGGGCAAAGAACTGGACGATGCCCGAGATGGCGATCGCGCTGGGAGCGGTCACTTTAGCGAGAGCGAACGAGAACGAGACGGTGAGGGACGTACCAGGCGAGGGCGGAGGCCATGACGTAGTTGTACTTGGACCACCACGCGAGCGCGCGGGTCTTGAGGAAGACCATGAAGAACCACGCGAGCGGCACGGCGGGCCAGACGTTCGACAGGTTGTAGGGAGCCCTGGAGACTAGGTAGCGCAATTCTCTTCAGACACGCCCGCACGCACCAGGTGAGGGCCCCGCGAAGAACACGGGAAGGTGGATGTAGCGCAGCATCGGGATGCGCTCCTTGAGGAAGTACACCGGGAAGGGGAGGATGAAGCCGATGAGGAAGCACCAGATCAGCGGGTTGTAGATCTGGCCGGTCCCGAACATGCGCGCAGGCCCGAGCGTGCCCCAGAGCACGGACGCGGTGAAGAACGTGTTCTCGCCTGGCACGTGAAGCGGTCCTTCTGGTGCGGGTCGCAGACGTTCTCGATGCCGGTCATCTGGAAGTTGAGGATCCCGAGCGAGACGAAGGTGGAGGCGACGGTCGCGACCATCTGGCACCAAAACGTGATGCGCGGAGGGATGTGGGTGTAGTGCGCGAGCTTGAGGTCGGACGAGAATGCGAGCGCGTGCGAGGTCGTTACGTAGCCGTACGACTTGAAGAAGTTCAGGGCCGTCGCGTTGCCGGGGAACCAGAGACCGCCGATGAATTCGGCGATGACGTTGAGCGTGACCTCGACATTGGTGACGGCGAGGATGATGCCGGCGGGGATCATGAAGATCAGTGCCAGGAAGATACCGTAGAGGACGACAGCAGGGCTCGTGTTCGTGGGTAAGCACCGACACCGGCAGCGCCAAGGGCACGGAGAGCAGCACGACGCTATGGGCAATGAGTGACTGCAGAGCAGACTCCTAGAAGAGAGACATACATCGCGTAGTGCCATTCAGGAACCTCCTTGTACGAGGACATGCGGCGGCCGTGCACGTCGTACTTGGCGTCCTTGTCGAACTTCTTCCTCTTGATTAGGTCCTTGAAGCCGGTGATAATCGCGTCGCGGTGGTACAAGTACGCGTGAGAGAGAGTGGCTGAGTAGATAGCGACTGCTTGACGGTGAGACATCGACAAAAGGAAGTAAAGCACTCTGGTACGTACAGAAGAAGCCATAGAGGAGGATGTTCCCGCGGCGAGGTAGGCCGGGGAGTACGACTCATACTTCGCGGCATCGAAGAGTGCCTCGTCATTGACGGCCAGGGAGACGTTGTACCTGGCCCCGGTGTTGTCGAAGACGCCGTTGGAGTTGATCGGGAGGTGCCCAGTGAACCAGACGTTTGACACCCAGATGGCGAGGATCTGTGTGAATGCGTCAGTATGATAAACGCAGTTGGCTCAGAATGCACCGAATTCAACTGACGATCGGCATTGTTACGAGTGCTCCGAGGAAGAGGTTGACCGTGGTGAAGTAGGGGCTGATAAGCGGAGTATTCCCGATGGCCGTAAGCTGGTTGTAGTCGAACGTCGGGATCGGGTTCAGCCCAAGTCCACCGACGCTGCCAGTGACCGCCCCAAGGAGGACGTTGTTCGGCGCGATCCACGTCATCCAGTTGAAGTAAGATAGGAAGGCCATAATGTAGCTGCAAAGTTGTCAGCAGTGCTAGCATGTTGACTTGCATCGAGATACGCACTTCGGGAACCAGAAGTACGTGAACATGCCAGCGAAGACGTAGAGGAAGAAGCGCATGCGCGAGATCCTCCAGCCGTTCGCTACCGTGTTCACCTCCGTATGGAACGCTTTCTGCTCCAAGCGTGAGTAACGTGCTCAGCGAAACCTCAAAGTCTATGCGCTCACGTTCAACGCGATGATGGCGAGGTTCTTGGGCCAGATAGCGTACACGGGATACACGAGGAAACGGCGCGTCAATCCGGCGATACCATACCCGATGAAGTTTGTGGAGAGCGCGGCTGGAAGGCATTTCAGTTGACCGCGCGCATTCGAGAAGAGCTCACGCACTAAGAGCCTGGTACCCGAAGTTCACCGCCCAGTGCTGGTTGAAGAAGCGCGGGACGAACTGGACCCAAATAATGTATGTCGTGTACGGATTCTTGAAACCGACGTTAGCCATGATCGTGATCACCATGTGCTCCTTCATGTTGAACGGTCCCCTGCACAGAACGCCATGAGAAAGTATGCCTTACAGGCGGTTCGACACTCACGGGTTCAGAGAAAGCCGCTCGCCGATAAAGGGAACGACGAAGCCCCAGTCGGGGAGAACCTTCTCCAGGAACTTTCCAGCGGGGTACGCAAGCAGCTGCGCGACGTTAGAGTCTACGCTGATGCTCGGTTGCCGGATCTCAAAGAACTGGTTGATGAACGCTCCGATGCAGACGTATACCATGCCGATGATAAAGGCGCGGATGGTGAAGGACGGCATCTCCGGATCGTCCTCTGCGGAGACCACGGCGCGGACCTCGGCGTAGGGTGAATTCTAGCGGGCGCGTGGAGGAAAAGCGGGCCACGATCAGGTAATGTCCGCAGGTGTCCGGTATCCACGACAACAGTGGGACGTACGATGATCACGAGAGCGGCTTCGACCTTGAGCTCCTCATACAGTTTGGCGTGCTCCACGGGGTCCGTGGCAGCAGCTTCACCGTCGAAGTACTTCTCGATGAGGTGAATGGTGTGCGTCGGGAAGTTCTGCGCACGCGATTAACTGTCAGCGAACGGAGCAGCCCGACGTGCACTATGCACTGGCACGCACGGGGTCTTTCCCGAAGGTCTCATGGATGTGCCGCAGGGCGTCGTCCACCTCTTCGTGCGACATGCCCTTCGCGTGCTGCATCGCATCCTCGATATCAGCCGCGACTGCTTGGACCTCCTTGGCAACGACATCCTGATAGAAGGAGTGAGCGAGCTCGCACTTCCGATCGGGGATATGTTCCTGGTCACGAGACATACCACCGCGACGTCACCGGGGGCGTATTTCTCGTCGTCCAGAGACTGGTGCGAGCCGGGTCCGGAGGGACGCTTCTCTTCGACAGACATATTGCAGTCCGAAGGAGGGGCGCGGAGGGGCGGGGGAGGAGGACAGAGGACAGAGGCGACCTATCCGGCGAAGGCTCGGCGGAGACCCTTCTTATGCTTATGGTGTATCTCCCACCATGCCGTTAGCAGATTGAGATTCCGCAGCCATTGAAGAAGACGCCGGCTGGAAGGTCCGATAAGTAAGGGCGCAAAGGGACGGCAGCGTGCTTCTCGGCACTTGCACAGCGTACGGCGTGGGCGAAGCCGGCGTTCAGTACGTCCACATGGTTCGGTATGGCAGGTGAGCAGCGGTACCCTCCAAAAGCGTTGTGCTTTCGCAGGACCTGCTTCCGATATCTCAGCTTGAATGCTTCTCTCAGTTATTCCTCGCGTGGCACGTCCTGGATTCTGGAAGCGGGGAGGTGGCGATGTGTCCGAAGCTCGGCCGCGAAGCGTCTGTTGATAAGGCCGCCGGCAGGAATAAGTTAGAGTAGGGCGGCTTGATACGTGCACCCTGATCCAGGCCATGTGCTTCCGATGAATCCAGACCTGAATATCGGAAGTGCTGTCGGTCAGGTACAGTAGAAGTGAGACACCGTGAGAGTGACAGACGGTGGCATCGGCAGAAGAGCGGTAGAGGTCGCAGTGCATGCGAATCCTCCTACTTCACCAGCTTCCATGTCGCGGCCGATGAGGATTTCCTCTGAGGGCCGATCCTTGTGTCAGATTTCCATGATTCGAAGACGATAGAACTTTGCGCCGAGCTATGGGGAATTGCTTATCTAACAGATAATCTCTCCGCCGCGTAGGAGAAGGCCTGATGTTCAGTGTGAGAGTTTATACGGCCGCACGCGCAGCAACGTCACCATACGATCACGACAGTGTAAGACGACGAATGCCCGGATGAGAACGGGTTGACGGTATTCCCATGAAAGCTCATGAGAAAAGTGATGGTGGCAAAGTCAGCTGCTACGGATTCTGTGCTCAAGTGCTACAGCACTCACCTGGACTTGCAGGCACTCTCGTGAAGCCATCGCAAAGTGCACGCCGGACGCGAGAGGTCGAGACACGTCAACGCCGCCCAAAGTACGCTGCATCGTTCCTATCGCATCAGGTGACCGGGTCATATCCGGGCCGGCACCGGGTGCAGCAAGTAGCCGATGAAAGGCACTACAGTCATGGACCATAACAGAGAAACAATGCCGTATATGTTTGCACATGATCGAGCCGGAAAGACATCCTAACCGAACCTTTAGCTCTGTATCTGTGAAATAATCTCGAGCCCTTTGTTCATCACCTCCAGTCCGCGGTTCAACTTCTCCACCGCCTCCCAGGTACTGTGCTCTTGATTTTCTCTCCGCCCTCCGTCTCTCTGCATTCCCGTTCTGTTTGGTGATAACTAGGAAAGGATGATCCGCGCTCTGCCGCGATCTCTTGCTAGGGTCCACATGCAAGTCTGACACAGATCGTAATCTGTTCTCATGGAGTCGAGTCAATACTCGTTCATCATCTACAGTAGCTCACCACGTACTCGGACATTTTGAGCACTGGTACCAGTAGCCGACGATAATTTCCCGCAGAGATTGCATTCTGCGTCGTCATGCACGATGTCTGCCGAGCCCGTTGCCGCGCGCCCCGGTGCGATGACTGTGTGCAGTTGCGCACGCGCTGCTTCGTACACGGCGAGATCCGCCGACGAGGGTGTTGGAATGGGAAAGAGCTGGTGGTCGACCGGATGGGTTTTGCACGCGACGGGGTCGAGCACGCACCCTGTACAGAGGTCGTAGTCTGCCTCCGGTGTCAGAATCGAGTTGGAATGTGCCCAGCGCTGGTGCGAGAAAGACACTCACCGTCGCAGACGAGGCACCTGCTCCTCACTCCGCATATATACATTCCGTCTCGGGGCACGATGTTGATGAATGAGAGTTCTGTCACGCTTAACGACCCAAGAGAGCACTGCGAGAACAAATGTCACCACGCGAGGCCGATGAGGCAAGATCCCCGTCATGCGTAGAGCAACAACACCCGGGGCTATGGAAGACGTTCTAAGTAGTAGCTGTAACTCATTCAAGCGAAGAAAATGTTCTGTATGAACGTAAAACACCTGCCGTCCACTCTTTCACGAGATTCCGAAGGTCGATAGAGCAGAGCGTCGGAGTTCTGTTGTCGGTCGTGCGTGCGACACGCGTCGCCTACTCCAGCAGGTATATTCGTTGTCTGGACAGCGCTGCATCCATATGAGCGCATCCCGGATGTTTGTGGCCGCGGGATTCTTGTCACGGAGGCTGCCGTCGGCCGATGAGTTTCGGCAGCGTCAGCCGACTTCCAGCTCGGTTTCTACGGGTGTGGGGCTGGCATAGGCGGCAGCGGTAAATCTCTGCCCATGCCTCACAGACCATCTTGAGGCGGGAGTCGATTCCACCACGGGTGATTTCGGGGTGCTCAGCACGCATGATGGCCGTCGTCCGAGATCATGAGAACTTGTCAGGTAACGGGTTCTGTAATGAGCATAAAATCAGCAAAGGGAGATTTCGCGTACGGTGCTCACCCAAGTCAGCCGTGATCGATAGGAAAATGCAAGCGAAGCGAGATGTTCCGGCTTGCAGGACTCTCCGAGCGCCCGAGTGTTGAATTCGACGAGGATTCGACTCCGCGCCGCGGCGCAGAGTCCGATGGCCCCGCGTGCGTGTCCAGGGGTGAGCGGGAGTGCTTGCGGGTGCTAAAACGGGTGCTAAGGAGCGCTCTGAAGCGTTACGGAAGCAGCGGTGCATTGATGACTGGAGCCGGGGAAGATGGGGGTCGGGAGGAACTTGACAGAGAGAGCAGGGTGTCGAGAAGAAGTTTGCACAGGGCAGAGCGCGCGGGGCTCGCGCCTGTGTGCGCGCTCCGAGCCGTGGGAGCTCCGCCGGCCCGGAATCCGACTTCAACTAGTATGCGCCGAGTTTCGACGTCAACAATGCTGTCCTCCCCAGACTCTAGGCAGAGCGGAAGTAAAACCGCCTTCGGTCTCCAGAGACGAGCATGCGCAAGAATCGAGATTGCATAGACGAACGTCAAGCGTTTGGAGTCACTGTACAGTTGCGCAAACCGCCAAGAGAATATCCAGATCACAATGCGACGAATAAAGGTGTATACAATGATAAAGGTCGGATCTAGTACGTGGTCAGTAGTTTTGTCGTGACCGAGAACATGTTGGAAAGAAGGCTCGATGTGGGGCCTAAGAGCTGCGCAGATCGTCTGCGGTGTTGTAGATGATGCTGGTACTAGCGGAGGAAGGTAAGTTGGCCTGTTATAGTACGGAGTAGCAACTGTGATACCCTTTGTTCATCGCCTCCAGTCCCAGGTACTGTGCTCCTTGACTGGGTCCCACATGCAACTCTGACACAGATCGTAATCTGTTCTCATCGGACCGGGTCGATGCGAGCGGAACGGAGCTCGCGCGCGTGGGTGCGTGCGCGCTCCGAGTGGCGGAAGCTCCGCTCGCCCAGGTAAGTAACTACCGTCCCGAGTTTGAGCACGAGCAGGCGAACATCTGGCATTGATGACAACCCCAGTATCCTCCTACAACACTCGGCGACGCGCGTGCGATCGGAGTGCTGTCATTCTATGAGATAATACTAGCTAGTGTCCACGCACATGTGTGGACAGGGGCCGCGAACCGACGCGGGGGAGGAAATCCAGAAAGAATAAAGACATCACGATAAGTTACAAGGGATATCGGACCTAGTATACAGTGGCAGTCCGTAGTTCCGTCATGGCGGAGAACGCGTTGGTCAAAAGATTCAACGGGGAGCCCAAGAGCTGCTTGGATCGCGTGCGACGTTTTAGATACTGGTCGCAGATGAAAGTTAGATGGCCTGCAACACAATGCTGGAACAGATCACGCACCAGAGGCCTCGATGGCTTGGGCGTAAAGCCACCTCCCGACAATTCCACGACTGACTCCGTTTCGCTTTCACTGTCCGAGGACTCATCTTGATATAGGGTAGAAGGGAGAGGGGGAGGCTGAACTACGTTCAGAATCGCGCAACGCAGAGCGTGATAGGAGGTACTCACAATATAAGAATAGCATTCTCCTCGCTGCTCCTCTGCCTCAAGCCATTTTCCACGCCTCTTGGTACACACGCGAACCTTTTCTCCAGCGCACTCCTTCGCTTTGCTCCAGATGAAGGCCGTAGCTGCCAAATATGTCGTTTCAGTGCTCAAGCAATACCGAGGACGACAAGCTGTGGATTACATACGAAAGACAGTCATTTTATAGCGGAACTGCACGTACTCAACGTCCTTGAACTCTTTGAGGCCATGAAGATGTGGGGGAAACCAGCGATCGGCGTACTCTTGTGCCTTTCGGTCGAGAGAAACGTCCGGTGGAGACGACCCGTGGTTGAGAAAAGCAAGCCTGCAGCCCAGGACATAACCCTCAGCACAGACGTGGTTTCTGTCGATAGGGCCGTATGGAACGAAGTTGGGGGCATCGAGGTGATAACGTTCAGCGAAGACTTCCGTCGCTGTCGGAACGGTGGCGATATCCTCATCCACGCCGTAAGCCATCACGAGGAGATGTTTGGCAGCTTCAGGAGAGAAGAGATAGCCTCCAACGTAGGCAGAATGAATCGGCGACATAATGACGGGGAAGACGGTGAGTGGCGATCGAGAGCGGGGGATAGGGAGATGCGGGAGTGGCGATGGTAAGAGAGAGGAAGCACTTGCGCCTCATTCGGCCATTGTTCGAATTCGCGAGTGGTCCAGTCACGTGGACGTGTCGCGGGCCGCCAGCCGCGGTTAGCGCTCAACCTCAACCATCCTCGAACTCCGCACTTTCTGAACAGTCCCGTGAGGCGTGGTCTCGACCACAAGCGGACAACAATGCGTCTGCACACGCTCCAATTGTTCCAACGAGTACAAAACTCCTCCGCCAGCGCTTTTCTTATGTTTCTCCACCGTCCACGATCCACTGTCTGCCACCGCCACCAACCACTTTCAACCACTCTGCTCCCCTCGCGCTCTTCTCTGGCTACTCCCCCATCATTTCCAAGGCCAATAAAATGTACGTGTTTTCTCCGCTCACTTTTTATTGCGCTAACCTATGCATAACGGTGCCAGGAAGCAGAAAACCATCGCTGAGAACGATAAGGGTTCGGAAGCACAAGCGGCACAGAAGGAGCGAGAAAAAGCAGCACGGGCGTCCAAGAAGGAGTTGGCGGATGCAGCACGGGCTGCCAAGAAGGAGCAGGAAAACGCAGCGCGAGCGGCCAAGAAAGAGCTGGACAAGGCTGCCCGTGATGGGCGTCGAGCTCGGCGAGAACAGTGAGTACTTCCCGTGTCGACACCCCACGACTCTCTGTTCATCTATACATGTGCTAGACAACAGGATGGGCAACCCTCCCTCGAGGAAGAGGAGCGCACCATGCGACGGATCAACTTGCCTCCGACCAACTGGAACGACCTCCTCAATCATTGCGCAAGGGTCGTCCATAGCATGTCGCTGGCCCGTCCGAGTGACAACGTTACAGTGTGTCTGATCGCGCTACATATGGCCTTCACTCACCCTTCTTGTGACTAACCCAGGCGCGTACGGTAAAAGCTTTCGGTAAAGCTGTCGCTGCTAGGTGGTCAGGCTATGTTTCGGTGAGTTCCAGTGTGTGATTTCCAACTGCTCCGTAATAGTATCAACTGCTTGGCAGGAACTTCGGCAGAACCACCAGGCAATGAACCGTGCAGGCGGCCCTGAAGATGGGCGAGTGTTTGTGTTTGTGTCCCTATCATACGTGTGTCACTTACCATGTGTTCCGCTTTTCAGTCCGTCGACCGGAGATTCCGCATCGCCAGTAAATCAGGAACAGACGGATACTCCGATCTCAGCCCTCAAGCTGGACTCCAACGTGGAGTTCACATTTGACGATCTAGAAGACATGCTTTTTTCTTACGCAGCCAGGCTGGTACGTCGTTCACAGTGCGATGAAATTGCCGTGAGCTCACTATCGCTGCTGCCTAGGAATCTAGAGAGTACGATCCAACTTTACTCATCGCCGGTTTTGGCACCTCGTTCAATTATTTTGCTTTCAGCCCCAAATGTAAGAAGGTTAGGCATATGGTGCTCAGAACAATTCAACAGATCAACGAAGTCAAGAGTGGTATCAAGGTGCGAGTTTTACGCTTACATCCCCGATATTAGCACAAACCAAATGCCCGCTTTTTATTGACCCAGAAAGAGGAATATCCGGAAGAGCCATGCCTGTCTTCGCCGGATCCGCGGATGACTCGCGCCATGAGCCGCGAACCCAAGACCGAGGAGCCCGAAGAGATAGATCTTACGCATATTGACCGCCTTGTCGATGGCGATATTCTTGCAGATATCACCCTGCTCTTGGCCGAATACAAGAAGACTCTCGTGCGCCTCCTTGTTCTCACTACATCGCTCGGTACTAACCCTTGTGCTGGCACTCGGTCATGGCAGAGTAATGACGGGTATGTTTCGGACCCCGTATCACACGCCTTCTCACTCACGCTCCCGCAGTAAGGACTTCGCGAAGCTTGACACGGTGATGAATAGGCTCTGGAAGTGCCCGCCTGCTCCGAGCTTCGATCCGACGAAGCCTCCTGTACGTCTTCTTGCATGCGTCGTCCATATTTCTCATTGATTTTGCTCGCAGTGTGATCTGGACGAGTTCAAGGCACGCATCGCACCTTGGGTTCCGAAAGCGATCGAACGCCTCTCTCGGGAAACCACCCGCTATGAGGCTAGCCTCGACGCTGTGGTTGGCTCGCTTCTGGCGTGCAATTTCACTGCCGACGGGGGATACTCTCTCCGCGCACAGTGGAAGCTCAACCAGCCATGGTACTTGTGTGCTACCAAGAAGACTTCAAAGAAGCACCGTGATTCACTTGGAAGGGAGGTTTCGGAGACCTACATAATCCCAGAGTTCACCATCATCTGTCTCGACGAGGATGGGAAACCGCTGAAGGTCATCCTCGTGGTCGAGGACAAGCGTACCGCCAACCCGGTAGTTCAGCTCCAAGATTACGCTGCATACCTCGGCGAGAAGCACAATGACCTCATTGGTCTTGGATGTCGCCTGGGGTCTACACGAGACGGTGACGGTATTCAAGCGCTCATCTGCAGTTACAACGGCGACAAGTTCTTTGGACCTCAGCACAAGACGACCGACGTTACTCGCCGCGCATACTGGTACTCGATCATGGACGACTTCATCCTGGAGACTCTGTTCAACCTGTGTCGCGACAACTGGCGCTTGGCTGATAAGGCTAAGGACAACTAGTTTCGGTGAGTCCAGATTCATTCTGCGATCTCTAGTCCGTGTACGCAAGTATGTATCGACCTTTTTTCAGTTCAACCTGACCATCGCTCCGGTGCGCCAACGTCCTCTGAACTCTCTTGGGTGTGCGTTCTGTCGATTCCGGAGGCTCGACTCGGCCACGACCTGCCCAGCACCATGTTTCCGCATTCTCTCTCTCTCTCTCATATGACGCACTGTTTATGCCTTATGTACCCTCTATGTGACACATCTATCATATGTTTGTTCCCCGCTGCTATGTTCTCTGCGTTACTCTTCTCCCCATCGTCTGCGATGCCCAAAAACTTGAGTATGAGTGCCTATATATCGCATGTTCGGTCCGGTGATCACATCTGCTCATGTCGGAGGGCGCCCGCTGCTGCTCTGAAGTCCCGAGCCACTTCGCACGCGACATGGAGTATACATAGCTTTACTACACCAGATGGACCCCGTAGCTGTGAAGCATACCATCTCGGTAATTAGTAAAGAGTGGAGATGGCAGAGCGCGGGGCGAGGGGTAGGAAATGCAGGGTGATGATGGTCAGAGAGAGCAAATACCTTGTAGTAATAGCACGTGTTGCGGACCGCCATCCGCGGTTAGTAGCGCCCAATTCCAACCATCCTCGAACTCCGCACTTTCTGAACAGTCCCGTGAGGCGTGGACCACAAGCGGGCAACAATGCGTCCAATAGGGCTCCCATTGTTCTACTGAGCATAAAATCCCTCCGCCGCCGCCCCTCCTACGTTTCCCCACCACCCCCACGATCCACCACGACGAGGTACCGTCTCCCACCGCTGCCAACCACTTTCAACTACACTGCACCTCCCTCCTCTCTCCGCTTAAAAAGTACCACACCTTCGCCTCTGTTGGAACTCTCGTCATGCCTAAGGGAAAGAAGACGCGCGTACTTCCTTCGTTCACTTGATATCGCGCTAATCTTTATTACACAGCGGTTCCAGCCTGAAGCAGAAGGCCGCGGCTGAGAGAGACAAGGCTGCCCGTGAGGAGGGTCAAGCTCGGCGAGAACAGTGAGTACTTTTCTTCAAGTCGCTCGTCGACACCACCCCGCTCTCTGCTCATGAATACATGTGCTAGGCGACGGGATGAGGGACCCCTTCCGAGTGACAACGTGGCCGTATGTCTGACCAGCCTCCACACGACGATGTGCTCTGATTGCTCTGACACGCTCCACAAAATACCCTTGTCCCGCAGACCCCGAACTGGGACGACCTTGAGCGTTTTGTCGTCATGCTCATCGAGCGGATGGAGAAGGAGGCTCAGGGCAAAGGCGTTACGGTGCGTCCGACACATGCCTCCCAGCGATGAGACGCTCACTTCGATCCTCGCATCGTCCCACAGGCGCAAACAGTGGAAGATCTTGCGGACGCTATCGAGGCCGAGTGGCCGGCCTACGTCGCCGTAAGTTCAAGCCCCCGGCCGCAGCGTTGGACGTCGATGCTCACTGATCTTGGTACTTTGTAGCAACTTCAATCCCACCGGGAGTGAGATGAGGCTCCGGTACCCAACTGGCGTAAGAGCCTGGAGGTAGACGAATCCTTATGCCGAATCAACCAAGTACCAGTTCATCACATTGCGAACAGTGTATGCGCAAACGGCGCACGACGCGAGCAACCCAAATAGAGAGCTTTGATATTACACTTCGCATTGCACCCTCGTGAGACGTTAAGTAAACATGGATATCGTACGTACGTAGTAGCAGTGGCAACAACAACAACAGCATCAGTAATGACACCACGCCACCGCGGCGCGGTGCAACGTACACCGTGGAACGCTGCGCCGGCGTGCGGCGCAGCGCAGAACGGACCTCGGGCAGGCGCGCACTCTCTCACGAGAACTCGCCGACCCCAGGGCCGAAGAAGCCGCGCTCGGGGACCGCGAAGTACGGGCACTCGTCCGAGTCGCAGCCCGTGAACGAGATCGTGTTCGGCACCCAGTCGATCTCGATCGACGAGTATTGGAGCGCGAAGAACTGGACGATGCCCGAGATGGCGATGCCGCTGCGGGGTGAGGTAGGCAGGTGAGTGGGCGCGCGGACGCGACGGAAGGACGGAGGGGGGACGCACCAGGCGAGCGCAGAGGCCATGACGTAGTTGTACTTGGACCACCACGCGAGCGCGCGCTTGCGGATGTAGACCATGAAGAACCACGCGAGGGGGACTTGGGGCCACACGTTCGAGAGGTTGTACGGAGCCCTGCACGAAGCCTTGCGTCAGCTATAGTAAAGCGCCACGCGAAGCGCAGGACCCACCAAGAGAGCGCCCCAGAGAAGAAGACGGGGAGGTGGAAGTAGCGCAGGGAGTGGAAGCGCTCCTTCAGGTAGTACACGGGGAAGGGGAGGACGAAGCCGATGAGGAAGCACCAGATCAGCGGGTTGTAGATCGCCCCGGCGCCGAACATGCGCGCGGGCCCGAGCGTACCCCAGAGCACGGACGCGGTGAAGAACGTGTTCTCGCCCGGGCACACGAATCGGTCCTTCTGGTGCGGGTCGCAGACGTTCTCGATGCCGGTCATCTGGAAGTTGAGGATCCCGAGCGAGACGAATGTGGAGGCGAAGGTCGCGACCATCTGGCACCAGAACGTAACGCGAGGCGGGATGTGGTGTAGTGCGCGAGCTTGAGGTCAGAGGAGAAGGCGAGCGCGTGCGAGGTCGTGACGTAGCCGTACGACTTGAAGTAGTTCATCGCCGTGGCGTTGCCGGGGAACCAGAGACCACCGAAGAATTCGGCAATGACGTTGAGCGTGACCTCGACATTGGTGACGGCGAGGATGATGCCAGCGGGGATCATGAAGATCAGTGCCAGGAAGATACCGTAGAGGACGACAGCAGGGCTCGTGTGGGTCGGGTAAGCACCAACACCGGCAGCACCGAGGGCGACGGAGAGCGCGAGGACGCTACGGAGAGTAAGTGTCTGTTGAGCGCGCCAAAACTACAGGCGACATACATCGCATAGTGCCATTCGGGGACCTCCTTGTATGAGGCCATGAGGCGGCCGTGTACGTCGTATTTAGCATCCTTGTCAAACTTCTTCCTCTTGATGAGGTCCTTGAAGCCAGCAACAATGGCATGGCGATGGTACAAGTACGCATGCGAGAGAGTGGCCGAGTAGATAGCGACTATGCGTACGGTAAGAAACAAGGAACCGAGGGCATGGTGCAGAAAAGAAACCTCACAGAAGAAGCCGTACAAAAGGATGTTCCCGGCGGTGAGGTACGCAGGTGAGTACGCTGCGTACTTCACGGGATCGAAGAGGGCGTCGGCGTTGACGGTGAGCGAGACGTTGTAGCGACCGGCGGTGTTGTCGAAGACTGCGTTCGAGTTGATAGGGAGATGGCCAGTGTACCAGACGTTCGACATCCAGATGGCGAGGATCTGGGCAAGATCAGCCAATGCATCGAGATACAGGCTGGTGTTACTCACGATCGGCAAAGTCAGGAGGGCGCCGAAGAAGATGTTCACAGTGGCGAAGTACGGGGTGATCAGCGGGGTGGTGCCAAGCGCCGTAAGCTGGTTGTAGTCGAAGGTCGGGATCGGGTTGAGTCCAAGACCGCCGACGCTCCCAGTGACAGCACCGAGGAGGACGTTCTTCGGCGCGATCCAAGTCATCCAGTTGAAGTAAGACAGGAAGGCCATAATGTAGCTGCAAGATCGTCAGTTATCGGTATAAATATGGATCCGGAATCGAGCTACGCACTTCGGGAACCAGAAGTACACAAACATGCCGCCGAAGACGTAGAGGAAGAAGCGCATACGCGAGATCTTCCAGCCGTTCGCCAAAACGTTAGCCTCGGTGTGGAATGCTTTCTGTGTGGCGGTAAGCCGCAGATCTCGTCGAAAGGGCATGCGTGCAACGTACGTTCAGTGCAATGATAGCAAGGTTCTTGGGCCAAATAGCATACACCGGGTACACGAGGAAACGCCGAGTCAGGCCAGCGATACCGTAACCGATGAAGTTCGTGGAGAGTGATGCTGTAGCGTGTGCACTGTTAGCCTCCATCTCCAAACGATGTCGGCGAAAGTCGCGTACTGAGAAGCTGGTAACCAAAGTTACTCGCCCAGCGCTGGTTGAAGAAGCGCGGGATGTACTGGACCCAGAGGATGTGCACCGTGTACGGGTTCTTGAAGCCGACGTTCGCCATGATCGTGATGACCATGTGCTCTTTCATGTTGAACGGACCCCTGGACGAACGAACGTAAGCAAGCGCGCCTTCCGAGCAGCGCCGCACTCACGGGTTGAGGGAGAGACGCTCGTTCGTGAACGGGATGGCGAAGCTCCAGTCCGGGAGAACCTTCTCGAAGAACTTGCCGGCGGGGTAGGCGAGCAGCTGCGCGACGTTGGAGTCGATGTAGATGTTCGGCTTGCGGATGGAGAAGAACTGGTTGATGAACGCGCCGATGCAGACGTAAACCATGCCGATGACGAACGCGCGGATGGTGAACGAAGGCATCGCCGGATCGTCCGTGCTCGAGACCACGGCGCGGACCTCGGAGTAGGGAGAGTTCTTTGCGAACACGAAGGATAAACGTCACGATGAAACGTGGAAGCGATGGGCGAGACGCACGATCATAACCAAGGCAGCTTCGACCTTCAACTCCTCGTACAGCTTGGCACGGTCAGTGGAGTCCGCACTCGCCGCATCTTCCGCAAAGTACTGTTCGATGAGGTCGATGGTGTGGGAGGGGAAGTTCTGCAAGCATTGCAAGCATCGTCGATCAGAGAAGGCGAAGAATGCAGTGGCAAGGGGCTACGTACGGGATCCTTGGAGTACGTCAGGTGGATGAACCGCAACGCCTCCTCAACGTCCTCATGCGACAAGGTGTCGGCGTGGGCCATCGCCTCCTCGATATCGGCCGCGAGAGCCTGGACCTCACGAGCGAGAACAGCCTAGACACGGTGCCAATGAGTACAGTGTACGAACGGCCGCACGAGGGTGACATACAACACCGACGGTGCCGACGTGCTTCTCGTCATCCAGGGAACCGAGGGACCCGTCGCCCGAGTGGTTCTTCTCGCCGACAGACATATTACAGTCTGGAGGAAGGGTAAGGTGCGCGGATTAGCTACGCTTCGTTTTTGGTTTTGCGCGCGCTGACGCGGCGTCGGGCCGGTGCCGGCTGTGCCGGCCACAGACAATAGATGATGACTAATCCTTTTTGTGTGACCCCACGGTCTCCCTTACTCCCGCGCCCATCCCTACGGCGCGCTGATGGCACGCGAACGCTGGGAGGCGAGCGAAAGAGGATGCGAAGGGGTCCCGGCACGGGGGGAGAAGGTGAGCGCATGAAAGGGAGAGGTGCAAGCGGAGAAGACGGGGAGGATGGCGGAACGGCTGAGGCGAGGCGGACAGTCGGATGTTGGGTGAGTAGCTACAATACATAGATGATGGCGCATGAGGCGTAGCAACGAAGTCCGAGAGGCTACAGAAGGGGCATGTCGGAGAGGAAATGTGGTACTAGGTAGAATAATCGAAACAAATACTGAGAGGAGGATGAGAGAGTGTACAGTAGACACCGCGCAACATCGCGTGGTCACAAGCTATGATTGCGATAAATAGGCAGGTGGTTTCTAGCATGGAGAAGGTACTGAGGGAGCCGGGATGTAAAGTGAGATGGAAGGGAGTGGGAACGGATCTGTAAGGCTAGACGCCTTATGACGGCGCGTGAAGATGAAGAGGGAGCGTAGTAAACGAAGAGGCGAGCGAGTCGCGAGAACGCGCGAGGCGCGATCAGCGATGAGTACGCGAGACGCGGTCGGCGATGAGTATGCGAGGCGCGGTCGGCGATGGGCACGCGAGGCGTGATCGGCGATGAGAGCGCTGAGCGCCTGTGGCGAAGGGCGATAGCCGGCGACGCCGGGAGCGGACGAGGTGTGGAGGAATAAGACTAGAACTGTGTTGATCGTTAATGAATGTCATACAGTAGTGTAGTATATATGCATGCACAATGTCAGGAGTCCGTAAGCATATCGTATGGAGAATGCGGAACTAAACAAGTGGCAAAGAACGTAGCGCGGGACGGATGCGGGACGTGTGTAACGTAGTATCGTAGTGTGTTGACAGGATCCAGCGGACAACAATCTAGATGCAGGGCATCGAGGAATACAGGAAGTGCTGAATCAAAGAATGGAACACGGGGAGGCGAGAGAGAAGAGCTTGTGTGTGTGGGAATGTGGGATGTCCGAGAACGTAGTGGGCTTGACTGTTAGCGGGGCTGTGGGCGCGCGCGCGCGCGAGGCGGCGTGGTTGCGGGGATGTCGGTCAGCGCCCATGTCGATGCGCGTTGCGCGGGGTATCTAAGTGGTGCGGGTTACGGTGATGGAGCGTTTGGTGCGTCGCCCGGACCGTTGGCAGTGTGGTTTGGTACGATGTGCGCTATGCGCATCAGCGCACCAGCGTGAGGTCGTGTGAGAGTGTGCTCGGTACGACTGCGGTTAATGCGAGGTAGTTCCAGCAGGTGCAGCAAGCATCACCGGGCCGTGTTCTTTGCACGTGCTCCCACGGAGTCGAAGGGCCGTGTCCTGGGCGCGCACAACCTCACGCTGCACGCCCTCGCGCTGCATGCATGCTCGGTCCCGTACGATACAATATCGGAGAGTCTGAGATACCACTTGTATACAGTTACAACCCTAGAATCAATCATCGTCGGAGCCATTCTCTTCTACAGCATTCTCCCTACTGGACTCCTCGGTCTCGGTCTCGTCCAGTGTTATCTTCTCCTGCACCTCCGGCTCCTTGTCACCACCCCCTTCCGCAATATTGTCATTGTCGACAGGCTCCACCCAATACTCGTCAGCAAATCGATCCACCTGCTTACCCTTACCCTTGCGAGCACGAGGAGCAGGGGTATTCGGGGATAACAAATGCGAGGACGGTAGAAGGTTGAGACCCAGAGCATCACAGAGCCTGTTGCACTCATGCTGCTCAAGAAACGCGTCCATACCGTCGACGCCGCAGTCACCGATACCGGTATCACTATTAAGATCATTTTAGGGTAAATATTCATACTACTTGAGAGCGACACACGTACCGTTCCGGAGTATGTGTCATGGGATCGAATAAGATCTGACCGGAGGTGGCTTTCGGAGTTAGGGCCTGCTCATTGAAAAGTCCGTGAACCGCTATGAAGTATTTGATCAGCAATTATGAAACTCAAGGCAAGGAGGAGGCGTACACTGCAGGTCAGCGATGACAACATTACCATTGCTATACTCGTACGTGAAGTGAGTAAACGCTTCCATGGTCATTGAGGATAGGCTCTCGTTATTGCGGTGCACAAGGGTGCCACTCCAACGCTTCGGTTCCCCACCAGGCCTGATTGGCTCAAGAAGCCACAGAAGTCGGGGCTTGGGTTCATCAGCCCATTTCTCGGAAGTAACCCCTGAGGCGACAGAGGGACTACCATCCACAATGATCTCTTCGGCAAGCAGGCAGCCAGAGAACGCGAATCCTGTTTCAAGTGAGTTCAGATATTCTTTCTCAAAGAGTTGAAAGCGCATGGCAAAAACTTACCGAAATCAACATCCACTCCATTTGAATCTGCGGTCTCATAGAAGTTCTTCAAGAAGAACTGCCCAAGCACCAATCTGCGAGCTTCCAACTCAAGGTAGCTGCTGTGCTCTTCAAGCGACACCGTTTTCTGATCTGGGCCGAAGTTGAAGAAGCGCTTGGCGACGTATCGGACAATGATGTTAGCCTCGGAGAGGGAAAGCTGAAAGATGTTAGTCAATGCGCCACACAAGGTGATTAATAACTCACTGTATACACCCTCTTGGTCTTTCCAGACGCAGAGTACTGGGTAGCAATGCTCCCAGTCGTAGGGATGTCATCCCACGTGATGGAGATGCCGCCAGTGCCGGTCTCAGAATGCAGTCTACCCAAGTAGAATAGAACATCTTCGGATCGAGTCCCAGATGTGGTTTGTAGAGCAGATAGACTAGAAGCTGCAGATTGCGGCATAGTCCGGCCAAATGCGAGGCTGGAGGAGAACTCTGATTGCATCCTGGGACCTAAATGGCTTGACTCAGTTGCTATTATGGCGAAGTTCTCAAGTCAAATACTCGTACCTTTAGAGCGCTTACTAGAGGTACGGGTACCTGAAAATTCAGAGACACCTTCAGTAGACTCGTGAGCGCGTTTGCGACCACCCTTCTTTGTACTGAGCCCATCCGGTGCAGTGGATCCTGTGCGCTTTTCGAACTATTGTAACAGGAAAGAAATCAGATTTAGATATTAGTTCAGAGATTAAATCACATACCGCTGCAATGTCAATGTAAGCCTCAAGATCGAGTGTGTTGCCTCTACCACTCTTGCGTGACGATGAGCCACTTGGGAAAAAGAGCTCGCGGTGAGGGGAGATGAAATGAGCGTCAAAGAACTCTCCAACTGAAAGCGCCTCTGTAGCCCTGGTCAGCGGGTTACGATTATGGGGAAAGCGTATGGACGCGTCTTGACTTCATATAAAACTGTGTGAGCAGATGGTAAACTTGTAAATGTAACATGACATACGTTGCAAGTCTATGGGAGGCAGTGTTGGCCCATTTTGCCTGGTTCCAACGCTCAAGAGCGTCTGATAGAATTTCTAAAAGTGTGTTACTTAGCACGTACAATCAAGTAGGGCTAAGATGGACACTCACCATGCATTAGAGTGTTATGCGGCCAGTTCTGAGACACAGGAGCCAGTGTAGAAGTCATCATCCTCCCAGCAGCACCAGGGTGAAAGGTGGGTTTCAGAGTGACGAAAATGCGACGGGTAGTATCAGAATAATGGGCCGAACTCGTGGAGACAAACTGGGCAGGTTGAGAAGGCTTTGGAATATTCCTGGGACGATACGGGAGAGGCGCGAGAGACGTGCGAGCACCGGAGACATCGGGGGGAAGAGGTGGAGGCATTTGGGAGGTCATAGGTGAAGACGTATTTGCCTGAGATGCAGAGCGATAGAATTGCACGCTGTGCGGCTTCTCCTGCTCACGAAGTGTGATGCTGACAGCCTTGGAGGCTAGAGGCGTGAGATTGGATGACGCTAATGTGATATATCATATCATTAGGCCGGAGAAGATAGAGCAAACTTGTACTTACTATTCCTGGAACACAGACCACAAATCGGAGCATCGAGGTACCTATAGAGGCGTCCGCACTGCTCGCACTGAGGGAATGACTACTGGTGGTTAGCATGGGAGCCCAAAATCAGTTAAACGTGCTCACAAATGCCTCTGGTGTCTCTGTATCACCCGACAACTGGTGCTGCTGCTTGCGCGCACACAGAGTGCACAATCCGGGAGTGGTCTTCTGGAGGAAGATACGTCCGCATCCCTCATCACCATCACATAGCGATGGGTCTAAACCTGACATGAAAAAGATGAGAAAATGTTGGGAGGAGTGGGGAGACTGAACCGAGATGATGAAGCAAAACGGACACTTGAGCACCCCTTTTATACCCGTTGATGCAGCAGTGCGCGTCTCTCAGACTTTGTCAACACAGTGGCCGCTCTACCACAGCTCCGACAAGTTGGGCAATACGAGGCCACAGTAATTCAATCCCATAGTATCATGACCAATGGTTTCCACAGAGCATTAGTGGCCAGTATTGACCACACAATTTATGTGGCCAGAACAAACCTTTCCAGTTCTGCCGCCGAGATACCCGAGTGCCACCCCTCTGGTGATGTGATACCAACTCTAGGGATGAGTTCACAGGGTTGAAGGAGAGAGAGAGAGAGCCCACATAGATAGACCAAAGTAGTGTACAAGGCTAAATACATGTAGCACGCGCATCACGATCGGGAGGCTCTCCATCCGTGGCAGGCCCTTCCACTCCGTTGCCTGCATCCTGGTCCCGCCCGGACCGAGACTGCATATGCAGTCACGTGTCATATGACGCACTACTCGTGGCACAGGCGTCTCTGCGTCGCCTCAGGCGATTTCCCAGGGTGACCGCGTCATCCCTGGGTTGCTCTTGTGACTCTCCTCCAACTCGTCTCCACATGTTCCACATTCAAAGCCCACGTTCCCTTTCGAGCCGTGTTATTCTGCAAGTCCTCTCGCAACTCTGCTGCGGGTGGCGATTGGAGGCGCAGAGCTTCACACGCGTGTTCGAAGGGTCCTTTCATGCTGGCGTACACTTCTCCCGCTTGTTCTCAGTGTTGTGTGAGGTCGATGGGAAGGAAGGCTGTCAGAAACGTTAGTTTCAGGTATGTGTCTGGCTTACCCATTACTGTCCCCTTTGTGTGTCTCCGCTTCCGGTGTCCTGATCGGCGCGTGCTGACCCGACGAACCGCCTGCACTGCAGCTCACATTCCTCCGCCTCGTCAAGTCAGCTCAGCCCATTTCCGGTTCCCCACCTCTGACCGCTCGAGACGGTCCGTGTTCTGCTGTCAAGTTGCCGTGACTAGTACGTCACGCCCCTCCGTGCTCGGACGGCACGCAGGAGCGCTGATTGTCTGCCCTTGCCCGGCTGATGTTGTGCTTTCCAGTTTCGACTCCAGAGATGATCCGCCTCGAGAGCGTGACCGGCTTCGGGGTGGGTGCCGTCCTACTGTTCCCCCAGGCTCAATCTGGGGGTCTCCAGGACGCCGCTAGCCTGCCGAGCCGCAGTTCGTGTTCACGCTTGGGCGCTCGACCTCGGCCATGCGTGCCGCTTGGTCCCAGGGTGACGACTCCGCAAGGGCCGGCAGCGTGACCACCCAAGCATGCGCTCGCCCAGGAATGAAGGTGCGTCAGCTTCTTCTGACTGTGGGGGACGTGCAACTAATCAATGTACACGATCGTCATTGCCATTCCCTTCTTCCTTGCAGACAAATTCCGCGGTTTACAGTCTGGGACATCGGACTGCGCCCTAACGACCTCCCCCCCTTCCCCGCTTCCCGCATATAGCATGGCGAAAACCGCGTCAGCATTGGTCACGCACCGGGTCTCGTCTCGATCTGGGACACGTTGCACGGCGGGTCTTCCTCAGACCCTTCTCCCACCGCGTCTCCACCCGCGGGAGCGGAGGTCATCGCGGGCTCGATCAAGGTTGCCTGGCCACCCACCCCTTCGTCCGCGACATCCCGCATCCCACTGCCCCGACGTTCCCTGCGCTTTCTCCAGCGCTTGCGCTCTCGTTATCACCATCCAGGTACGCCGCGGTCCCGGTCACACACATCACGCTCGCGCACCAGCCCTCCGTATCCCTCTCGCTCTCCTCTGCCCGTGTGACCATCCACGTCTTGTCTTCACCCATCTCGCCCCTTCCCGCCCCTCCCATCATATAAGATAAATCGCGAGGAGACCGGTACCCCGCAAGAAGCATGACCACACGTGTGCGCGCATGCCCCGAGCGCAATGCCCCCTCTTCCTTCCCGCGCGCACACCCCACGCCGCGGAGCGCACGGAGCATGGCGGGTTGCGGTTGAAACGAACGCACGCACGCAGGTGCTGAACATGGTCACTGATCTGCGTACGTACCCTCCGGTAGCTCATTTCCGACGCCTTGGGACTCGAACTTGCAGTGGGTGCACATGCAGGACAACCTGATTTTCCTCGGGCCGCACCTCGCAATCAACAAACGTGAGTCTCGTCCTTACGGCCGTCTTGGCGTATGTGCTGACGCGATGCAGCTTAGTCAAGGGTCAACCACGCAGCTTCGGCGCCCGATGAGCACATGAGAGTTACCGTACCCCTGCGCAGCTGACAGAGCGAGGGCATAGGTGTGTGCATTCTCAGGGGGACCTCTGCTGTCGGCGCCTGTACCTCCTCCCTCTCCGAATTTGACTCAGGTGACTGGTGTCGAGTTCGTGGAAGGCACAACGGACCCGTGCAACATCGCTTTCGACGGTTGTACCATCGGGACCACGCCTCAGGACGACGTTGTGTGGTGCGCGTGCAGCAGGACTCGCGTGCGCGGCGGCGGCGGCGCTAGGGATCGTCACGGGTATGCAAAACCCGCGCGGGTCACGGGTGGGGGTCGCGCGGGTGAGGGTACGGGTAGTGGTCAGAGCACCCGCGGCACACCCGCGGGTAACCGCGGCCGGCCCGCGGGACCCGTGTCTACCCGCACATGCCACGGCCGTGCAAGCGCCTTATGGGAGACGCATCCAACCTCCTCGCGTCGCCTCCGCTCGCGCGATGCGCTGCCCTCCGCCTCCTCCACCGTGTCCCTGCCCTCCGCCTCATCCCGTGGATTTGCCTCGTGTCGCCCACCACCACCTCCGCGTCGTCCCCAGGGCCCAGCGACACGTGTCTCCCGCTCCTCCCGTCTCGCCTGCGGCCCACAGCCCGCCTCGTCCGTCGTCCGTCCCCGCGGCATCATTGCGCGCGCGCGCGCAGCCGTTCTATCGGGTCGCGGTGAGCTCCCGCGACCCCAATTTCTGGTGGGTTTTCCAGGTTTCCTTACCCCTCTGCTCCTCTCTCTGCTCCTCGCGTCCCCCGTGCCGGCAGCGCCCCCTCTTGCCTTGGCCTCGCCCGCGTCGCCCAGGCGCCTTCCACCCGTCCGCGCGACGCCCCTCAAGGCCTCACGGCTGCTCCGCGCCCTACGTCTCCACTCCCTCCCTCCCTCCTCACACTCGAGATGACATGTCGTTCACAGCGGCACAAGCAACCCCGGCTGGCACCCTCCTGCCTCCACCTGGCCCTTAACCTCCGTATCCATGTCGCACACCTCGACCTCTGCCCCCTCCGCCTCCGCATTGCCCGCCTCCACCCACGTCGCGGCCTTGTCGCCCACCTCCGCCTCGTCCACTTTCGCGCGCGTCGCCCACCTCCTCACCGCCCATCGCCTCGCCCGCGCTGCGCTCCTCCGCGTCGACACCTAGTCCGCCCAGACGTCCTCGCCTCGGAGATGAGGATATCGCGGCCGCCGTGAGTTACGGCGACCTCCTTCGAGTTCAGTGAGGACGTACGCCCACCTGCCTCACCCCGCTCCACTCTCCTCCACATCCAGCTCATCCGTGCGGGGACGTCCACGTCGCCCGCCTCCGCCTCCGCAGCCCTTCTCCTTCTCCGCGTCCTCCGCCTCCGCCTCGTCTCGACCCTCCGCGCCGTCCTCCTCTGCATCGGCCTCCCCCGCCTCTGACTCACCTACCTCTGCATCGCCCACATCCACGACGCCCACCACCTCCTTATCCGCCTCTCCACACATCACCCGCCTCTCCATCACCCGCCTCCACCTGCGCTGCCCTCCTCCTCATCCTCCGCGTCCTCCTCCTCCTCCGCGTCCTCCGCGTCCTCCGCGTCCGCCTCGCCCACCTCCACGTGTGTCGCCCATGCGCCGGCCGCTCTCCCAGGCCCTCCGCTCGCCCACGCCCGGCACACCGCCCTCCACGTCCGCGTCCGCGTCGGGCGCGAGCCCACTCGTCGCGTCCCGGCGCGCGTCGGGCCACGGCCTCCCGCTGTCCGCGTCGACGTCCATGCTCGGGCTCGGGCTCCACTCTAGTTCTCCGCACCCACCTTGGCCTGCTCCTCGGACACCCTCGCCACATCTGCGTCCCATCATGTCCCTCGGCCCAGACAGCCCTTCCCGCACGTCCGGCACGTCCCTCTACAGCACGCACTCGACGCTCGCCCCCGGCTCCGCCCCGCAGACCCCCATCATGCCATGCGCAGCGGAGATCCGCACACCGCCTCACCCCATCCGCTCGCCTCGCCCGCCTCCGTTCAGGTCGCCCTCCGTCTCGCCCGCCTCGTCCCGGCCCTCCGCCTCGTCTCCCCCGCGCTCCTCACCTCCCTGCGCGCGCCCGTCGCCCTCGTCCATGCCGCCCTCCACCTCGTCCGCCTCCACTTTGTCATCCTCCACATTGCCCTCCTTCGCGTCCACGCCGCCCTCGACCACCCGAGCCCGACGGTGTTCCCGCGTACCCCCGTAAGCACTCCTTCCGTTCCCTTTATTGCGCCCCCTCCTCCTCTCGCTCAAATGCCCCGTGCGAGCACTCACGATGCAGACCCCTCTCTGAGGCGCGCGCTCAACCTCCGCGCGTCGACCTCCCTCACCACCCTCGTCCGCGCGTGCGCCATCGACTACGCTGCCGACGCGGGCTGCGCCATGAGGCGAACCGCGCGGCGCGCGCACTCCTCACGCGCGACCTCCTCACGGCAACGCCAAGTGGCTGGACGACACGCCTGTGTCTTAAGCATAACATGTCCAATCCCCCGCGCTCCCACACTCAGCTCTTCTGCGCTCGATGCACCCTGTACGTTCGCGCTCAACGGTCCTCGGCCGTACTTAGATACACCTGTAGACTATACTAATAATTACTATTTATAATCTTTGCATGATGCTAGTACAGTACCCGCGGGTGACCCGTGGAGGGTCCGTACCCGAGTAGACCCTCGGGCTGAACCAGCGGACCCGCGTGTACCCTTACCCGCGCTACACGGGTCACGGTATCTGCGGGTGAGGGTACGGGTAGCCCTCGGGCGACCCGAGGGTTACCCGTGGTGATCCCCACTGCGCGCAGTGCGGGGACGTTACCATCGACGACTCCCTGTGTGCGCACCACGCCGATGACTCGGTGATGGGAGCGGGAGTGGCGGAGAACCTTTATGTGGCGGGCGAGTGCGTGGGCTGGCGCAAGGACACATAAGGGCTGTTCACACCGGGGATGGAGACAGCGGACATTCTCGAGTTCAGCTTGACCCAGGCCACGACGGACATCGAGCCTTGTTAGACGGTTGTGAGCGCACCTTTCTCAAGGTCGCCATGTACACCCGGAACAACCCCAACGGCCGCACTCTGACACTCATTGACCACAACAGCGACTTAAAGATCTGGGAGTTGGGAGCTCCAAGCGATCGTCCTCTACCTCGCAAGTCCGGCAAGGAGGGCAAGCTGTCGCTTGCGCAAGACGATGAGCGTGTTCTCTACGTGCTCGGCCAGCGGCTCTTATTCTAGGTATTCATCCAAGGATGCGTCGATCAGCCTGTACGCACGCCACACCTCGTTTGTCTGGCGATGTTCCACTGTGTGCAGCCTGATTCCAGCACCTGCACTCGGAGACGCTCCCCTCCACGATCACGCACTGCGCGAACGGGGTCATCTGGGTGTCCGGCGTGTTCGAGAGCGTGCTGCCGAAGCAGGAGTGGCCGCGAGGCGATCAGTGCGTGGTTGTGGACATCTTGTTCACATGGGCCCGTTTTGCATGGTATGCTCCCGGGCGTCGAGGGGCTGTACGTGCCGACAAATTTCCTGGTGCTCTAGGTGTTAAAGTCGCTTTTGAGCTGTTTGGGACGTCTCAGAGCTGACACATCTTTTGCAAATGTCACCAGAAGTTATTTGTGCACGACTCCAGTGGACCATATGAACAGGACCAGGAAGCGTGTCTTTTGGAACGCGTGCGACATCGTCTTGGGCACCACAAAGTGCGTCACCGTACCCGGAAAGAGCAGGATGCTGAGGTACTGGAGTATGCACTGTTAGCGACGATTAAAACCAGATCCTACCAGGGGGTAGGTAGAGTCAATAGATGCACGCGAGATGATTGTGGCAGTGTTTGCTCGACACCTCGCGGGCCCCACCCACCACGTTCACGAACAGAAGCATGAGCGGCGTGTAGAGGACGACCCGCAGCACGCTGTTGATGACAACGAGGATCTGCGCACAGTACTCGCTGTTGCCCCGTGTGAGCATATTCCACATGGCGATCACTGTCATGCTGCACCACGCGAGGCCGACCACGATCACGCCCGTGTGGTATGCCGGGCAGCGGCGGGAGGTCAGGGAGCGCACCCCACGCGAGCGCGAGTTCGGAGTGAGAGCGAGAGAGCAGTGCGCACCATCGGGAGCAGCACGGGTAGGGACGTGTACTGGCACAGCAGTGGGCCACCTCCATGAGCTCGCGAGTCTCCATGGGTACCCTAAAAGCCACCAAGCGGGTGTGCACTGGCAGGTTGGGAGAACATCACCCGCACCTGTGGTGATCCCTATTCTTCACACGACGTTGAATGTCCCGTGCCAGAGGAGGTGCCAATACAGGTGGGTGGTTTGGTATAATGTGCGTCACACGGCATGCACATCACTGTTGCACTATTGAACGGGAGGATGGGCGGCAGCACATGGGTGGCAGGTCAGTGAAAGTGCATTCTGAGGAACAACATGTGCACATAGTACGACTTTCACACGGGAGAATGCGCGTGTTGGGACTCGGGGATACAATAAATGTGCGAGATATCTTACTCAAACCCTACATGATCATCGTACATACGTTCTAGGCGTGCAGCCATTCTTCCAAACACCTCCCATCCATTAAGCACCGTAAGAGGCGGCTCTCCAATCTCGCTATACACCTCCCAGGCTGCGACATCAAACTCATCATCGACAAACCGAAGTGCATCATGGCGAGACTGTGGGAGGCATGCCCGGAGAGCCTGAATCACGGACATATCTGTGACGCTCACACGATGGTCCTCGAGTCCGTACTTCGTAGGTGTTGCAATAACGTCATTGGGAGTGCATCCCGATGGCCCAAGCTTTCCCTTCTGCTTCCGAATGCGGTGACGGTTCCACCCTTCACGGAACTCGTTCATTACCTTTTGAACAACCTTCGACCACAGCCACTGAAACAAGTTGCTAGGACAGAGTCAGCAGAGATTTTGAGACAGTAGTGTAAACTCACGTATGTACCGGATGACCATGAAGAAACAAACCATTTCCTCTACCTTGTAATATGACTGTCTTCACGTTGTCCCCATCTGCTTTGAGCCACCGAGACCACATGTTCTCAATGGGGATGTTACGAGTGCTAGGGAGTTGCTGGAACGGGATCTCCCGCAACTCTGGTGAAAACGTCTCCCTGAATGAAATGAGACCAACACAGATTACATACATAGATCACCAACTCACCGCAATGCCACATGAACACTTCTAAGCAAACCCGTCTCGCTACCACCATCAGCTGTGAGTTGCCGAGGGAAGTCTAATTTTTGATCAGAACAGTTCGTGCCATCAACATGGACAGGACTCACGCCCAAGCTTCTCTACAAGGTCGAGATAGAGGTGTGCCACGGCGACGTTGTAACGAGCATTGGGTACAACGACAGCCTGCATGAAGGGGCCATTTGTCTCACGCATACCGTATATCTCCAGTCCGACACCACCCATAGCCAGCGCGAGGGCTGATAACTTCTCGTGGCCGTCCACATGAAGCTGGGCCATGAATCCAGGAGAGTCTAACTTTCCACGCTTAATCTTCTTCTGACCACCCGGAGCGCGCATGTGAAAACCGACAGGATCGATCTCATGCATGATATCGCGTACAGTATCCCTGGCAAATTGTTCAGCGAAGTAAAAATAAACAGAAGTTAGAAACTCACCGAGGTATAATAATTCCTGTTTGCGCGATCCGGTGTCGAATCTCAACCGGTCCGTTGCGACGATGAACATCGGTGGCAACAAATTCCTGCACATGCGCGACAGCGTCAGCACGTGGAATGGGTTTGCGTGCAGATGGGATATCGAAAGCTTTCAGGTGCTTCTTTAGTGTCGCTACACTGAGACGTCGGATTATTGAACCATCACGCAAATGCTTATATAAGAGGGAGCATACCTGATATGATATTTCAGGTCCTCAGCAAGACGCTCCACTTGTCGAGGCTGCGGCAATAGTTCTTTCGAATAGCCGCGTAGGGCCTTCTCCAGTTCCTCGTCTGGAGGTCCTGTGGTGATTCTGCGCATAAATCGAAATCGACACTATAGATATCTGTGCACTTACGTTTGCCATTGTAATACTGATTCTTCCCAGTTGGATTGGGCATGGTTGGGATGTGGGAGGAAGACCAAAAGGAGAGTGAGTGGAAGACGAGGAGAATTCTAGGAGCCAGTGCAACTGACTTTTATGGTTGCCCGTTTCCAAGACTCTTTGTATTCACCAACCACACACAGTTTGAAAGCATGTTGTAGTCAAGAACCACAAGTGTTCAGAGACAATGACACACTCGAGGTCCGGGCTTGTGCTCGGGACGAGTGTCGTGGACGTTGCACCGTCCTGGCCACATCCAGGGGCATGTTGACGGGTGCGAGGGGCTCAAGATGATGGCACGTGCACGCGAGTGGGCGAAAGATCCACTGTGGAACAAGGAAGGGGGTTCTTACTACTTAGACTGCAGTTGAGGAAGATGTGACATGCGGGGGGAGGAGGCGGCAAGCAGTGCGCGAGATATTGCTCAGCATAATCACATGTAGTATTGACACCGCGCGGCCGCGGCTGCGGCGCGCGAGGCGACCCAACTCCAACCACACACACACCAGCCCGCGCGCCGCACCAACTGCTCCGTCACCGAAACACCCGCGCATGGCCACTGATAAGACCCCGCGCAACGCGCATCAACGCGCGCACTGGTCTACATCGCCGCCACCACGCCGCTGCTCGCGCGCGCAAGCCCACAGACTGATAGCCTCTCCGACAGCCCAGCCCACCCCCCTTCCTCAGACATATCACATTTCCCCCCACACCATATCCCTTCTCCTTCACCTCCTCGCATCCCATGATCCCCTTTAGAACGTCCTATATCCCTCGATGACCCGCATCTCCCGCTCCGCTTCGCCCCGCCTCCAGCTTGGGTCTCGGTTTACAACTTTGTCCTGCACCCAGCTCAACTCAGCCTCTGTTGATACGACCTGTGCACCCTTATGTATGTATTCTCGCCTGCGTGCTACTCGTCCCAGTTCGCCGCCAAAGTCCACCGCAGCTGCACCTCAATCCTCCGAGCGCCTTCCGCCACGGTCCACCGCCGCTATCCCGCCGCCTCCCACATCCTCTCTGCTCACCCTTCTCTCTCTCTTTCTCGCGAGATCGCCGTCTCCTCTTGCGCCGTGCCGACTCCCCGCGATACATATCGGGAGGAAGAAATTGCACGTCGTCAGCAGCCTACCGTGGGGCGAGACAACGGAAGCCGGAACAATACGGCCCGGGCGAGTGGGCCAAGCGCGCGGGCAGAAAACCAAAAACGAAGCGTAGCTAATCCGCGCACTATAGAAGGGGGAAAGGGGGCGAGGGCGGAGTGAGAGGACCGGGGGACCTGGAGAGCTCCGATTGCAGACCACGAACCTTTATGCGGGCCTGCAAAGCCGGACCATCGCAATAAGGTTCAGTCGGCTGGGCCCCTTGGATGTCGGATGGGGGGTGGCAGGGAAGCAGGGCCAGGAGCAGCCCGCGTGTTTGCCCGGTCTCGGTTGTACGCCATTACATCGTCCACATCGCGATGATGCGACGAGGGCCAGGAACTGCGCCAGGAAAGGCGCAAGATGTGCCCAGCCAGATATCACCCTCCGCTTGGAGCGAGTAGATACTGGAGGTCCATAAGCCTACTTGTGGCACTGAGCTCCGCCGGCTTTAGCTAGGAGGTCGGGTACGGTCAGGAACATTGATGGTCAGGATGTGTGTTGATAAGAATGTGAGCGAGCGGAGCATGAGCGCGAGGCCAAGAAACCTACGATATGCCGATTCTTCGCCTGGCTGTGCTGGGATTGCTTTTGGTTCTGCTCGCCAGCAGGGACAAGCCTTGGCAACGGAAGGTGTCGCGTGCTCTGAACCGCCAAAATGATAGCGTTGGGCGCCTACCTGCCTCCGTCCGCAGTCAGGCTTCTCCCGTTCTATCCGGTTTTCGGCCTGAGAATGCGATGTGCATGGACAAGAGCTGGGTCTGGTGGGTGCACACGGAGGAGGAAGATGACCTGGCGGAGTGTCGAACTCCTGCACCTTGCGAGCCCGGCGGACGATCAAGCGGGCTCGTTGTGAGAGCGCAGCGTCCACGCATCAGTGAAGAATCGCCCTGGTGCACTCCACTGTACTCGCACGACCTCCGGCTTGACCGAACGATTGATCAAGCCTAGGGGGTTCCTATGAGCGAGTGGAATCAGCGTCGTGTGCCGCGAAAAAAAAGTGCGATGCTCACCTCCTCGAGACTGCCCGCACGCGGTTTCGTTTCGCACACAGCCAAGCGCGCACTAACGTGAGCGCATCCAATCTGAGCAGAACACCGGCGCGAGTCCGCGGGACTGCCGTCCAGCAGGAACGCCACGAACGGCGCGGCCATATGTGCACACTGCACAGGTGTCCGATAACGTCGTTCCCGAGCTTGGCCCGGGGGGCATCACGCAGGCTCGCTCCGCCCAGAGCTCTTGGCCCCGGAGAGTGGTGGGAGTGCGCGTGCCTTTGCCATACACTCCTCCAGTGCGCTCGCGCCTCTCACCAATCTCTCGAGCCCTCACGGCCTCATGCGGGCATGTGGGTTATCCCCGGCGGCCGGGACGCGCATCTGTGGTCTGCATGAGACATGAGAAGGTGAGGCTTGGCGGTGGAGAAGACGGACCCACCTGCTTATCGCGACGCATTCAGCAGGGCCGCTTTCGCGACGACGACTTGGGTATCGAGACCCACCACAATAGAGCAGCATCGCTCCTGAAAGCAGCACCGGTACGAAAGAGGGAAGGGGTAGTTGAACAGGCCAGAGTTTCTGCGAGGAGCGTGGCTACGGCGCGTTATCAACACCGCTCACAGGGCAGACGAGATATGACGTCGACACCATCGACCAGATTTCGTGATGAAACCGAGCAGGGATACAGCAGAGGAAGTTCCAGGGTTGATCGTGTAAGTAGGGGGCGAGAGACAAGATGTGGAAGCTCGGAGCGAAGTTTTCAGTTGGTGGTTCGACCTTGCGAGTCATTCCGGCTGGGCTCGCTTTTCGCTCGGCACCGAACCGCCGGCATCCCGCGTGCGGACTAAGCAACGCGGTCGGGATGACGTTCTACCTTCAAACATCAATCGAGCAAGAGAGCGAGCAAAAGCGTCACATTCAAGGCAACAGCGGTCTGATATGGTACAAGGTAGAACGGACAAGAGGTCGAGTCGGTCAACGTATTCCACGTTCAACATCACTAATCCTCCTCTTCACTGTCATCAGCCTCCTCCAGCCACTGTGGACGACATGTCAGGAAATGTCGAAGACGCTCCGAGGTAAGACATACCTTCAAAAACGGCTCGCTAGCCTTGCGAACCTTCTTGCTTATCTCGCGGTCGACATACTTCTTGCTGACATGAGTGCCCCACTGGGTGATCACCTCCTCCTCCAAGATGTCGGTTTGGTAGAATGCCATCAGGATCTTAGGGATAGCAGGGGTCAAGTCGGGATGCAGGACACCGACGAGTCGCTCGAGACCACCCAAGAGCGACTTCTGGTGCTTCTCCGAAGTCACCATCTGCAAGCGCATGTCAAAAAATGCATGACCGACAATAGACGACCACATACCTTCGCGAAGAGAGGCGCGTACTTCGGGATCTCCGTCAAAACGTTCTCCGTGAAGAGCGTCTGAGCGATGATGGTCATCGTGTTGTGCTTCTTCGCGATCCCAAATTCCTCCGCCTTCTTGTAGATCTCCACCGCCGACTCTTCGCGGTTCTCCTCGATCCAGTGGCCGAGGTGTGCGAACGGGCTGTCGCCGTCCTCGTCGCTGTCGTCATCGCCCCCAGCAGGGGCAAGCGAGACGCTCGCCATCGACGCCTCCACCGCCTTCATGCGCGCCTTGACCGCCTCGGGCGACGTGTCCGCCGACCAGTCCTCCTTCGCGATCGCTGCGTCCGCGGTGAGCTCCGCGGCCTCAGCCTTGATGCGCAGGGTGAGCTCGTCGTCGCTGTCTCCCCCGGCGTCCTCATCGGCGTCGCCGTTGGGGGTCGTCGCGCCGTCGGCGGTCGCCTTCTTCACCTTGCTCTTCTTCGGGTTCTTCGGCGGGTTCTTGATGATGAACGTCGTGAGCTTGTGGCGCATGTCGACCCCGGTGCGCTCGCCGCACGCCTTGCAGTCCCGGAGGATCTCCTCCGTCTTGGTGATCGTCAGGTCCGTCTCCGGGTTGTCGCACGCCTTGCAGAGGACGAACTTGTCGATGAAGACGTCGAGGAGCTCGCGCAGCTTCGGCGCGTCGTGCGCGCCGTTGACGATGTACCGGTCGTTCTTCTCGTCGAACGACGTCTGCGCGCCGAGCTCGCAGCCGAAGAACTTGGTCGGGTACGTCGGCGGGCGGCTGAGCGAGCGTGCCACGTCGGACATGTTCGGGAGCACGGTCTTGATCCCGTTGCCCTTGCCCTCGATCTTCGTGAGAAGGACGGGCATCCTGAACACCGCACATGAGCCACGCATCTCAGGGGTGGGGGCGTGGTTGGGGGCTGAGGGGCGAGTACTCACTTGTAACGGTGGTGCGGGTCGTTACGGCCTTGCGACCAATGTTTACTACGCCTGCAGCCATGTTGGAGGAGCTTTACCGCTGCATGGGGAGGCGGGGGTGAGAGGTGGCGCGGGAGAGGAGGCCGCGAAAATACGCACAAAACTGAGTAGATGGGGATGGAGCTGTCTTTTGTGCGTCGGTATATTGATTGGAGGTCGAAGCATGAATCCTCTGCTTGCACAGAGAATCTCGAGAGGTGTGGAGGAGTAGGACGAAATGGTGGATGGAGGCGTGGGCGGGCGAGGAGAACGCAGTGGAGGAGGAGGATGAGAGCCTGCGCGCCCCCGCACGACCATTTTACGCCGGGCGCTCCCACGGCTTATGTCAGCACCGGGCTGAGTAAAAACGTGCGTGTGTCAAACGGCAGGCCCACCCTGCTTCTGGCCGCTCCGATTCGCAAGCACAACGCCGCGACCGCGAGGGGTCGGCGTCGGACGGGGCGTCACTCGGGCATCATGCAGTCATTCAAACAGGTAGTCGATCAGCTCTTTAGCTACCCGTACATTCACGCTGTTCCCAATCAGCTTGTACTTCGTCTTCGTCGAGATGTCCTCGGCCCAAACGAAATCGACCCTTGCGCCTGTCTCCTTGCGCGTGGGGAAGAAGCCGGAGAGACGGAGGAGCTCGGTGGGCGAGAAGTATCGCAGACGCAGGGGCTCGAGAAGCCGCACCGCATCGTCGTGGCCCTCCCGCTGCCGCTCGAGAAAGCGGTCAAATGTATGCGTGGTCTGTGACAGCGTTCAATCGGCGAAGATCAGAGTTCAGCAAGACACTCACGTCCAGCTCCTCGTTCTCCTGCAGGATTGATCCCGCTCTTTCGACCAGCTTGGTGTACCCTGTGGTGTGATGATCAGCGCTTGGCGCTGGCGAGCCAGGAGCATGACATACCTCGAGTGAAACAGCAGGTTCGTGTTGCGGACGGCAGAACGATGTCGAAGAGACGACCCCACTTTTCGAGCACCTTCTCAGGGATGGCATGCGGGTGTGGGCTCACGTGAATATCGTCATCGAGGTACTCCCGGAGGGCTGCGACGGGAGCATCCACGACTTCTCCTTCGCCATATGTGCGTGTATCAGTCCAGTCGTGTCCATGCCCGGGTATATGTCGCCAAACGCGTTCTTGCAGCTCGTCTACGTGGGGGAAGCGCATGGAGTCGCTTTTAGCAAGAAGATAATACCGAAGCCGCGAGTTTGGGATGCCAAACTGCAACGGCGTCAGAAGCAACTCGACCGTGGAATAGCCAAGATTCTTCAGCGTGGTGAGCAGGCGAATGCGGGTCGAGGATGTCTGGGTCAGAGTCAGCGATGGAACATGGGCAACGTACCGTCACCATCTTTCCCGCTGTACACGAGCAGCCTCTCAACACTGCGTCGACGACCGCGGGCCGTTCCAGTCCGCACATCAATCCTAGCACCCTCCCGGTACGCCCTCAGCCACATCCGCGTTGTCGACCGTGAACGCGGCCTAGAAGCGAACTCTCAGGACTCCTCTCGATGGAGTTTTCATGAGAGCAGGAATCGACATGGTAGCATGGCTACCTCGAGCGCATCGTTCGAACCCGAGAGGAAGCCACAGTGATGCTCACCTCAAAACCTGCCACGTTTTCCACGAGCATACAGCGTGGATGCACACGCATGCGGACCAGCTCTGGCAGCACATCCTCAACGAGACGGATGAAAGACTTGGCTCGTGGATCTTCTGCCCCTTTTGCGAGAGGGTTCAAGACAGTATAAGGCTGACAAGACGGGGAAAGCAGCCAAAGCTGTACGTCCAGCTCCGCAAGTTCCTTCGCGGTGAGCGACGAAATGTCGACCTATGTGGCACAGCGCGTGGGTGACAAGAAGGAGCGAGAACAACTCATTGAGCGACCTTTCTCACGATGTCCTTCTGACCATGATTCGCCGCATATACGCGGCAAGCAGCCTGGTCCCAATCGAATGCGCGCACCACCGAGCCTTTGACCTTCTTACTCTGCGCGAGCGCGAGGTGCAAGCCCCCTGCAAATCGACAGTCAGGATGCACCCGAGGCTCCGAGCTTATGTCGTCACTCACCGATGCCCGAATAAAACTCGAGTGCGCGGACCATCGTGGGACGACCGTTGACTGCTGTCGCGGCTCGCCGATGACCCTCGCGACAAAGTGCGCGCGCTCCGTTGCCAGTCAATCGACCGACGTTTTGGTCGCAGGGTCGCGTGCACAGCAAGCGGAGAAGGCCAAAGCGGCTGTCTGGGAGCTGAAAATGAGCTGATGGCTGGAGGCAGGAGTGAACAAGACAGGCAAAGCGCGCCGCACTCGCGGCGGGATGGCCTCGGTACTTGCCGCGACTTGTGCTGACATAAGCAGCCCGTTTCGAACAGCAAGTCTCAGAGTTCTTGTTGTGACCTGCCGCGATACCACCACCTCGCCCCCCCTTCTGTCCCCGCTTTCTCTCTTCTCCTTACCCGCTGCCCTTCACGACTCTCTGCTTTGGTTGCTCTCGAAGTGCCCGTCTCTCCGTGCTAGATCATCGGCCCCTTGACAAGGGTCTCGGCGCTTTTTCCCACCCTGCTTCGGCAACTTTCGCTTCATCATATCTGCTTAAAGCTACGCCATCGTAGCTCCCTGCTGGTCTTATGTTCTCCAAGGCCCTCGGTGCTGTAACACCCATGGTTGATAATGAGAGCGCTCTTCAGCTGGGAGATGGGGCTCAATGCGCAAGGTATGTGCTCATGTTCGCCGCCAACTATCGACAGCCAACCATCCACATCGACATACAGACCAGGCTTGTTGCCACCATTTGGTCTACCGCAAACCGCGCAGCTTCCTACACCACAAAGGTACGCTTGTTGTGATATTCCTGGTTACATTTTCGCCCGGCTTGTGGTTCGCGGATATTGGGTTGCACCTTGCCATGGCCCTTTCACGCTGTCCGACCAGACAAGAGAAGGCCCTTTCCCGTGGCATTCTTCTTGGGGGTACATCGCATGGCTCTTGAGGTAGAGCGTGCAGCGGAACGGTCATCTCGGGGTTGTTGCGATCGTATATCTGGCTTTACGCTACACAAACTCCAACAATGGCTACATCACCCCATGGGATACTGCCACCGGACGGACGGACGGACGCTTTTGAATCAGATCTAACCATCGTCTGAAGCAGTCCGAGCAATCCCGCGGCATATGTGCCCGAGTTCGACGGCCCTTACAGTTCTCCGGTCCATATCCTGTGAGTATCTTCCTTCAATGACTTCATCACAGCCCCTCATACATCTACACGAAGGCATCGAGACGCTCCCATACCTGCGAAAACCTCGATTTTCCCCCAGGAAGGCGTGCAAGCGTCGGCACCTTCGTTCATGACTCCAGAGTCGAGCCCCATATTCCCCCGCAAAACGATGCGACCGTCAACACCCGGTGCCGGTCGGTCTTCCATCCCTCATACCCCGGTGCGCCGTGCGCATGGCCATGATCCCTCCGGCGGTGAGGGATCGGCACTTGATCACGCCACAGCCATAGTCACAGATACCAGCGTGCCACTCTCCCTCGCACCGGCCCCGATCATCTCCACGCCGGTGGACACCCACTCGCGCGGCTTGACGCCCGCCTCTCGCCTCTCTTCCCCCTTTCAGGACACGCCTACTGGTCCGCGGACGGCGAGGTCTCGGTCTAACTCGCCCGTGCTGGCCAACCTGCCCATGGATGGTATCTTCACCTCCCCTCTCCCACCCACTCCCCTGCCACTTGCGACCCCAGTCCCTCAACGGGCCCTTGGTGGCGAGATTCAGCGCATACACCTACAACTGGCCGCCGGCCGCGCTGAACGGCTCCAGGAGACAGAGGTCAGGCGACCCGACTACCTCGTCCGCGAGAAACGACCTCGTTCCGAGGCCGAGATTCCCCCCCTCGACGAGCTCGACGCCGCGGACGCCACCTTGGGAGTCACCGACAGCCCCGTCAAAGGCCGTCGACTGCAGCTCTTCCAGGCCACGAGCGAAGAGACGTTTGAGCAAAGCCTCCTTGCCGGCGGATATCCGGGTTACGGCCAGTCCCCTGCTTACAAGAACGGTGAGCCACAAACTCCGGTGCCTAACGGAAAGGGGCGCGGCGCGCTCTCTCAACGCGCGTTGCATTGGCTCCACCAAGCGACTCCCGGACAGCCTGGACCGTCGACGGCCTCCCCTGTCGAATTGGCCGAACCCGAGGAGCCTGAGTGGGTACCGACGGAGAAGGATATGAGGAAACGACGGAGGCTGGACGCGTTCCGAGACAAGGAGAAGGAGGCGGGTCCGAAGCTGTACGCCACGGAGGTAGAGGGTCGTGGACGGGTGCTGTCGGACATGCCCCCAGAGGGCCTAGGTGCGCAACCAGATACCCCTGTGAAGCGTCGCGTGAATCGGCGGAAGCGCAGGCGGGGAGGGCGACGGGGCCAGTGTGCGGAACCGCAGGAAGACGAGGTGTTGCAGCCGAACTGGCCCGACGCTGTGTTCCCGTGGTGTATGCGGGCGCAGGAGCGCACGCACACCGAGAAGATGGAGGAGACGGAACGGCTGAAGTGGATAGAGCGTTTCCTCGACCGCGACAGCGAGAGCGACACCGGTGAAGACGACCAAGAGCTCCGGCCTCCGCTGCAGTCGCACGACAACGACCAGGTGGCCCACCGTCCCGGGCGCGGCAAGATGATCCCGCTGCGCTCCAACTCCAGCGCGACCCGAGCACCTGGGGCAGAGAACACCGTGGTCCCAAGCGATCCCGCCGACGCACGCGCCGCTCTACTCTCCAAGCGTTCAGTGCGCTCCCTCGCCATGCGCCGGCGCGCCACCTCCGAAGACGTCGAGGAAGTCAAATGTATCGGCTGCCGGCGCGGCGACGACGGCTCCGAGCTCGTGCAGTGCGACGAGTGCCAGACCTGGTACCACCTCCCTTGCATCGGCATCAAGAACGTCGCCGAGCTCGGGCGCGAGGAGGACCCGTGGTACTGCGACCGCTGCCTCGAGATCGTGCCCTCATCCCCGCTCGAGCCCACCTTCGTCCCCACTGACGAGCGCGCGCTCGACCCCGCCCGGCGCGACTCCCTCTTTCTCCAGACCTCCCCCGCACCCCACTGGACGTCGCACGCCCGCACGCCACAGACGCCCGTCCGCGGCAGCATCGACGGGCTCCCCGACGGCGCGACCCGCACGTTCTCCACGCGCTCCTCGTGGGGCGACTCGTCGCGCGCGGGCCCGTCGACGCCCGGGTCGTCCGCGCGCACCGTGCGCGTGTACACGACCCCGAACCCGTTCGCGCACGACGGCTTCGACCCCGAGACGCCGTTCGACCCGACGACGACGCCGTCGCGCGGGATCCAGTTCAGCGGCGGGCCCCCGCCGACGCTGGGGCTGTCCACGCCCAAAGGCGGCGTCGCGCTTTGGGCCGGGCGGGGAGGGCAGACGCCGACCCCGGGACCGCGGCCGTCTGGGGCTGGGCTGAGGTCGCTCGGGTTGGGCGGCCGCGGGCGCGCGAGCTGGGACGAGGGCGCGTTCGCGAGGAGCATATATTCGGCGGGGTACGAGGACACCCCAGTGACGCATGCGCCGCGGACGCGAGAGCGCCTTGCGGGGCTCAGCGGTCGGAAGCTGTGGGAGACGCCACGGGGGCTTGGAGAGGCGGACGAGCGCGAGCGCGAGGTAGATGTCACGATGGAGGCTGAAGGTGTGTGCTCTCCCTGTATCTCTGAGCGCGGAAGCTGACGGGTTTTTGTTCAGCGTGACTCGGAGGCGTCGTTGAGGCACTCATTTCGCGAGGACACAGACATATCGGACCCTTCGACGCACCCTGCGTTATCGTTATCCTTGCGACACCCATTTGCGACACCCAGCTTCTCACTCACCATCACCCGATCCGCACACGCCCTTTCCTCCTCCCTCCCCGACCTTTGTTCGATTTTGCCACGTTCCCTCATGGCGCCCCTCCGCACTCCTCGTCTCCATCTCCACCGCGGTTAATTTCACCTCACCCTCTCCTCGTTGTCAGGACGCATGCTGTATGTGACGCGATAGCTTATGCTGTTAGGTAATGTTGTGCTCAGTTGGTGTAGCTCGCGCCGTTACGGCCGGAGCGTTTATGTGTAGAATGAAATCACCGATCACCTGCCCTGTTCCGCGTGTTGGTCGTCGTGGTGGTTTGTGACTGGTGAAGTGTGTTGAGGAAGGCCGGAGCGATCGCCCACTGACCCTCGGATCCGGTAAGGTCGGCGTGCCCGGACAAGTGGAAACGGGGCGGAAAATTGCCTCTGTTCTGAGCTTCCGTGCAGGAGTTGACTCTTCTTCGTGTCGTATCACGCTGTCCAAAACCAGTGATCCACCACCAAGTTTAGGGGGTATCCTCTGGTCTTCCAGAAGTAAATTTAGATACAAGGCCTGCGGTTCAGTCCAGGCTCCTCGAGTGAACGAAAGCGGAGCTCACCAGCACGATGTGGACGCGACGCGTCTGCGAGTGGCAGCGCCACTTCTCTTCCGCCTCTGTGTTGACCTAAAGATGCAACGCGCGAGACGCGCGCAGAGCTGGAGGTCGAAGAACGTCAGCACGAGGCGCACCGGCGAGGATGCGCAAAGAGGACGACCAGCGTAGCTCCGCCGACGGCCCCGACGGTACGCCACATGCCGTGCCAGTGACCGACGTCCAGCGGTGCCGTTGCACGCACGCGGGGGCCGGACGCTCACCTGGGTTGCTCGGCCGCATACACGCGCCGTCCTTGTCTGTCTCCAGAGCTCGAGGAAATGGTTCACCCATACTGAACGCGTCGTGCGCCATTAACGTACGTGTTTCGGCCGTGCTCCACGGTGGGCCCTGTCGTGCCATACTAAAGATCCCATGCGATGTCCCGCGCTCGGCGCACGAAGACTGGTCCGGCTCCATGAGTGTCCAGCGCGACTGAGGGTATGCGGCCTGTGAGCAGCGAAGCTAGGGGTTGCGAGTCTGGGACGGATGTAGACGAGAGGCTCCCTGGCAGGGACGGAAGCGCGAAAGGCGGATTGGTGCGCGGGGAGGAGACGGAAGGCAGGCACGGAGAACGCGGTCGAGGGTGCCGGCAGGCAGGATCGGACGACCGTCGCGTCGCGTCGCGCCGTGACGAGCGAAAGCACTTTCTGTGACCGACGCGTCGCAACCCGTCGCGCGGGCTCATGGCGTTTGCGTGGGCCCACGGGCGCTCCGAGCGGCTCTCGGAGCGACGACGACAACGGCCTCCTCGTCCCACAGGCTGCCAGGCTGCTTTGCGCATGCCATTTCTGTCCGCGGGCGAGCAGATTCGGATTGCCATAGTACCCTCTCTTCGCTGCATCCTTCCCCACTTGTTTCTGATCGTCTTTCTTCCTCAGGCTCTCGTGGCTCTCCGGCACAGGCCCCCAGGGCAATCTTTCGAAGGTGTGTCCTGCGAACTTCTCAGCCTACACATCGTACTTGTGTCACACGTATACAGTCTCCCGAGTTAGCATATATGCCATCTGAAAACCAGTGCGGGCGCGGGCGCGGTGGGCACTTCAGATTGTATTCTACGTTCAGTGTCCCCCGTCGACGATTGTGCCTGCGACCACACTGACATGGACGACCCTCATCTCCGCCCGACCGCGCAGTGAAGTCGCAATTTGCGCCCACGGACATCATGCTGACTTCTGTTGGCTCTTTCTCTACGCATATAGTGTGCATATTCGACCTCCAGGCCGCCTTTCCACCACCAACGCCCGATGCCCCCTCGGGGCGCCCTCCCTCCCTGGACTCCTGGCGCGCACGCGCCATCGCACTCGAGAAGCAGCTCGACGCCCTCCGGGAGGAGCGCGAGCGGGAACGGTTCGGTGAGTTCCGCTTCCACCTGCGCCTCCACAACCCCCCTCCTCTATGCGCCGTGTCATGTTCATCAGGAAGCCTCCCGCGTCCATCATCCATGCATCTCCGCACGCCCGTTCCGGGTTCTCCTTTGTGCCACTGTCCAACGCCGCTTCGAGCCCCACCGGTCTCCCGAGGGTGCGCAGGCGCAGGACCGCGACTCCGGAGCGTTTGCGGTGGCGCGATGGATGGATGGACCAGAAGCTGGGCTCAGGGATCATCCTCCGGGTCCATGCTCAAACTGACTGAACTCCAAAGGCTGACGCTGGCCCCCTTTTCAGAACTGCTCACTCTCCGCAGAGTTTCATACGCAGACCAACTCTCTGCAAAGCGCCCCGATACGCCGTTTCAGGAAGGCTCCGCCTCGGGGAAGGATCCGAAGCGGAAGAAGAAGAGAAAACTCGCCACGGAAGCGCCAGGATTCGCGAAGCTTCAACATTGCAAAGAGTTCGCCGGTGCGTCATTTGCTCATGCGGTTGGTTCGTGAATGCACGTTTTCTGTTGTCGCCTTGGAGCTTCGGAAATCTTTCATATCCATGGATGACTACCTCCAGCTGCCCTTTCCATTTCGAGGGTTCTCTCTGCTGCGAGCTCCTTTTGAACCTTTCTTGAAGCTATTTGCCAATAGTCTTGCGTGTTTGAAACGATCAATGTTGATGTTCTCAAAGATTATCTCCCCCGCTGCGCGAAAGCGCGTTCAATCATATCGTCAGCTACAGCCCCCGGCGGACGTCCCGTAACTGGCTTTCATCACCCCTCCCATCTCCGCTGTCATCCAAAGCCACGCTTACACCGGTGCTTTATCTCATCCACGCTGCGTGACATCGTGGCTTCGCGCATCCCATCGCCGCGGTCTCCACCGCTGGGAAGCCACAGTACCGTCCATTGGCTTTCGCTCGCTGCGATTCGGCCGGGCCCTGTTCCGCATCTGCCGGCCTCAGGCTAACTCGAAGCAGGCCAAGCGGATACACGACAAGCGCTTTGTCGCCTTACGGTTCCAGTCGAGGCCGGCCGGTTTATCGTGCTTCTATGACGCCTCTCAACCGTACTCTCTCATGAACCCAAATTGTCTATAGGCTATCGGGTGTTCACGGACCAAGCTTGCTGACCTCGATCTCGCGTATACAGATATCATCGAGGCTGGTGGGTCGGCAGTATCCACCGCCGTCGACGCGTACGAACTGCTGGCCGACGTACTCGTGGCCACTCCACTGCTCGTCCCGCTTGACGTGATCTGCGCGACGAGCATATCCGCCATACGTGCGCTCAGCTCGATGCTCGCGCATATCGTTGCCCACTGTCATTCAAGAACACTAGGCACCCCTCCCGGTCTGCGGACCCCCCATACGACCATCAGCGCTCTCTCGGATTCCCTACGGCAGGCGATTGCAACTACCATACCCGCGCTCGCTGCCCACCACGCCGCCGCGCTCTCAAATCAACATACCCGCAAGTCCGTGCCCGGGCGCGCCCGCGCCGCTCAAGATTGCGCCGCCGCCGCGCGCGCGACGGACGACTTCCTCGGCGCAGTGCACACCGACGTGCTCGCGCCCACGGTCCGCGCGATCGCACCGACTTCGGCGCAGGTCGTCCAAATCTGTTTTGACTCTGGGGACGTATCCACCGCGGCGGGTGCGGATCCGCGCGCAGCTATTCTCGAGCTCCTCTTCGGCGCCCTCGCCGCGCTCTCCGACGCCCTCGCCCAGGCTCACGCCCAATTCGAACCTGGACGGCCACACTCTCGCGCCGCGGCCGCGGCCCCCACGCGCGTACACGTACAGCAGACCGGGTCTCCGGCGCGCGTGGCAGCCCAGCCCCAGCCCCGGTCCCAGTCCCACCACCCCTCCGCCTTTGCGGGCGACGGCCACGTCAAAACGCTCCTCGCGCGCGAGTGCGTCCGCGAGCTCGCGAAGCTCTACCTCCCTTCCCCTCCCCCGGCTCCAGAACCCGTGTCACACGCCGGGCCCACCGCGCCGCCTCCCCCGCCCCTCTCGACGAGTGCGCGCGCGGGGGTTCCACGCGCGGGGCGAAACCTCGGCGAAACGCAGCGCCGGGAGGCCGCGTCGGGCACGTCCGCTCCCGCTCCCGCTGCCCTGGGTGATCCGCGCGCGCGGGGTGGGGATGCGGGGAAGGCGGGGGATGGGGAGCGGACGGCAAAGCTCGCGCGGCGGGACGCTGCGTGGTACCTGTGCGCGGCGCTCTGTCGGCTCTTGGAACGCTCGGGGCCGGGGACGTCTGCGGCCGCAGTTGGGGGTGGGGGAGGCGGGAGGTCTGCGGGCTCCGTCGCTGGGTTGGGCTCCGCAACTACTGGCAACGGTGCTCGCGGCTCTGGTCTCGGCTCTGGTCCCGTTGGCACCTCCTGCTCGGGCTCTGGTTGTGGCGCCGCGCACGGACGACAAGGCGCGCTCGGGGACGCGTTGGAGCAAGAGGTCTACGCCGCGCTCGCGGACTTGCTTCGGGCGAGCCGGCCGCCTCCTCCTTGTTTCCCCGCGTTTTGCGGTCCCTCCGTTACTGCTGGTGCTGCTGGATCTGCAGACGCATACCCCCACGTGGGGTCCGCTCCCGCGCCGCCGTCGTCCTCTGGGTCTGGGGTCGCTTCGCCACCGCGCACTGCGTCCGAGGAAGATGCGCGCGTCGCCGGATCCGCTGCGGCCGCCGCGCGCACGCCAGACTCGGAAAGCCCGGGGCAGAACTGGGGGAAGGGGATCGTCAGCTTCAGGGCAGCGCGCGCGCCGGCGAGGGAGAGCCAGAGGATGAGCGCAGCCGAGCGGGGGATGCTCCTCGGGGTGCTCGAGCGGGCGTGGCTCGGCGCGTGACCGTGCGCTGCACAAGTACGCGGTGGGGGTCTGCGGTTGTTTGTCTGGGG